GATACTTTCAATTGTGACATATGCGCTTAATGTGCGCAAATATATATTTCTATAGTCTATTATCTTGCATTTTTCATTGCTATAAATACTATTTCAAAAATTTCATTTTGTCTTGTCGTTACTATCATCAAAACTGCGCTATTTTCTCATAATATTTCTTAAATGATCTTTTATTTTCATTCAAATTATAATTAAGGTAATATTTTAAATTATAATAAATTGTAAAATCATTTTTATATTTTCGAAATGATAACAAATATTTCGGTTATCAATTCTATTTCTTAAACTATACTAATGAATTAACACTTCTCTATATTTTGCTAATTTTTGCTAATTGTGTCACACTTCAATATAATTATCCTTTAGATAAAAGGATTTCTTAAATTTTAAATTTGTTAAATTATCATAAAAATTAAAAAAAAGTAATTATTTATTGACTTTCTTAGAGCTTATTTAAATTGATTAAGCTTAGAGCTGCCAAATTTTTAAACAAATTAGATTTTTCTACAGCTAAGTGATAATTAGTGAGAAAATTAACATTCATATCAACATTTCAATATAATTTCATTTGATATATGAGTTGTTCACAACTTTTATATATTGGATTTTCTTTCACTTTCACCGCTCATTTTATAGCTGTCAAAATCATGCTTTAATTGTTTTAATTTCTACTAATTACTATTTCATAAAATATTCATATTCATATTATTGATGTTAACATATCAAATTATTGTAAAATATTACGACCAAATTTTTATTCAGTTATTTTATTGTTTATAAATTATTTTTTCAAAATTTATTTTACAAATGAAATATTTTAATTGGTAAATTATTAAAGATTTTAATTACTCAAATTGTAATAAACTTATAAGAATTTTAAGAAACTATGAAAATAATGATGGATTATTTTTATGTGGTTCTTTCTGTTGTATACTATAAAATTTTATAATAAGCCTTGTAGTTGATAAAATTATCGATATGATTTATTTTATTTTGCTTTTTGCAAATTTTTTTCCTATTCACATTTCTTTCATGGTGATTTTTCTTTGTTTCAAAAGTTGGAATTTTTATTGTTCTTATTTAGTGATAAATTTAATGAATGATTTGATGATAAAATACTGATAAGATAAAATGTGATTTTCATCTATGAGATGAGGTATTATGCTTTTCCTTATCAGTTAAGCTTCCTTTTTTTACTGCTCTTTAAAAAAAATACAATAAAAAACTATTAAAATATTAATGGATCTTCTTTGTATAAATTCTTTCTATTGTATACTACAAAATTTTAAATCAATAAATTTATCATTAAATGATTTGGTAGAAGTTTGTGATGAATTTTTACCAGTTCATTACAAACTTCTACAAATCATTTATCCAAAAAAGGAAGATATGCATTTTGTACTTTAAGAAGAAATATTATTAATTCATTTGATTGCATAATTCATTTTGATAAAAAGCGATCACATTCCATTAGGCTTTCTAAAAGAGCTATTAATCGTCGAATAATATATCAAAGGAATTAATCTCTCTTAGAAAGAATCGCTTCTTTTTAATACATTTAAAATTAAGATAAAGATAAGATAGCTTAGAAATATATGAATAATTTTCATTCACTTTTATTAGAGAAGAATTATATTTCATTAGAACAATGGACAAAAAGCGCAAGCGCAAATTGTCCCATTTAAAATAGTACATTTTGAATTGTTTCAAAGGGAAGAAATATACTACAAAATAATCTTTTTTTAAAGAATAGAAAAAGAGAGTGATATCTTCTGCATTACATTTTTACAGAATTATTGTAATAATAAAGTAGAAAATAATTTATATAGCCATGAGTGCTACACAATGTTATTAATTCAATTAGTACTTATTAACTGTAACAAAAAATGAAATTAAAATCAAATCTTGCTTTATAGAACTTATTACTCTCTGTAGTTTTTGTCCATATAATAAATATTGAATAATTAAAAACATATTAATTAATTTACTCATTCATTTAAGTTATTTATTTTTGATTTGTCAGATAAACGAAATATTGTAGTAATTAATTCTTTTGTTGTGAATATTTTTGTATAATTTGCTGAGAAATTTAGCCATTTTTAGATTCCTTAGGGACAGCTATTTTTAAATGACAGCTCTTCGCTAAAACTCGAATTTCTTCCCAATTTTTACATAACTATTAAAAACACTAATAAATGTTTTTGGTATTCTTTTTTTTTGTCATCAATTTAATTACTAATTTTGCTATCGCCAATTTTAATAATATGTTTATTAGCACGAAAGGCTGTAATATACTAGTGATGCTTAATTTATTGCCAGAAAAATCGATTCTTAAAAAATTCTATTATTATTATAGCAAATGAATAAAATATTTTGAAATGAAATCTCATTTGTAAATCATTCCTGAAAATAAAATACATGAAGTTTTTTGCAGATCATATTATCATTTCTATTTCCATTACAACAATATCGCAAAACTTCAACAAAATCATCTCATCGAAAGTTACCCGGAATTATGATAATGATAATGAAACCGTATAATTTACTATTATCATACTTATTGTTAGTGTTGAATGAAGCGAAAATTTGAAAGGATCAGTATTGGCGATGTTAAATTTTGAAGCAAATGTATTCCCGAAGTAAGTTTGAAACTTTTTCCGCATTCAAAAAACTAAAATAGCATATGATAGAGATATGATATACTGAAATTAATTTACTTCCAGTCATACTCGATTTATTCTTTCTCAATAATCTTTGTAAGTTTTTATCCCTTAAATTTTTGCACATCTTCAACTTAACTTTAAGCAAACTTTTCTCTTATTCCCAATCTGTTCATATATCTTTTCAAAATTAGTTCCATTCATTTGCAGCATTTCAGGTAAAATAGATACCGTATGATAAGCAAATATGCTTAATTGCTCAGTTTTTATTAATAGTTAAAATTTAAGTATTTTAGAATAGAGTAGGATTTTTTTGTGATTTATCAAAATGCAATTTTTCTTAATGTATTTCATTAAAGCTGAAAAGTTTGATGAAAGTATTGTGTAAATTAAAAACAATTGCGTCATTTTTTTTCCCGTTAATTATCCACGGAAATATTCCGAGTTTTTGATATTGAATGCATTAAGATTCAACAATTCATGCAAATATCCGTTGGATAAAATGGCTAAGCACTTATACTATCACTTACACTTATACTTACATTCATGACTAGAGCACTTACACTATCTTATTGAAGATAAATTTAATTTAAAAAAATAAGACTATTTTTTATTTTGAAATCGTATTTCGATTATTCAACCTTATAGCTTAAAAATAGTTTGAGATATTCTATTTAAGCTTAGCTCATTAAATGTATTTCGCAATTTTGTCAAAATGATATCATAAAGTTATTTTGGAATTAATACTATCAATTGTTTCATCATCATTTTAAAATTCATACAATATCTCCTCTACTTTCTATTATGCTTTTTTAAAAAAAAAAGTATGACTGATATAAATATTCTAGTTGATCGATTTGTTATTCGTTTAAAACAAGTCAATTGACTAACAAGTGCAATTCTATAACTACAACTCAAGAAAATGGTTGCTTAGTCTATTGATATATATATATATCAATTGATTGTCTATTACTAATAACTATCATTTAGTCGAAAGTTTTTAAGATTCAACTATATTTAATTGTCTTAATATTCCATCCATAATAATATTACTACTACTACTACTACTACTGCTACTACTGCTACTACTACTACTACTACTACCACTACTACTACTCTACTACTACTACTATTATTACTACTACTTACTATAATTATTACGAATTACCTACTAGTTACTTTTTTACTATTACGTATCTACTATTTACTACTACTACTACTACTAAACAAATGTTTCATTTATTTAATCATATTTTATATTTTTAAATAAAATAAAATTGATTGAAAGAATTAATAATCCTTTTCAATCATTCAGATATGCAATTTTCTTATTGGTTAATGCAATATGTAAGCTTCCAACGAACAGATTGAACTGTTTTTCTTTTCGTCGTAAGAATTGTGCTTGTTTGTTTTGCTAAGTCAATAGAAATAATCATGCATATAACATTGTTAAATGCAGCATAATCATCAAATATTCATTAGAGGCTTTTCATTCGATATATTTTGTCGCTTAAATCAATTTTGAATTTTAACAAGTTTGTTAAAGTTAGCAAAGTTTTCAGCTATCATTTAATGTTGCATTTAATTTTCCTCAATTATACCTCTTTATTTTCTCTAACCATTATTTTTAATTAATTCTTTTGTTTATTCCTCTCTCTTTTTTTTAGTAATGATGAAATTTAATGAAATGTAATAAAATATTAGATTTTAGCACTCGCTACGTTTTTACTTAAAAACAATAAATAATCAACAAAATGATCATACTTAATAAAGCTCTACAATGTTACATATCTATTGTGATTTAGTAAATAGAGTAAATTTTAATTTTAAATTTTGATTAAATTTCAATTTTACATTTATGATCTGTTACTGCAATATTATTCTCTATTACTCTAATATTATTTTATTCTATTTCATTCCAAATATTATTATTCTAAATATCATTCCTAAATGTTATTCTATTTCTTAATTTGCGATAGAATAAATAAGTATTTAATTAGACGGATAAATTTTGATTTAAGAACTTCTGAAGAAAAGTATTTTATGCGATATAATTATTATTCATAAAATTCGATTTGTTTTTCTGGATCATTTTAAATAAAAATATATTTCTGAGCGAATAAAATTAATACAAACGGGTATATAAGATAGAAAAGTATAAGAAAGTTATCTTTTAGAGTTTAAGTTTAAGTTATTCGGAGCATTCAAAAGTAAGTAATTAATAGATAATTAAAGTAAATTTTGTGAAATCAAAAATTTAATAATTTTAATTTTCATTTAGGACGTGAACGAAACTCAAGAGCAAGATATCATTTTACAGCGGTGTTGGAGGTAGGCGCAATGATGTTGCAGAATATGTTCAGCGCCTTATCATTCTTACATTATCGTAAAGATGACGATTTTGTTGATCGTTTATCTTACTTCTACACTCCGTCCTTTCTAATTATGATGGCCATTTTAGTTAGTTTCAAACAAGTAAGATATTTTCCTCATCTCTTCATATATTTTTTAGTATTCAAATAACAAAAAGAAATCGCAAACTTTATTGTAATATGGATAGAGCAATGAAAATAGTACGGATGGAACATTTATAAATGGTATTATTTTTACCAATTAGTTCTCTAAAATCATTTGTAAATGATAGATCTGTAACAGATGCACTTGGCTTGTTTATGCGGCATTGTCCTTTCTGATAGAACGATGATCGCTGTTATTCAGGCGATCTAGATGGACAAAAAATAGAACATAAATGAATCGTGTAATGTTCGAACTTGTTTAATTAATTAATACCATGTTAGATGATTATATTGAAATCACAGGGTAGAAGTATGTATTGATTGAAATCATAATACAATACATACTTCTTGGTCAAGCATGAAAGGCATTACAGTTTGGTGGTCGACCGTTAGAATGCTGGGTGCCTGCACAATTCACAAGCTCATGGGAGGCTTATACAGAAATGTATTGTTGGGCTCAAAATACCTATTGGGTACCTATCGAACAGGTAAAGTAATTCATTTACACCGAACATTTATTCAATAACAAGTTGGAAAATCTTCATCATTGTATGTTACATCACAGAAGGAGCACATTTTTACTAATTAATTAATTATTTATTTACTAATTAGAGTTTGAAAGTTAAATAAATTTTAACCTATAGCCTCATTCATTCACTGACTATATCACTGAAGGAATTTTCTTTAAAGGGAATAATTGTCCAAAAATGATACAAATTATTCATTAGAGATCAAGTAAGATTATTTATCATTCAGGATATCCCAATGGATTTAGCAGAGCGAGAATATCGACAAATATCATATTATCAATGGGTGCCATTTTTTCTTCTTATTCAAGCCTTTCTCTATTACATTCCATGCCTCGTTTGGCGTCTTATGAGCGACAAGTCTGGTAATTTCATCAATATCTTCATTCTTCTCATGCAGTTACGATTTTCAAAATACTTTCAATATGCTTTTAGCTTCCTGACACTTCTTAATAAAGGCAGTTGTAAGAATGGAAATCTGAAATGCAATTGAAAATTTTTTGAAGTATTGGATTTAATTTGTTCAACTTTGACCTTCTCATTATAAATGATTAAATGAGAAAATAGATTTTGAGATATGGTAGGTGCTTTGTCTTTCTTATGTTTTGTATGTTTTCAATAATATCTCAAAAATTGCGTTTTCATCGATAAATTTTAAATTTGACAACTGTTCGTTCTGTTTCCTGAGAAAAAGATAATAGAGTGAAATATTGAAAGTATACAATTAGGATTATTATTCTTCCAGTTTCTCGATAAATTCCTGAAATGTTAAATACTGTAGGCATTCGGTTAAACGATATTGTTCAGTTAGCTACCGAAAAAGAAAACATCGAAGAAAATTATAGAACACGAACCATTGAATCTCTTGCACGTCATATCGAATCTGCTCTCAGGTTATCACTCTTTATATCAATCATTTCTTATTCGTTTAGCTTGACTAAGCTAATTGATGGTTATTTTGATGAAAAATATTATGGAATGGATCGTTGTATATTATTGATCCTAAATGATTCAAATCCTGGTTCAATTATTATTTCCTATTTTTAAAATAGTCTTCCATTTTTTTATTCTTTCAGACAGCTTACCTAATCCAGTATTTCTCTTTTTTGCACTTTCATTTTATTTAACTGCATTATATTACAATTTGCATTGTTATTTCCAAAGTGCATTTGCAGGTACCAGCATGCAGCAACTTCACGAACTCAATATACATTACATAGAGTGTTAAAATGCCTAAATATGCGTTACTATGAAAGTTATGTGACAGGCCTCTATTTGGTAAAAAATTCATAAATTTTTCCCTTTTTTTCTTTAAAATGCAATTATATTGTTTTTATTAATTATTTATAATTATCGGTATTCATCAAACTAATCCTTTTAAAATACATTTATTTTACGATATTCAAGATTATACAACTATCAAACTTTATCGCTATTTATCAAACTAATCATTTTAAATACACTTATTTTACGATATTCAAGATTATACAACTATCAAATTTTACTTTTAAATTTTCACTACTTATTTAGCTCTTTTTTTAGGTTACAAAAGTAATGTATGTAAGCAATATATTAACGAATTTGATATTAGTGAATAAATTTTTGGAGACTGACGAATATTCCATTTATGGTCTTGGTGTATTACGTGATCTCTTATTTGGCAGATCATGGATGGAATCTGGCAATTTTCCACGAATTACTTTGGTTAGTTGTTTTACATGCTTATATTTTAATAGCAAATAATATTTCATAAGATTACTTCAAATTGAAATGAGAAATATTGTGTGCTACTAATAATTATTAGCGGCACATTTTCATTTCGAGTTCTAATATTTTCGCGAAATTTGGTTAATTATTCATTAAACAAATGGATCAAATAAAGTGTTGAATAATAATTTCTTTTATGGCATGAATTGTCGATATAGAAATTTTAATTAAACAGATTCTTAAATTAAATACTATATTATCTCTGTCAGAAATTACCTCTGTCAAGAATTATTTTGAAACATCAAATTGGTTAGTTTAATTTCAGTGTGATTTTGAAGTACGTGTACTTGGCAATAATCAACGGCATTCCGTACAAGCATGTTTTTCCGTTTTTTTTTTCCTTTTATACTTCATGAATTATTTAGGAAATTAATAATTACTTCATTAACATTTTACATATCCTTAATAAAGACTATTCCAATTTCTATCATTGGCCAGAATACATTAATGATTGGTTAAATATCGAAGAAAGAAATTTTAGATATTATAAAATATTGATTAGAATCGATAATCTTTATATCATGCATAGTTTTTGTTTTTAAAAAACAGTATTTATATAATTATTGATTTTAACAGAATTAATTAATCATAGTCAAATTGAAATGTGACAATAGATTATTAGGGAAATAAAATTAGGAAGAAACAATAGAATAGAAGAGAAGAAAATAGGATGAAAAAGAATACCGAAAAATAGCACAACATTTTGCCATAAAGAATAATGCTATCGTATGCCATTAAAAATGATAGTATTTTTTTCGTAATACGACGAATGAGAATGAATTTTATGAAAGTGAATAAATTAGGATAAAGCGTAATAGAATTAATTTGAAGTAATGTAATTGAATTAATTTGAAATGGAATGAAGAGAGGTTATAAGCATAATGGAATTAATCTGAAATGAAATGAAGAGAGGTTGTAAATATAATAGAATTAATTTGAAATGAAATGAAGAGAGATTGTAAATATAATGGAATTAATTTGAAATGGAATAATTAGGATGAAATATTTGAATGACTAAAAGTATTTTGTAGTGTGTCCTTGTTATAAATATATTCAACGAGAAAATATTCATTTTAATTTGGTTATGGTTTTCTATGTTATTTATTGCTGCTACATTGGATGCTATCTATTGGTTTAGCATTTCTTTATTTCATAGGTAAAAATTTACCTGTTTCGTTCTTTTATTTTTAGTGAAATAAATTCAAAATTATTTCCCAAAATAGTAGTAAATTTAAAGGTAACTAAATGAATTTCATATTAATGCTTTTGTTATTTTTTAAAAATTCCCTCTAAGTTAATTTAATTTCTTTCAGCCAAAAATTCAATCCTAACTTAGGTATTACTTTTTATTAGATTAAGAATTAATATTCAATTAATGCTTAGGTTAGGTTTTTATCATTGGACTGTTTCATTTTTTTTAAGTTATAGCTATGTTATTGATGAAAGATAAATTCAAATTAAGACTTTTAATTCGTATATTATTTTCTACGGTAAAAGTTTCTACCTATTTACTCTAACGATGCGTCTTAACTATATTTTGTTATTGAATAGGAAGAAAAAGGGGAAAAAGAAAAGGAAGAATTTCTTGCATAATATTTCATGAATTATTTATCAACGGCTCTTTTGCTCGGCCTATAATTTTAACCCTTAATTTCTTCATTATGTTAAAAGCACGCTACAAATTAAAAATTATTTAATAAGGTAATATTTTTTCAAAAGATATTCTTTGTTTGAAATATAATTACTTTGCAGGGATCGTTTTCGTTTTGTTTTACGCCATTTAGAGCTAACAACTGATCCTGATCGACCTGAGCTGTTTCGAAAGGAAAAGCGGAAAGAAGCTGAACATTTCCTAAAGTCATACCTCAAAGTAGCTAACTTTTACCACTTTTAAGTCTTTCTTTCCTAAATTTTTTTTTAGCACTTTTTCTTGAGAAATTTATCTTCCACATATTCTATATTATCATAAGTATAGGTTGATGGTGTATTAGTGTTACGAATGATAGCTCTCCATGCGGGTGTAATGTTTTGTACTGAAATAACAGATGCACTCTGGAAACGTTATCTATCTCAGCATCCGGAAAATCTGATAGATGAAGATTCTTCACTTATCAGTTTTGCTCGGTATGTTCCATTAAATTTGAAAAATTTTTTGAACAGCTCAAATAATTTGGACTTATGAGCGGAAGTATTCTCATGCATTATTTATATACGCAATTTTTTTCAATCTCTGCTCGTATCCTTGAAACCAAACATTCCGAATCACCAAATCAGTAGGCAGTTAATTGTTGTAGTTTATTTGCTAATATCCTAAGTCTCTTGAAAAACTAATATTGATATATACACTCATGTAACAATCGACTTGCAGTCGTACTTTCGCCAAGAATTGCACTGCAATGATTAATTGTTATCTTGTTGCTTTTCTTCCATTCTTAATTATTAGCATCCTTTCGTGATTTGAAAGAATGTGGAGCTTAGTAGCAAACTTCATACATATGTGATATAGTCCCTTAAAAGGAATGGAATCCTGTCATATTATTGGATCATATTTAATATGGAATTAAACATGGCATAATAAAAAAAGATATATCTGTCACTTGTTCTCAAATGCAGTATTCCCATTTCACCATTAGATGAATTATTTTCTTCATAACTGATGAAATTATTTGTCGTTATGAGGTTGCACTTAGAAGATCAGATTCCAAGTAAAATTAAATTGTCAAAAATTATCATGTTTATATTGTAGTGTCGTTTTTTTTTGCATTTTGAGTAGACAATACAAAATGTCAATGGCATGCTTTTAGTATTTCAGAACTCAATCGGTCAACCGGAAATGGCAAAATGATGATAATGGTGGTGATAGGCAGAAAAGATATCAACATTTATTTGCTCATCGACGATTTCCCAAATTTTTTTTACATCGAACACAGCCATCCTTTCGGTCAGATATTCGCTTTTTTGCTCTTTGAAAGCTTAATTTGATCAGAGATTTATTGCCTCTAATCAATTTGTAGCAAATTTTGTGGTAAATTTTACGGTAGAAGAGTAGTGTGATGGAGATGAAATATTTTAAGTGTTTTAAATCTTATTGAAATCCCAATATTTCCTCCTCACTGATCTTATCTTTATCCCATATTCTTCTTTCCTATTAGATAAAAATTACTTTACGTGAATTATTGATTGATTCATTAGGTTCCTTACGCTAGGTATTTTCAGTCATATTCTTATTATCCACTCTATTTCACCATCACTAATTCTAAGCTAAGATCTGAATACAGCCTGATACATATATAATAATCGTAAATAGATATACGTTTGAATTATTGCAGTTCTTCAACCAATTAATATATTTACTATAGTATTAATCGTGGTTATGATATTGATATGGATCATCAAAAGCCGCAGATACCAATTCGACCTCCAAAGCAAACACCAATGAGGATACAATCACAAATTATAAAAGATGATGACGAAGATGAAAGATTGAATTGCAATGAATCTAGCACCTCTTATCGTATACATGATTAAGTAGAGATAGTGATAAAGTGCCAGCTGTTTCTATTGTAAAGATTGCAAGTCAATTGAGAGAATCATTGCATGCAAAGAATATCACAGGTCATCCTCTCTTAATTCTGAATCTGGCAAGCGAGTTTCTGATAATCTGAGAAATTCATAATACTTCTTTCCTGTTTAACATATCGCCGACCAGACTCAGAGACATTTTTACGATCTCGATGATTTTTGGATGAAAAGATGAAATAGAATTGAGGAATTCACTGCCGCTTTTGTAAATTTTCTTTTGAATAAAAATATTGTGAATGATAAAAGATGAAATCGACAGTATCGCTATTGCGATGAAACCAAAAGTTGCGTCCTAACGATCGTTAACGAGAAAGCCACTTGCAATTTTATTCATGTTTGGCCTTGTCTTTTGAAAGTAAACCATATTAAAAATTTTAAGTGAGACATTTTATTCATTTCAAAATATTCAGACAAAAGTCAAACAACAGAATAAATAGATCGCTATAAAATTACAAAGAATGAAATAACAGCAAAATTGCGCCAAAACCCGATAATCTAGAGCAGATATAAACTGACATGTTCCACATGTTGCATAGAAACAAACAATTCACTAATTATATATTTCCATTACTTATTACCTCAGGAACAAATAACCTCCACCCTATATGTCTAGGTCATTTCAGGAATAGAATGCAAATGTATTATAGTCTGCGAATACACGAGTTAAATATTTGGGTTCCCATATGACTAAGCCTGGTGTTCCAATTAGTGAAACTTTCCAAAAGTAAAACAAATACAATAAAAAAAAGGAAGTGATTGATTTGATTGAACTATCTGTTAATGAATAGCCCGCGCTCCTCGCATTTTAAATTATAGCAATAATGACGCAATTCATACCAACATATTATGAGTAATAAGTTTTCTGATTCTACAACAGTAAAACTTCGAAAAGGATTGTCTGAATAAATGGCTCCTTTCCAGTCATATTTGGATCAATATAACATGTCGGAAGGATAAAATACTGAACGATTGTGACGATGCAAAAGATTTTAATGGGAGTTTGATGATGGAAGGTGCAATATCCATGAAGAACCAACCATTTCAAAAACAAAATGAACCACTAAAGTATGGTTAGAGCTGTTAGCTGTCTAAAACAATAAAATACGCCGCTTTCTTTTATCATCAATGGTAATGCAAAATCATGCTGTGTGCGGCAAAAAATAAACTTTGGAGATGACTCTTTCATGACTTTCCAGAATTTAAGAAAAATGGTGGTGCTAGGAGCGCCACTATTATAGACAAACTAAATTGATTTATTGGATTTCCCACAATAATGTACAATCGATTTAAGTTAGAATAACAATAGGCATAGGTTCATACTTTGCCGAAGTACATAATTATTAATATAATTATTAATATCAATTCAAGTTGCTGCTACACTTGGTGCCTTCCACCGATATTTTCCACCTGCTGCACTAAGAAGTGCAACAGCACTCGCTTTAGGATGCCAAAAATAGCAGGCACGATTCGTACAACGATCACCAAAACGACAAAGCTGAAAAATCACTACCGTAAGGCACGCGTATATGAGGGCAAGTTCATTATGACAATAAACAACTTAGAACTGTAATTCTAAACTGTTTATTGGTGTCCTGAAATGATCGCTATCTTAAGATAGAAAATGATTAATTACCTTAGGATGTTTGAAACTACAGCTGGCATTCGCGCATTTCCCACCATATTTACATGGAACGTTCAAAGCATACGAAGCCGTTGAGTTCAGCGGTGTCTGTACTCCCCCCTCAACCGATGAAGCTACTGATGATGCTGCAGCCGTCCTAGAATTTTTATTTCGTAATTGCGAAATGTAAAATGGATTATAAAATAATGAAAAGCGATAATAATTTCCATACTCAAGAACACTGTCATAGACTGATCAGAACTGTTTCATACACAGCGAATATCGACTTAAAATACCAAATTTTAAAGCGTTACCGATAATCAGAAACATAGTTCTGTAATCAGGTCAAATCGTTGTGATCAATTATAAATACTATTTTAAAATGATATCTGTAATTGAAAGACATACGCTGTCTTCAAAATGTGCGCATAGACACAATTCGCATTTAAACACATACGACCAAATTTGCATTGCGGGTGGATATAAATACATCGATCACCAAACGAACAGTTCGGAAAGTTGCTAAAAAAAAAGTTCAAATTAATTCAGTGAAACATCCTGAATTAATTTATCAGATATTATTACTGTCTGACTTATTTAATACATGTTTCGAAGTTTTAAGATGAATATTTCCCTAAATGTCCTACTTCCATTACGAATAACAATAAAACTTTCCATCACATTATGATGTACTTCACAGTGAGTGTTTCACGCAGTAAACCTTAGCACTTGTGGCAAAATTAATCCTAATTATATGCATCCAGCATTACTAATAGAACTACAACTGATTATCGTTCTTATGAATAAAAAAAGCCAGTGGACCATAAACGTACAAAGCAGTAAGCTGATGGAGTTACATAAAATCATTCAAAATAAACTAGTAAAATGATCTAGAATAATTACGATACAAAAAACCTTTAAATAACAGATTACCTGCACGGTTTACTTGGGTGAATATATACACAGTTTTGGAGAGAACAATTTGGCCAAAATTTACAGCGTTCCATTATTTTTTCAGCCCCCGCTGATGATACTATTGATACATTTGATACCTAAACGAGCAAAAAATTAGCAGGATTACCTGTTTACTTTACTGCTACATATCTTCAGGTCGTGGCACGATTACACAACTGAAATGTCCTACACAATCTTACATAAGGTTACACACTCGAATCACCTCTAAATCTTTCCCTTTTTTCGAATATAAAGAAGTTACGTGGATATACAGAAAGCCTTATAAGAAAAAAAATTTATTTGAACAAGAGAAAACTTGACACCTTTCACAATTACACTCAGCACATTATATAAGTGAAGAACGTACCTGTCTATTAGCAGTGAATACATTTTGTCGTGGTGCACTATAAAAAAGTTGTGGCGGTGGAGTTTGCGGACGAAATAATGGACTCGATAGGGTTGGAGTTGGCGGTACCTTAAAAACGATGATATTAAAAAGCTACTGAGATTTGACATCTGAAATCACTACATTTTCGAATAAGAATAAGATATCACCTAAATAAAACATATATTACTATTGTATCTAAGCTAAACTGCAATACCAAAGCAAGGAAATTTTTCAGGAATTTTAAATATTTCACATATCGCCAACTTTCCATTTCAAATACCCTGACTCATATTCACTATCAAGTTGTTAAACACATCTCGCTAATATTAAAACCAAATATTAATAACATTCAATTATCAAATTCTAACCTCATCAAAACCTTGACCAACCGTCTGAGCACTGGCAAGAACAGCATCAATTTGTGCCTCTAAAAAAGATGAATATATCACGTGCCGCTTATAAACGGTTTTGTTAAAAGATTTAAAAAACATTTATTGTTTTATACATTAGCCAATTCTGCTCCAATTCATGTAATGTATTGAACTTGACAAAAAAAAACAATACCAACCATCATCACCATCATCATCCCCGTCATCACTCGTATCTTCTTCTGGTAGTTGTATTTGCAAATCCCACGCAGGTAAAGGTTTCGAATTCGAATCACTGGAAACCTAAAAAACTTTATTATACACATTTCTAACGCATTTAACATCTTATAAGTCGCAATAAAAATTTAAAGCTCTAAAGACAGCAGTTTCTTCGAAGTTTGTAAAAAATATCAAGTTAATGTGTGTGTTGCATCAGTTTTTATATAAAAGTGAATATTCCTACAACGTTTTTCCCACTTGGGACTAACATGGGACTTTATTTTTTACCTCATTAGAACGTGCTACCATGCATGCTTCATTTTCCATATTGTTGGCAATTGACTTCTCGTGAGACACTTCTCTTCTTACCTGTCTTGGCTGCGACAGATTCAGATGAGCCAAAACTGTAAATGCATTACTGAATCAATAAGATTGATGACATAAAGATCTAAAATCATGTACATATTCAACGAAATCAACAATAAGAAACTGCAAAGGCAAACATGTGTAAGTGATGAAAAAGATTACAAAACTTACTTGGATTCGTTTCATTCCGACGCCTTTTTGCCTTCTTCTTACTAACAATCTCAACATTCCCTTCACCAATTTTCGTAAGTCGTTTAGCCAAGCCGCTGATTGCATCGCCTTTTAAGGTTATGTAAAATTTTGGTTCATCTATAGAACTTGGTCTAAAAAATATTTGTCATTAGTAATAATTATCCGATATTTAAGAATAGATAGGAACTTAATAGTTATAATAAACCAATAAATACTAACAAGTAAATGGTACCTTCAAAATGATCACACATTAGTAACAGTTCGAATTTTTCGGGATGTAAAAATTTTGCAAAACTATAAAATAAACCAAGCTACACACCCATATGTCCGCATGCGTTTTCTTTCCACTTCTGGTTCACTTAAACTGCATTCATCAATTGTTTGTACGATCGAACGACTATTACTATTTCCACCGTTTGATTCATCCGGCATGACAACCAAAGCATCACCAATATCATCGTAAACATCGATTTCAATACCCTAGCATAACAGATAATCTAGCAATTATGGTGCAGCTAGAATAACCAATCCTATGTCACTAATGAACGCAATATTACAAGCAGTGAAAGTGCAGCATATGATGAGAAGGAAGCTTTCACTACCTCAGCAAAGTGATGAATCCTCCAAAAAACAAAAAATAAATTCACTGCTAACCTCTTCCTCATCCAAAACATTCATATCATTCTGTTTATGTTTCCCGCGATCAGCCACTTCTTTCTCTTTTTTCGCTGCCAATCCATTACCATAACCGGCAATCTGGCTTGCTGTTCTTGTTGTTTCGCCCGCTTCCTTAATCGCTTTCAAGAATAGTGACTTCACGCCACGAGATTGTTTGCTGTAACAAATTTCATTTATTATAAAGAAGAGTTAGAATTAGTCTTTGGAAGTGATTGGTAAGAATTCCGTCCTCAGAGCAAACAAAGCTGGAACATTGCAACAGGAGTATCTGAAAAATTGAAAGGCGATCAAAAAGTACATCCTCTTTACTCGAAAATTCCAAATAGTTTATGGTTAACTTACGTCGTTACTTCTTTCTCAGGTAGTTTCCGCTTCACTACTACTTGAGATGAAACGGATTTTACAGTTGGCTCTGGCGGTAATTTAACAACTGCAGATGACTGCACCTGCAATGATTGAAAATTTAATTTTTAATGAAATGTGCGAAATAATATCCATTTAGTTAACATTTATAACATAGGTGCTCTCACTCACCAAACAGATTCTGTGTGGACAAATGGGTGAATGGACAGAACGACATAATCTCATAGAGAAGATAACTAAAGTGATAAGCCAGTACATGATAACAGTTCTACCATAATTAGCAAAAACAGTGCATTTATCGACTATATCATTAGTTCAAACATATTTAACCTTCTTGCTTCTCAAAAAGCGATCAGACTCTTCCGTAGCAATGCGTTCTTCTTTGTCAACATCTTCCTCTAATGATGGTGAACGAGACTGTAATTTTCGCTTTTTCTGCTGTAGAACACCTTGCCCCGCATCATTTGATATCTTGCTAAAAGTAAATGCTAAAACTAAAAGTAAGAGAAGTTAAGCAACAAGAGCAAGTGATTGAGAAGTGGTATCCATCAAATAATTTGTATCTACTGGGACTATTTCAAAAAAATACAAAACATTGATCAATTGTGTTTCTAAGGAATTTCTAAAGAGTTGTGTTTACAAATCTTTAGGATTCTTGATAATAAGCAATTTCTTACCCGTGAATGCGCCGCAAACTAATGATTGAATGAAAGATTATTAAATGAAAATTCCGATTCAAATAAGATTGCACTATGGAAAAGTACTCAACAAGTGATAAATAAGCAGAAACAAAGAGGTCGAACCTTGCGCAGGTAACTCTCCTGGATCGTTTATCCTCTTCATCATTTCGTCTTTTGGAATACTTTGCGTCTTCCCTTGCCTCTCTTTCTGCCCTACCATCGGATTTCACTGGTAAAATTTTTCGTTCATTTCTTTCACCATCATCTCGTCTCACTCCGAAACGTACAGTTCCTGTAGCATCAACATTTTTATCAATTCTTATCTTGAGAAACTGTGATTAAATTTCTTGTTGATGAAAAACAAGAGAAGCTAAAAATTACTGAGGCTGAAAAATTATGAAGTTGTCATCGAATACCTCGGCGTTCAGGACTTTCGAGTCTTTTTCGACGATGTGTCTTTTCTGGAGGTAAAACAGGAGATTTTGTTCTATGTGATGGCTGAAACTTGCAAGAATTAGACAGCGAAGGAAGAATCATTGCAGTGTGATTTATCTCCTACATTCATGCCAATCTCGAAATTAGAAATGCAAGTTGTAGATGAAATGTAATCTAGAAACCAAAAGAAGAATGTTTCTATTAAGAGTTTAACGTGAAAAAAACAAAAAACTAAATTCATGAGTAAAAATAGATAAGATAATAAAATACAGAATAAAAATATTGAGATGCCATACCTTCGACTTCACAACTTTTGCAATGCCAGTACGTTTTTCGTTTTCTCTTCTTTCAGGTTCTTTCACTCCGCGCTGCCTCTCTTTTTCTTTTTTTTCGTGCTCCTTTAATGCACTCTTCGAACCAGAGCTTTCTTGCTTTTTCTTTTTATCCATTGTTTTCTCTTTTTCTCTTTTATTCGCATTTTCCAGATCCTTTCGATGACCACTGCTTTCATTATCCTTTCGTTTGCTATCGTTTAATTCCTGGACAGCATTCGGAACACTGGCCAATTGCAAACGTTCGAAAATGTCAAACAACCTAGAAATATGGTTTCGATTAAAAGTTCAAGTCTTATATTTAATAAGAATTAATAAGAAATAACGAGAAAAATATTTCATAAAACAGATAAACTACAGTTAAGAAAAGATGATTCAAAACAAACCAATCCACAAATTTCTCAGAATTTTTGCCCAAGAAAAGTAACAAATCTTCTTTCATTTGTGTTTTCTCCTTCTTATTCGCAATCATTACCATTATATAATCAGGCAATTCTTCATCTACATATACACCAAGCTCTTCCAACTTAGCCTTTATAGCAGCCTGTAAAATATTTGAAATATTTCACTACAATCTCACAACAGTCTCTTATTTTCGGTATTAATTTTTCTATTAGCTAATTATTCTACTAGTCAAAATTAAGGGGAACTCTGAATAATGTTGCTTTTTATCAAACAATAGCCGATACAGAAAGAATTGGGATATCCAAGCGATTCATAGTTAAGAGAAAGTTTCTTCAAAATCAAAACAGTGCTACAAATAAAATGTTTCGCATTTCAGAGAAGAAGGCTTACTCGAATTTTCTTAGAAACTTCTGCGCTGCCACCAGTCATTTATTACAATTATTCCTGAAAACAAAAATTCGTGTCATTAGAAATAATTAAATTCCTGACGATTAAGAGGAATTACTTGCAAATCTAAAGCTATTTTTAGATGCACTCTAAAGTATTTAAAACTCTATTTTCCAATAACAATCGATCACAGTACGAACTATTTGATTCTTGTGCCTTAATTTTTCCATTTACTGAAGTGCCCAACTTCTATCCTTAGTTATTGCTCAGGTAGGAAATATTCGAACGAATTGGTGTGTCTGGTGTAGCGCAATAAAACAAACGTGCAGGTCAGGGCATATCATCCATATCATATCTTACAAAATGATAATTGCCACTCCGAATGAAGTCTTTACATTTTAGACTGAACTCAATGCAATGTACTCAATGTTCGATGAGATATGACAATCATAATAAAGCGATCTACCTGAGATCGTCTCGTGTTCCCCAAACCATCCATTAGCAAAAAAATTAACACATTTTATACTACTCTCACCTACACCCGTAAAATTCAGTTGCTTCCATTCTAATCTATACAATAAGTTGCCAACATTCACTATTCGCCTTCTAGTTTTGAAAGAAGAGAATAGAACGCGAATCATCATGCAAACTATTCAAACAACATCAATATAAGAAAAGAACTATTCAACTGACATAAATATCACAACATTTAGCGATTGATTTGGTTAGACTCACATATAAATATTCTCATATAATTCGTAAAAAGCAAAATTAATAAAATGAAAAGAGTAAAAGAAAGGAAGACAACTATTTTTACCAGACAATGTGATGAATGTCAACATTCAATCCATTAATCAAATTTAATCTTACGTCTCCCTCGATAATTCCCTTTCATCAACTTACTAATTAATAAATTTGCCACAAAACAGAAAACTATTCAATAGAAAGCCAACAAATAGGCTCAAGACAACCACACGCACTCCAACGAAATATTTCCAAACAACACAATAATCCGTCGGCGTTGCACAACGTCCTCCTAAAACGTTGGCAACCCTTCGCTACATACTAGTTTCTCTTCCTTATCATATTTATCATCTTCTCATGTTCTTCTCACCGCTCTACTTTGCTTATGTAATGTCTTGCAATTCATTTTCTATGGTGCTCATAGATGCGTCCCTATCGTGACCAATATTTCCTTCATGGATTTCTGTTATTAGTGCGATTCTGTTATGCGTAAAATACCATTTGCCCATAAATTGTGGTGGACATACAGTATTCATAAACAATCATTCATAAATATCAATAGCTGATACTGTTGAGAAGAGGAACAAAAAATAAAAGGAAAAATGGACAATGATCTCTTAATGATGTTTTCTTTGGATGTGACACGAATCAAAGATTGAATTTATTATTTGTTTTTGTTACAGTTCTAAAATATATATAAAATGAAATGAGTAAAGGTATTTTTAACGAACATCATCTCGTCTTATTATTCTCATTATTCAATCACTGAATCACCTCGAATGTTATCCTTCGTTGGATGTGTCATTCATTCTTTGATTTAACTGATATCATTTTCATGGAATACTTCTTCAAAATCATTATCCCAATCGTATGGATCGCTCAGTTGCCGATGATTCGTAAAATCCTGCAGTATATCATATCATCAACTAAATAAATCAAATAGACATGAAGCTTTAATCTTTTTAATCTTAGGTGTAACTTGAACTCAATGCGTTACATGATAATCATTGTAATTATTTGACCAGAATTTTCATCTTACTTGTTTTTACCAGTACTAATACTTCATGAAAATATATCCTGACAATAGCATTTCATAATTAACAAAGAAAATCAACCAGCATTATATTCTGAAGTGCCACATAATTTGGTTCATCGTTTGCATCCATTGAATATACTGCACGTCCAAATTCACGCAAACCTTCACCAACCTTCCCTGTTACACTTTGAAAATCATCTCCTTGCTGGAAGAAAATTATTTCATAATTACATGATTAAAAAAATGGATCGATTCGGTTATCGTTATCGTGAAACATATTTCATTTACATAATTGCATTGTAATTAGATGATTGTGCTAAATGATCAATCATAAGCTTATGCGATAAATATCAAAAAGATATTGCAATTTGCTTCATAACATTCTTGATTTTATTAAATTAAAAGTATATCATAATTGACAGATGTAAAAGAAGGTAAGATTTTCTCAAATCAAACTTACAATTGCTTCTTTTAATGCTTTCACTTCTTCACTTTTTTTTGCTTGCTTCCAAGGTACATTACCAATAACCATTTCAATTGCCGCATAAAACAAACTTACCAGATCATCTGATGGTCCTATTAATGGAGCGAATTGAAATTTCAAATTTTCATTTGTCCAATAAAACAATGTATTAGCAATAAATTAAATTCTGGACGAACTCTCACCAAGATCCTTTCCTTCATGTGCCCGTAATGATGCGTAAAGTACGGTACCACGAAATCCACAATCTCGTCGTAGCGGTCGTACTCGACCATTTGGATAGCGGAAACGTCGAGCCAATCCATAATCAACTATTACTAAGCGATGTTTGCTCTAAATTCATATTAAAGAATTCCACTAAAGATTAAGACTAAAGTAAAGAATAGGGAAATAGATTTTCTGTAAACGACACAAATTAACGATCGAAATCATTTTATATTATTAAAACAGAGAAGATAGTTATTTTGATCTTCTCTTTGCACTTAAAAGTAATAGGATAAATAAATGTTAAGTGAATTAATTGATCAAATATTCTGTAGATTGAATTTATTAAGATTCTGGAAATCTTTCTACTTCCTTTTTCCATCAATCACTAAATGTTTCCACTTGTCTTTTCAAATTTCCGGAATTTTTTTAATGGATAATCTTGAACTTACCACTTTAGAAAGTCCGAAACACAAGTTATGTGGCTTGATATCTCGATGAATATAACCGATCTGATGTATATCCCGCAATCCCGCTATTCCCTGCAGCAAATGAAAAAATTATTTATGGATGGGTTCTTTTATTTTTTGAACTATAAAATCAGCATAAACAAAAATATATATCGCTTCAATTTAATAATAGCTAAATAGGCTGATAGTGATCGATCTTTCGGATCTTTCTCGGATATTCTCAATCTGAAGCGCAATCTGAGAAAAGTACGAACAGCTGTATGATGTTAAAACATCACGAAATACATTTTTCAAGTTAATTGCTACTTATTAGTGAATATTTGTGAACAATTTATTATCCTTTATATTATAATGCTCTTAATTATTCGCTCATTAATTAATTGAAATAGAGATATTTAATTTGAAGAATTTTTGTCAAAAAAAAATAATAACAATTCGATTGAAAATATATCTTAAATTACTTACGTAAGCATATGTTATACAAAAGACTACGGTATTCTTTTATGTTATACAAAAGATTACGGTATATTTTTAAACCTGTATGACAATACGAGCCATAGTTGGACGTGAAAAACGCTTGAATGGACTTTGCTTTCTAATATCGTTTACATTCTGTGATAATAATTGCATAATTATATAATTAACTCTGTTTGTGGAACCACTTCCCCAAAGAAGTGGTACATGTGCTCGTCCTTGTAATCGAACCAATACCTATTAAAAGTTTCGAAGGTCAAAGAAGTAAGTAATACATTATATTGTCTGGTTATCGTTAATTTAAATACTTTGAAAAAAGAGAATTCAATAAACTTCTTGAAAAGAATGTTAACTTTTTGTTCTAAAATTATTCGTCTAGCTAATTTGCCTTTTCGTATTTTTAATTCTGTTTTAATGGCTGCCCCTCTCAACTCTTCCCTTCGATTATCCACAGCAAAAAATATTTGTCCATATCCACCACGGCCTATTAGTCCCTGCAAATGGCATATAAATAGGATATTTCCTACTTATCACTTTTCAATTTAATTATTATTTTGAAATTAATACATAGTCGAAGAATTCCGTCTTACCGTTTAATACTGTCATAACTTTTTATCACTGACTTCTCGTTTAATATCAAATATCTTGAATAATTAGAAATTTAATTGAGGACAATAAAATGGAAGAAATTGTAAAATCAGCATTAAATCTCCACTTTTTTTTGTATGAGCATTAGAAGTTCTAACAAGAAATTTTGGTTTGGTTTAGTCGAAATAAAATCTGTCTAAAATTCCTGCAAACAAGGCATACGCTTATAATCCATCGTTCTGCAACGATATCACCAATTCTAAACAATGGTACTGCCGTACTTCGTTTTTTGAATTTCGGATAAAGGCGTGCCAGACTCCTAAAGCTTATATTATGTATTCATTCCATTACACTTATATGAACACTTATTCTGCTGGTGAAAAATCCTAAATTTATGGGAAATATTTTGAAGCTGATAAGCACATGTTATCATCAGATGAAAGATGACTTCATTACCCAAACATAAGTAAAGACAAAGGAAGAAAAGAAGTAGGTGATGAAATTTGTCAGATGAAATTTTAATATTTCATTTGGAAAATTGCAGTTTTAACAATGAGTCACAAATTAAAATCTAGAAGGTCGCTTCCGAGATATTCGATATGATGACTAATTTCATGAAATTCTTGCATGTTCTCACATCTTGCAAAACTCTCTATGATTTGTATCAATGGTATAAAATACAAACATTGGTATATTTTGTGATATTTGTGTCGATATCTGCATAGTATTCGTTTGTGGATGATTAGCGGCCATTATAGCAATGAATCACCACTTCTATCTGTTCACAACAAATTTTTTACAATCAACCAATCATATCAAAAATGATCGAAAATGCAATTATCCTTGTATTTCTAGTTCTTCCAATCAAGAAATTTGCATTTTCATTGCTATAAACCGAAGACACAAATTGATTCGAAGATTAATAAGACATATGAATTATTATCACCTGACAAATACACTTTTCAAGTAATCATACTGAGTAAATAAGTTGTTTTATTTTATTAGCCATTGCAAGAAGATAGGAAGCTTATCCTGTAGCTCGAATTTACATTGTTTTGAATTTGAATTAACTAATTATTAATAAATACATCAAAAATATGATTATATAAATTTAGTAGCGACATCTTAATGAGATTGTCTTATGTCAAAAACAGCTACAATTCATGGCTTGATTTCCACTAAAATATTACTGTCAAGTAATTCATTCGTAAATCGCTGATAAAGTGATCACCAAGAACGTTTAACTTCTACGACTAGCAAACATGTGGAATTCGCATAAGCTATGCAAATTCCTCACCACCGTCATATACATGAACGAGTGGCAAGACATCTCTAAACCACGGGTTTAAGTTGAATTTTCGATAAAGCGCGTGATGAGCAGTTCACCTTGTAACACTTGCAATGAGAAACAATGGAAATCGCAAATCTGGGTGTTAGCGAAATTATCACTGTTTGCAGCGGGAGTACTCTCGTACTACTAACCTAACCTCAGTAGCAATGCGGATGCTGAATGAATGAGCTGCTGAAAGCGGTAGTTGGATCACTAAGAGGTTGATTGCGGGATGGAATTGCTTGTGATGTACCAAAGAATGTTGAAGATTTTAGGGTGATCTTGGCTCGAACTCTAATGTTCTGGCGTAGCAATAATGAAGTGACCCGAAGAATTATGAGCATCAAACTAACCTGTAAGGAAACGATTTTCCCGCATATTACCAATGATGACCTCCCGGTCGGAACGGTCTTCGCCATATCGACTGATAATGATAAACTTTAAAACATGTTTATGTCTTATGGTTTTTTATTTTTTTCATTAATTGTGAGAAAAAGTAAAACAAAGATGTAAAATAATTGTTCTTTGCATCCTTACCATGGATGAATGATATTTCCATCTTTTCAGAAATGGAAGTAATTTCACAAATCCATCTAAGTATCAACTTATTTAGAATGATCCCATCATACTATGTTGCCGCCTATCCTGGATTTACAGGTTTAGCAAATCAGAGTTATGGCTGTGATGTAATGATTATGACCAGAGGCTAATTTTTCCATAGTAAAGAGGAGATTTGCTGGGGAAAAATAATAGAAAGTACTAACATGGAGATCCTCAGTAAAATTGAAAAACTGAAAAAAATAGTGATGTTTCTTTTAAAAATTAGCATTATATGTCTTTTTGCACGTTCGAGGGAACGATCACGTATCACTTGATTATTCTATAAAATCCCAATGATGAAATTTTGGTAAAAATGTTGCATTTGAAAAAAGTTTATTTCGAAAATTTATCAATTTCTGAATCCATACATATCACATTAATCTTGACTAATAAAATGTGTTTTCAAATCTTGACCGATCATTTCTATATTACTCCAGAAATTACTTTCGCAGCATACGTAACAGAGGATGTAAATTCTAGGACATAAATTTTGAAAGAGGTGTAAAAAGAAGTATAGTGATCGACCGAAATAGAGCAGATTTCGGTAAATAAAAATGTAAACGAAATTTATTCAAGGTCAGAGAGCAGCTTCACATGGTGCTTCGAATATCTCAACAATACAGCGAGGTGTACTTTCAACGAAGAACACACATATGAAGCTACTGGCTGTCCTCGTTTTGCGGTGCTCCAGGGAAGAATAAAAAATGAGTAGAAGGTAGAAGGATAAGACGGGAATTATAATCTTGCACGGATATAATGGCTGAATAAAATGACTGAAATGTAAACATTTGGATAAAACATCATCAAGTGGAAAATGAGTAGACTTATACCAACAACACTCCATGTTCACCTAATTTCGAATGGAGTATATTACAAGAAATTACAGAAAAAAATTAGAAAACGGTACTGCATCTCATACCGTCGATACAAGTCTTGCTATTTGAAATTATCTCACAGGTAATACCGACAGTGAATATTTCATTTTCACTATGCTGAAATTACTTGACTCATAACTCATTCTTCAGGAATCACATCGAAACAAAGTAAAAACGAACTGCTGATCTGTCTTTATGGTTGATCTTCCGTAATTTAATCCGTTACTATGTACAGCTGGCATCATATTTGTCTTGTGAGGATAAAAATTATTTTAATATTCGTCAGTTGGAAATATTAAAACACAATGGTACTTACTGCTTTGCGAACTTTCACGATAAGCGTTTTTAAATCAAACAATGGTATTGTCTGATTTAAAAATCTCAGTCACTATGGTATTAGTATCTACGGGATACTATTATAACGATGGATTATAATTCAGGTCCATCTTTCTAGCTACTATTCTAATATTGCAATAAATCATCAAGGATACACCCCTATCAACGGACCGTATACAAGTCTCTTCAGAACCGTATATAGGTCTTTTCAGACTAAATTCATCTTCTATGTTCAAGAAATGGCTTTTAATGCTCAGGATTATCGTAAGCATGGCAATAGCAAATTATTACACTGCGACGATTATACGGTAACCAAGCATTTTGGTACTAGAGTACTAAAAATCTAGCTTTATATATGTAGATATAGAGCAAATCTATCAGTCATCATTCTGCAGAATCTATAAACATACAATTCTTATTTCACTCTCAAACTCATCCTATCACATTCGATGTAAAATCCAACTTTTATTCAACAGCTGACATCTTTATACTGAGAATATCATATTAATATAGCATTTAGAAGTTTTGCCCCTTTATCATCAAGTTTATCTACCGATCTAAAAGTTACGATAAAAATGCAGAATGAACAATATTAAGTATTATAGTAATACCATAATTGCTAATTTCTTATTATGTACATAAATAGCACAACATATCCGTCAAACTAAGCAACGGTTTCAGATCATCATATCAAATAACCTACCATAATCAACCCATCACTAAATAATCATTAACTAACGGAAAATGTTATGAGGACTTTTATTGTTGCCACATCTTACGTGCAATGCATGAGTCGTTCTGAAAAAGCGTTGTCCCGGTACTGGAAAGAAAAATTTGAATACAGGGACGTGTTATCTTGCCATCAGAACATAGAAAGCGCTGTTATCCTAATTCACATGACGCGTCCTCCTTTACGTAAAAGTCCTTCTCCGGCCGAAACACAGTTAACTGCATTTAGTTGGAGGAAGTGCAGCATGGCAAATGATTGTAAGAATATGAAATACTTTAGCACTATTGATTAGTAGAACATAAGTGGTGTCTTTTCACGATCTTTCAATCATCTGATGGAATCAACCGATTTTTCATTCCCTTAGACTATTACGAAAATGGCATGTTCACTAAAATCTGGGAAAAATTCATCTAAATTCCCCAAATTTTTTATGGTTTTAAAAGGAACCAATTGATTACAGATATGGACTTCTATTTAATGAGACATTTCAAGAATAATCCAGAAATTTTCGAATAAAAAAGAAGGGAAAGAGATCGCTGACACTGCCATAGAAACCTTTCTAGTGTTAGGACAGTGGAGTTTGTATTGACCAGGTATATGCACATCATTATTGAATGGTGCTGAAACGAAGAGAGGAATAGTAATAGAGCCAACACTCTAGTTCTTGGCTCATGAAAGTTGATGTATTTCTAACAAGCATCTTCGTATGTATAGGTTGACGTATGAGGAAGATATCGGTCGCGACGACCCCGTATATCGAATGCATGTACACCGGTATCTAAATGAACGCCTTACGCTTGCTTGTCTCATTCGTCTACATGCCTCCACCTGTGTCTGACACATCGATTACTGATTCATATTTAGCATATACTCTCGATAATATTAAATATACACAACTGATTTATTTTGACACCTTCCTCGTGACTGTACCAAAAATGCTGCCGAAGCCAAGTTTGCCCTTTTCCTTGACGGTAATGGACGTTCTCACGAGGATGGACAGGTGGTGATCAAGATTGAAAGATATTGGACTACTTGACCGGGTCTATCTGGTAATCCTGATTAAGATAGACAATTTACTGTCGCTTACTAACTTTTATTCTGTTTATTGCTCGGATGATATTTGGTCATACCAAGTTTTATGTGACAAATTTTGTTGTGCTTTTCACCAATTTTCTTTATTGTTGTGTGTTTATTTTCACACTTTGTTTTCTTTGCCAGATGTTGTGTTAATCAGTTTTATGATCTAAAAATAATTAGAATATATGAAATAACAAGTAAGTCAAAACAACTTCATTTGTAAATAAATGTGCGCGAAAGTACATAAACGAGTAAACAACAGCAATATAAACTGTTTCCTGCTTGGTTTGTCATATTTCAAAGACACATGTTTACACACGCAACGAAAATTTCGTCCAATGTGTTATGCCCGTAATATATTTGAGAGCAAGAAAAATGAATATAGGACAGATAAATTGGAAAGAAACAAGTAAATTTCAACAATCAACAAATAAATAAAACAAACAGATAAGACACTGCTTGAAAAATAGATCGAGTTTATCAGAATAATAGAATGTAGAAGATTCTACAGTGAAGAAGGGGAGGAAAGAAAACAATGAGGTACCAGTAATAGGTTATGTAAGGGGAAATCTGAATAAAGCTGTAACTAACTATGAACACATCCTCTGTTTTAAATGAACAACAGCCAAAAAAGTAAAAAACAAAAAGTAAGCAATAATAAGTTCAAACAACGGGTAGAACAATTAGAATGCATGAGATATCTCAAGTTCCTAAAGTGGCGCATTATGGCGCCAGAAAAAAAGTAAATTAATGAGATAACAAAAAATCATTCTTAATTGTGGTGAAGTTTTGAAACATCAACTAAGTGCCATACAACTGTTTAATGTTTCAATGAAAAGGGAAATAATGTTGTCATGGTGACAGCGACAGTAAAAAATCTCACCTTCCTTTTCTTTATAGAACGATTGCATTTAGTGATACACTACTGCGCTTTTACCGTTGGCATAAATATGTACAAGTAAAATTATGCATTTCAACGAAGTTTGAAAAAAAATACATTATAATTCAGACTTTTCAAAATAACTGTTTATATGCTTTGCACAATTTGTCAGTTGCAACAGAGACTGTAGCAAACTGCAACCTTCGCCTGTAATCTGAATTTGCAATAGCAACCGATAAATGTCCTTCCAGCGGTTCACTTTCGAATTACAACGTGTGACCAAACACTGCAATTCAAATGAAAATTTTGGTGAGAAGTAATCAATAAAAATAAATCTGTCATACCTGTAGAGTATCCTTGACGATGTTTCGGACATATTGCACAAAGAGATGTAATGATTCGCGATAACTGTTGAGATCCGTTAAAGAATCATCTTCCTATAAAAAAATCAATTGAAGATTCAGGAATTTCCTCTGTAAGCAGCATCGAAGAAGAATATCAAAAGTAAAATTTTTTGCATGTTGCTATAATAATATCATACCTGTAAATAATCATGTATCCAAAACTGAATAATTTATGGAGGAGTATTTGTACTTGAGAGATACCTATTGGAAGTCTAACCACTAATAACGATCAAACAAAATCATGCGTTCTTTTCAAGGGTAAAGACTCTATTCACCATATTTGCTTATTCGCGTAAATCTGCTTACACTGTCTTCAAATGACATAACGTATGTTCCATCATTTATAAATCCACATATAAAATCAATCAAAATTAAATGACATTCCATTATCTCCTGACAACATGTCCAATTTTTACATTATTTCAATGACTCCTGCTAAAGTTAGATAAATTCATATATGGAAAATGTTCCATATTGAAGGTCACATTTACAATAAAAAAGTGTAAATACTAACAAAAAATTCCTTCCTCTCTTCTTCGGAGGCAGAAAGTAAGGTTTGTATGTGCTGCATTAATGGTTGAGTTGCTACGAATAATGCAGCCAATGATCGACGTGAACGTTTGATGCGTGCATCGGCAGTACTGATATGTGTATTGACATCTGAAAATATCCAAATAAAAATTGAAAGTTTTGCGTTATTACAACCAGATTGCAAACAGATTTTTTTCTGCAAGCATGAAAACACGGAATAAGCAAGCTTATAGTGCTATGTTATTGCTGTAACAGTAGAAACTTATAACTTATGAAACTTCACGGTTTCAAAAACTTGTCAGAACAAAACTCCGAAGTGAAGATAAACTGACCTGAACACTTTGTACTTTCGAGAACAGCTCTTAAAGCTGTTATACACTCTCGGAGACATATTTTTTCTTGCTTTTTAGATGACTTTGTTCTCGTATTTCTAATAATCTTCTCCATTACATAGTTAAAACATGCGTTATAATGTTCGATCGCTTGCCGTTCATAATCTTTTAACTTGCGAGATGAGCCTATAGTGCCGTGTTGATGCTATAATAGTGCATGAATGAGTGAATAAGAGTTAAATGCATATCAACACAAGATTACGAATAAGAATAAGCGAAACAGGAAGTATACATATCCCAAATAATTTCGTAAAGTAAACAGAAAAATGAAACGTTAAATTAATGATTGGAAAAGACAGACTTCCATGAAACTTCTCTATCCTTTATACCCAGGATAGAACCACACAATATCTCTAAACAAAAATTTAGCGAATCACTTCAAAAACTTGAATAAATACCATGAAATATTAAATTAAAATTATAAATAAAGCCTACCGCTGCGTGCTGGAATAATTTGCCAAACCGAAACATAATTTCAACAATAGACCGATCTGCTATAGAATGCATTTTTGGAGAACATTTCACAGAATCACGAATCAAGATATAAGCCGACTGAGCACGTGCCAAAAACTCATGTATTTCAACGGTCATCTTCAAAAGCATCAGACAATGAGAAAAGTGTAATTTTTTACAATATTTCAATTTGAAGAAGTTGGAATTTTGCTTAAATTCTTTTAGTAGCGAATTTAACATGAAAATTAGAGACCCAGTTTCAGCTAATCAAGAATCCATATAGCTTTAATTAAAACTAGCCTTTCAAGCCTTTTCATTTCACTAACTAAATATTAAAGTGACAGAATCACCTTTTCAGGACGACTTTCTATCATTCCTGGTTGCACATTATCTTGAAGCCTTATTGCATAGGTGAGGTAAATGCCAGCCAAATCCTTACTAATACTTTCAAATAGTGGAAACTGCGCACCTCGAAAATCCGCAATTGTGGTCAATGCTCGCTGATAATGCTCGACAGCCTGCACATTAAAGTGGTAAATGCATGAATGAACAAATAACAATGAACAGTACAAAAAATATTTGTCACCAAAAATCTATAAACTTGAAGCAAACACTCAGTTCTGCCATAACACATAAATTCAAATTATCAATATTAACCTCCAGAACATAGTTCTTCTCTTTGACGGGATCATATGGCAAATTGAAATCAGTAAAATACATTTGGCAGTGTAGCTGTAAACGATACAGCTGGCCAATATTTGACAGCAAAAATGCCTCGTTGACACGATCATCAGCCAAAACAAACAGCGAAATGCCCTAGAAATTTTCAAATACTGCGGCATAAATTACAAGCAAAAAAATTTTCGTTCGCTTTTTACATGTAAATGATTAAAGTGAAAATGTTAAAACGATCAGCAATTGTTCAATTAGGTTCATGAAAAGGAATATACAAATAATTTTAAAAAAGTCAATAACAATAACTTCACTCTTTTGAGCATGTGAAATGAGACAAAATAGACGATGACCATCTCTGCAGCTCTGTCAACAGGAAACACAAATTTGCAGCATAATTGACTTGAAATTTGCGAAAGTGGAGGTGTAACTATAATATTCAATACCTGCAAAAGCAGCTCTTTCCCAGCTTTCACGGTCCTTTCAACCATTTCTTCTGGTTCCATAGTACTCAGTGATCTGCATGAAGTATCATTTGAAGTATCTAACGTATCAATATCCATTGCTACATATTGCCGCATTGTTTCTGGAAACAAGTAATTATCTTTGTGCTTGGACGGAAATTTTCTTTTGATGCTTTTGCAGCGAAAATAACTTCCGCTCTCGTACTGATATGTTGGATAAGAGCCACTAAACAAATTAAACGATGCATGAACAAGGCGATAGAGAAACAAGCAGAAATATCTACCTTTATCAGTAAATAACTTTGCTCCTTTCTGCGCCGCACGTTGGACAAAACCTTTAAGACGTTCTATGTGATGCACAGCCAAAACATTTTTTAAATTACCCAAACGACGAGCTAACTGATCCCGATAAAGAATAGCATTCGCTGTCGGCGGGAACAAGGACATTGGAGCTGTAAGGAATGACAAATAGAATAAATAGAATAAAATGATAATTGAACAAAATGACCAGAAAAGGTTAATTTTTATCTTTGTAAAGCTTTGTAAGTGCTGAAAACAGCCAAATTTTAGGACATATACTAAAATTTGCAAATACATATAATTTGCAAAAATTTGCAAAAGCTCAAAAGATTTAAAATAATTGCAGCAGCAGAAAAATAAATAACTAATCTTACCAATTTTTTTACCCGTTGCAATAGCTACAGCAGCAGCGCGTTCAGAAATTGCTAATAGTTCGACAAAGGGTATATGAAAAGTTTTAGGGAATGCCCAACTGTATGGACGACCTGAAAGTATTTCGGAATTCAGAAGTAATTCGGCGGAATAATTTCACAGCAAAAGCGAAAAAGCCGATAAAGATCCTGCTTGGTAATATATTCATACACATTCTAAATAAGCGTTGCAGTGAGTATTGCATCGCTTGAATGACCTCACAACTTGATGATGTTTTTACGTTCGTTTAGAATTAGACAAAAACATTTACACCTCTATAGAAGAATTTGCACTTAAGCTCAATGTCCTACATTATTTCTAGTCATAAACACACAAAATACACTTTTAATACAATAAAATATTAATAAAAATATGGTTCAAAATATGACGAGATGCAGCAACCTTTCACATACTACAAAGTCAAACTCATTGAACATAATTTTAAATGTTGTACCAAACACAAAAAAGGTATTTAGTAATAGAAATAAACATAAAATTCTATTTCCACATTGTCAACTGATCTTATAATTCCTCATAAATCATCTAAATTTTTGCATCCGGAAAGTATACCTAACAAATTAAAATTGATTTTCCATAGAAGAGAAACGGAAACTGCAAGTTTTGAATAGTATCTTTCCATGAAATTGATTCCCTACTTACATGCTTCTTATAAGTCTACATAGTCATTATTCAGCACCTTACGCTTGTCGACGGAACTAAGACAGTAATATTCCCCATAGAAAGCTGAAATATTCTTTTTGATTTTTATCAGTTTCCATTCATATCCTACCATTTCTGACTTTTTCTGAAATTTCACAACCTTTAATCTGCTCTCTATGCTAAGTATAATCCAAATGTGTGCAAATCTTTTCCAAAGATTAAAATAATTCATATTGCACAGGCCAGAATGTACACTAAAATAGTGCTTCAGTTCATCGCAACCGAACTTCGAAAGTTCCGTAAATTATAAAAACAAACAAACACTACTTTTGCCAGTTTTGCAGACTTTTGCAAGAGATCCTCCATAGCTTCTAGCACAGGTAGCAGGATTCAAATTGGCAGCAACTGTGGACGAAGTAAAAAAACTGGTCTGAGTCAAAATGCGACCCTCAGTGGAGCCATGGTGCCCAACTTCTTTGATTTGATTTGTATCCTTTTCTTGAACTTCTGAACCAACGTCACCAAAATCATCGACTGATGAAGAGAGTGGAGTTGATGCAGCAGTAGCATCGGCAAAAAATGACGAGTGTGAATCTTAATAAAATAATTACGTAAACATCATTGAATTAATATGTTTATTGTAAAAAGTTAAATAAAAATTGCTTACCATGATTATTATTCAGACAATCCAATGCATGTGCTTTAATTTGTTTGTCCCGGTAGCAACGTTTCAGATCGGCCTGGAAAAAAATTAAGCTACGAAGCAGAAATACAGCAACACCACGTTAAAAAAAAAATAGATTACATACATAATTTTTCATTCTTCCAATAAATTAACTCTACCTTAGCCTGATCTTTAACTGGAAGTGAACTGCACGCGATACTCCCGAGAGCTTCCGCGATATGACACATCATTGCAGGAAGTAAAGCTCGTGCTGTGGCTTGATTTCGTTGAGCATGCTCAGAAACTAGACCCGCATTCAATGCCAGTACCGCAACTGAAACAAACTGGCAACGTCACTTAATCATTCGATCATTAATAAATCACTGAAGTTTGTTGATAAAAAAGTAACACAAGAAGGAATACAGGTTAACAAACGACTAAATTTACTAGTTCTTAATGATTAACAATAAGGTGAATGTCAATATACCATTATATTTGAGTTTATACCATTTATTCATGCTACGATTTGCCGAAATTAAATACTAACGACAGCAATAGAGCCCGACTCGTGCAAATCTCAATGTTCGGCCATATCTTGATAAAATGAACGAACTATCAGCCAGCATGCGGTAAGCACTTCCAGCACGAATGAACAAAATGGAACGGACATCTACTTTAAGCATTGCATCTGCTTCTTCTGTGAATAAATAATTTGTGAAAAATGTAAACAAAAGAATTATAGTTCGAAAAAAAATAACACAAAACGATTTTTTTGAAAGAAGCGAGCGAGATGGTGAGAGCGAAAAAATGAATGACGAAAGAATAAACAATGAACAAATAGTTAACTAACCTCTACCATGATCAATATTCGCACCTATATCTCGGATAAAAGACATCGGATCGGGCAAAGGTTTTCCCAGCCGCTGAGCTTCTTGCTCAATTTGATCAAACAAATCCATATATCGTAAACCCTACAAAAGCAACAATATCAATGAAAGCATTTGAATACCTTCACTAAATACCTCGCATAATTCATTCATCTTACGGCACAAAATCAGCGAAATCGCGTCATAAAAAAAAGACAGAAATAACCATTAATTACTTTTCCTTCCGCTATTAAATGCTTCTAGTAAATTGCCTGACAGAAGAGTAATGAAACGCTGATTATGATTATGGTTATGCTCTCTCAATAAGAAGAACTAACCTCTAGGCAATGTTCCAAGGCTTCTTTACAGCAGTCTTCTTTAGTTGCGCAATTCGGCAACGTACGTAGCTTTGGTGGCTTGTCACGTTTACCAGCTGTGTAACGTGTCTTCTTTAATGACTCTATCTGCAAATAAATAACTTCAAATAAAACGAAAGCTTATGAATACAATCCGCATTTGTATCAGATCTATTATTCAAGTTTCATTAGCAAACCTTAATCTAAACAAAATTAAAACTCAGTGTATTTAAAAGTAAACCAAATTCAATTATAAAACTTAGTGCCGCAACTTTATTTGGAAATATTGGACTCGATTTATAGAACATCACAGATCTCAATCGTTCTGTCTTTCCTTGTCCATTTATATATCCATTTTATTCGAACATAAACTATACCGAAATAGCCGCATAGCTGGCATATTCTTCACCATATTCTCGCTGCCATCTATCATCATAGGTCCACTGAGGTTCGGCACGTTCCATCTCCTCTTCTTGGCCTGCACTACGTTTCACTGCGTCACAACCATATGAAAGATATAAGTTGGCCAGTAAATAGTATACACACGCTACTATCTAAATAAAATGTAAGCTGTGAAGTAAATTAATTACTTGAGCAAAATCGATTTTAGCACGAGAATCATTTACTCATATTCACATAAATGGGTATCAAAATCATTATATCACATCAGATTTAAACCAATTCAATTTATAGCAAAAGCAAAAAGAGCTATCATTAAAAAAATGAAATCCGAAATCTTATTTGACCCTGACTACACATTATTCGAGAAAAACTCATATAAACTAATGATTATATCCTCCACAAAAGCATGAGACAAATTTAATTTGAAACCAAGGAATCAATAAAACTGGAATTTGAGGATAACAGTAAACCAACCTGTGGATGTTTCTTTCGATCAATAATACCCAAGCATACATTCAATAGACGAAATACAGCATTAGCAATACGTTTCGGGCGTCTATGTGCTGAGCGACGCATAAGATTACGAGCTACCTGTAAACAAAAAAAAATGCAGAAAAAAACTGGACTATAAAAAAAAAATCTTTAATCAAAGTAATGAAAAACCTATTCTATTTTTGTATAATTTTTCTATGGAGAAAGAGACTTCTAATCTCTCATTCTAGGCTTCTTCGAAAGAAATCTTAAATGAAATTAAATCTAAAAAGGAAATATAAAGACAAAAGTATATGTCAAACTTTTTAAGAGCTGAAATAATGATTTCTTACTTTATAGATAAGTATTCCGACACTCAGCGTAAATGGATTAGCTGTAGAATCTTCCAACAGATCACCACACAGCGGCGTCAGATCCCACAGTCGAAACATTGGTTCACGATCATTATCACCTTTGTCTGTGTTAAATAAATACTTGAAGGATAAATGGTCCTACGCAGAAAACAGCTTCATTTTCAAACTTTTTCCTTTATTCTTTTGATCCACTCATACTTCTCATATATCCATAAACAATTCCTCTTCCAAAGAAGCATCTTACCATGACATAACCAATATGTGTGTCCCTCCTGCGCAACTTTGTCTTGCAGGAATGCAATAATGTTTTCCGCAACATTCCTCAAAACAAGCGGATCGAATTTTGAATTTTCCAAATGTGGGATATCTTCTGTACGAATCAACTCATATTCCTGAAAATGAAATGAGTGAGCAAAAGGGACGAATAAATATGGAAATAAAAAACCAAATCTAAATGCGTAGAATTCCTTCTTCTTTGAGCAAGAAAAAAAGCTTTTGAACGTAAATATGACAATAAAATCAAAACAAATCTAATATAAGTATTTAAATAATGAAAATGAAAACTTACCTTTACATAGCCACCTAAATGCCAACAAAGTAATGCTTCAGGTGCATTACACATTGATTGATCCAGATACAAATCCACACCAGTTAAGAAATTGATAGGACGTTGTTTGAGATCTCTGAAACAAATAAAAATAATCTTTCCCATTTACTAAATCATTTGCTTTAACGAAACAGCTCAATAGATGCAGCGAGGCAATGTAGAAGATGGACTAACTTGGGATGTAGAGTAACGCATGGGTTGGATTTACAACCAAATATCGGCAAATTAACATCAACAAGCATATTGAGATCATAAAAATTCCACAACCGACCGTAAGCATCTAGTTCGACCTACAAAAAACAAATAATCAAAATATTTTAATCAGAGTGTTAGACAGCTCATAATCAGAGTGTTAGATAGTTAATGAACATTTCGTTTAAATCTTCCAACAAATTTTACTTGCACTTCCAACAATTTGATTTCATCCAAGTATGTCAAATTTTTGAACATGTAAACATAATAATAGAGTAAGAAGAAAAATATTTACTTTTTCATCATCTATTTTTATTTTTGTGTATAAATAATCTTCTAATGGATCGACTAAACCATCATTTTCTTTAACCATTTTTGGTGATTCATTTTCATGATCTGAAAAAAATAGAACAGATGAAAAGAAATAAAGAAAAGTAAGCTAAAAATTAGGTGAAATAATTATGGAAAACATATACTTTTATTGTTCTGCGTTGGAACATCCTGTTCTGCAGTAACTGCCATATAATCTAGCGATGCCAAACTGCAAACAAAAAAAAACGAGCATGACAACAATACATCTAACAAATAATCTAAAAATTGAGTATCTGAAGCGATCAAATGACTACAGAAAATCGTTATTATCCCGGAAAGACTTAGCACTAAAAACTACAAGATTTTAATAAACTTGCTTACCTTCTAGTGTACAAACTCTCAGTTATCATTTTGCGATGCATATCGGCAATTATATCACCAGTTGTACTTCCTGTTCCTGTTTTGGCACCAGCAATACCAACAAGACATTGAGATTTAGAATTGAGAAATTCTGCCACAGGAGAATTGCCAACAGTTGAATTCATACAGGTATACTTAAAATAATGAAATTAAAATCGGAAAAGCTCAATGTTTATAAGCTCTTTTTTCAAGCCTGAAAAACTTACATTCTTTAGATAGGCACAATTATCCAGCAGTAGCGTTTTCCCGATTTTATGAACTATTAAATTTAGTGGTTGTTTGGAGAAGGGTGTAGCAATAAGTTTTTTCAACGTTTCAGCTTCAGCGACGACATCAATACCACCAACTATAGCATCGATATAACAATCAGCAAGACGAAGACTGCAAAATATCCATATTTAAAGAGCAGGAACATTTCAGACCTATAGTCTCAAAAACTGCGACTTTGATAATAAAAACTGCTTATTGCAAATCGTAAAATCCTTCCGAAAAACCATGAAGACTGTGTTCTGCATGAAGCCCAGTTACATCAAACAAAGAACAGTCCCGATAAATATGTTTCCCTAATTCCGAATTCAAAAGAGATTCAACCGACTGCCAGTTAGTTACCTTTCGAAACAGTCTCTAATTCGAGTATTGAAACTCCACTGCCCAATACCGCCTCTATTCCTGCTTCTCGAAAAATTTCCTGATCCGGCAGTGCTAGTCGTTGTTCCATGACTTGTACTTGAACCGTTCGCCCTTTCTGTCCAAAAATCATCGTACGCATCAACAGACCATGCATTCAACGGTGGCACATTCAAATTAGTATTGAGTTCCAGCTTCACAACTGGCAACGGTACAGGTTGTATTGTATTGGGCAAACAACTGCAGACATTAAATATTATATTAAATGAGAAAAATTTAGAATTTAAAAAACGAAAGGGTAACGAATACTTCCATAATAGCTTCATTAACCAGACGTTTTTTTGAAACTAAGATAAAACCGCAACTTAGAATGTTAAAATATCCGACTATTCAAAGAACCCGCGTTGAATTTCGTGAACGCCTCCAAAAAGAACTCTCAAAAACACCAAACTTCATTATTCGAACACAATCCAAGCGTGTCCATCGCAAAACTTTTTTTCTCAGAATATTACAACAAATCATAAAAAGGTTTCAGATGAACTAATTATTGCATTGTAATTAAATACTAAGCTAATCTATATCATACGTAGGCAAGAGTTTACTGTAATAGACATAAAAAATATCTTGTTGTAGAGAACATGAATCAAACTAACTAACAGGATTGGCTTCGCATTGTAGGCAATCATCGATCCATCAGTAATTGTTGGATTGGATGCCGAAGTTGATGATGACGATGTCTCTGCCATTAATCACCAAACTTTTGAAGAAACTTCAATGCAAACTAATCATTATTATTTCTTTTTTCTTGCAGATATTTCTAGCAAAATTTCACGAATTTCAATATATTCGCATAAGAAATTCCCATCTCCACTTTGCATTTACATTTTTTGATTCTACAGAACATTGCAATTCTCAGCATTTTTCAAAATATAACCATGAATTCACCAAACTTTTCCATTTTTCTTGATCCAAAAAAACTCTTTGTCGTTACACTTTTAAAAGCGTTACTACCCGCAATTAATAAATATTCGCAAAATAATTACAAATTACAAAATTTTGATGAAATAATCAAACAGCACAACAACTGAAGCCATTTCGAACAACAGATTGAACGTAAGATCCACGATCAGTGTAATGAAATGCACAGTTCAATAAATAAAGGAACTAATCGAATTAAGTCCCAAGTCATGAAATTAAAAATATCGAAGTACCCAACATCAAGAGCTATAATTAGATAATAAATGTCATCCGAAGCATATAAGCTATCAAATACAGTGAGATGGCTGTTGTCAATCGAGGTTGTTGAGACAATATTTTGGATACGCTTGTGTCTCCCTTCCCCACTTCCTAATCTCATGTCCAGATTTCTGTTCTCATTTCCTAGCCTCAAGACTGGGCTTCTGTCCCACTTCCCAAGTTTTTAGACTTATATTCATACTTTTTAACTCCTCTAAGGCTACTCGTTGGCGCAAATTACCTGCAAATATAGTTCTGCTCATATTTAAAATCATAATCGAATTAAATCCGAACGTCTGCCACCCAGTAACGAAAGAGATGCAAGGCTTGCGAAGTGAATATTTAAATTAGGTTGGGGGCCTTTGAAAGTGGTCTTACGCAACTGCATGTCTCGTCGCTTGTCCATACATACGAGCCATATCAGTACCGTAATTTTGCTCCTCTCCTCCATACTCATATATGCATACATAATACCTACATGTAGATATAATATGCCTCTCATCGAAATTCCGATGTCAACCGTTGTTATCAAAAGTATCATCATGTAGAGGTGATGGGAATCGCTTCAATAATTTCTAGGAGGTCTGAGGATAGATAATCACTCAGCAACTCCATCAAAGCATTTGTCTGAATCATTGCAAGTATTACATAATCCTTCATTGTATGTGCTTTAAGAAGCTTATCAATCTACTATTTACAGCAGGAGATCGTATTATGCCTCACTAATGGGAAGCTTTCGATTTATAGAAGTCACTTCATCCATTAGGACTCAAATTTCTCCGAAACATGAGTCACAGAATAGTTGCTTACTTTTTTCTCTCACACCGGGATACGGGAGAACTGAATAAGCCTATATGAGCACACTCGACCAACCTTCAAATTTCAAAATTGTTATTTGCAAAATACTTTTTCTTACATCTCAAAAAAATGGTTTGGTAGTACTAACGACCATCGTACGGATAACGAATGGGTCTAAATATGGATCCTTAAAGGCTTACTACAGATATGAATGCAGGATGAGACGAGAAGTTCTGTGACCTTACAATATACTCTCAAATTTTTACAACATATTTCATAAACAGTAGTAATATAACATTTAATATTTCATCAAAACAGAACTGACTCATTCTCATCAAATATAGAATTAGAGAAATTGTATGATTATAAGTAAATGGGTATATAAGTTCAGAATTAAAACACATCGGATAGATTAGACAAGAAGTAAATTGTATCACAGATGTGTTTCAGGTATTGTTGATTTAATTCCACCATGGGAAAACGTCGACACTAAGTCCACTTGCCAATGAAAATGAATGCAACGATGCATAGATCCTGAAATATCATTCGGTAAAAAGATACGGTATTGTTTTTCCCTGACAGACAACAGAATTATCTGCTATTTAGGATAACGTAATATCCAAAGGTAACACTTTTGCATATTAATTATGATCATAAATCAGCATTCCTCACATACTGAAACAATTTTCGCCGATTTTCAATACTATAGTGGATCGAATAACAATTGCTAATACTAAGAAATCAATTATTGACATTATGGAATAAATAAAAAGTTCACAAAATAAACTTATTTTTTTGGAATAACTGCAAATTTTAAATTATCTACTGGAAAAAGTTGAGTTAAATTTTTTGAATTGAAAAAAAATAAAAGTAGGAAATGTGTGGAAAAAATCTTTGCGATAAGAATATACGTGTAATGTTTGATAAGTGCTCCAATACTAATAAATTCTGGCGGTGCTTCATCACCATAATCTACATAAAGTAGTCTTGTACGAAGATTTTTATCATATCTTTCTTTGATTAGATAATGGCTGAAATTGATAGCAAATTTATAAAGCACTTTTCCCTCTCCTCCTCACTCTCGTATTTCTTTTCTTCCCTACTTTTTCTTTTGTTCCCAATCGAATTATTAATTTATCATTTTATAATATTATATTTCTTTAGGGTTAATTTAATTATTAATAATAAACTTGAATTAACTAGATAGTGCTCAAGAAATCGAATATTAGACTAGTTTTCAATCAATAATGATAGATAGCCCAAGGTTGACATGCTTGGCAAAACTATCCTAAACATTTATTTCATTATTCATATCAAAATAAACCCCAGAGGATTTTAGTATTTGGTGATTTGATCATTAGGATTCCATTCTGATTATATCATATTGCCTCATTGCAAGCACAAGGAAATTTCAGTGTTTGTTCATTGATGCATGTTGAAGGGTGAATTAATGAGTAATATTTCATATATATCGCTATGTATTGAACTTAATGATATGAAATGAAAAACTTACTAGAAATTGCCACAGCTATTTTTGTAAACGATGCATAATGAAATTTTTTTGTTGATTATTTCTTTCAGTGAATGATATACCTAATAGAATATTTTAGTTTACATTTGTTGAAAATAATATCGATATATTGAAATGTGTTTTATAATTTTTGCATGATATTGAAATTAAGCTGAGCTGATATCTTATTTTACTGTTTACTTGTCATATAATTCAAAACTTCGATACATCAAATCATTTCTTATTTTTTCCTTTTTTTGCAAGGCATTAACATACTCTAAATGCAGTATTACGTGAAACAAATAATTCAGCAGTTTCTGGTGTAACAATTCCAATGTAATATCGTTTTATTGGAAACGCTGGACTATCTTCTAGGACCGCAGATTCTTTTGTTCTAGAAACAAAAAAGATTTACTATAATAAAATATCGGGCTGATTACAGAGATAGCCTAATATTGTACCACATTACAGGCTAGATGTTATGAAGAATCTGCTTATATTCCTGCTAATTGCTCATTAATATGATGGATACTGTAAGTGCAGCGGAGTGCAGATCATTTATACTGTATAAAACTGACTTGGTTAATTCTTCTTCCTCAACAGGCCCTCTTTCACAAATATATTCTTGACCCAAAAATCGTGTGAATTTGAAATTTGTAAATCTGAAATAGAAAGGCAGTATCTAATTTTAATAATTTCTCTCTTCTCTTCTTCCTCTTTCATTCTTTTATCTCTTCCTTTACAATAAAAGAAAAGAAATGTACGATTTTTCTCGTTGTAAGCGAAATGGCCATTCTTTTTCAGGAGAAGTACTCTAAAATTAATTCATTCAAAAATTTGCAATCATAATCGTCTCTATTGTAAAAGATAAATATCATGCATGTTAAAAATCATCCTGTTGAATGAATGAGTTAATCCGGCACGGATTAGCGATAATCCTATAACATTTTTTCCGATCTACATAACAGCTATGTTCCAATATCTCATATAACTGGTCTTGTTAAATTTATTTCTACTTTTATTTAGAAAAATATATTTAATTGTTTTCATTGTTCCTTGAAAATAGAATGATATAGAAGAATGGTGGTAATCTTACAGGAAATTTACCTCGGAGGATTCTTCGCTTCGATTTAACGTTTCCATTGACATATTTAGTGCAATTGAACATTTATAACCATGCATACAACATTTCTAGAGGATTTTTGTAAAAAATTATATGTTTAGCATCTCGACACAAACTTTCTTTAAAAAAAATAAAAGAATACTACTCACAACTGGTTGGCATAATCCATAATTCCATGATTCATATTTTGTGTTTGAATTTGGATTTTGATTTGATGCCATGTAATATTTGTTTAAATATAAAAATAAAATTTGCAAACTTTAATTTCAAGACTTATTTAAAAGTTCAAGAAACTCTGAACAATCTATGCAATATTTCCTATTCATAAATCGTTTTAACTCATCCTATCACACCAGTAACAATATGAGTGTAATTTCATATAGTGAGAAAAGGATGAAGAAATTGTTTGATTTTATTTTTACTCAAAATTATGCAAATTTGAATAGAATAATACAACCTATGGATCATGTGGAATACAATTTCAAAAAGAATTTGAATGATAAGTTGAGCTTAAAGAAAGCAACCGCTATAAGTGATGCCAAATTACATTAAACGATCATCAACATTCTATCCTACTCTTATGTATTTTGATTACTATAATTAATTTTTAAGTCATATCGTTGAAATAAACATTTCCAAAAGTTTTTTAAGATATTGATAAGAAGTTTACATATTTGACAAGTGAATGTAGAAAATTCTGGATAATGAGAAAGCGGGATCGATATAAGAATATGAAGAGGATGGATGGCATTATGGATAAATTGGTGATCTCTCTCTTCTTCGATTAGCAAATTGTTATAATCATTTATTTTGCGTAGATATTTTAATGTTAGTATATTGTTAGTTTAGGAAGGTTTAATTATTTAAGCTTTTTCATATAGTGATACTTTTGCTCATTATCATATCTGTGATAAGAATAGCAATTAGAAATGAAGATTGAAAACGTTTGTTATAATCGAGTATTGATTAATTAGATAAGAATAATGGGTTTTTTGATGTATTATCATTGGAGATGAATCTTTTACTTTTGAAAATGTTAACTAATTTTTTTTAAGATTAATATTGCTGTGAAAAAACAATAAAATTGAAAGGATAATCATAGCAATAGAGTATCATCATAACATAGGATAAAACCTAATATCACTATCACTTAATATGATACCTGTTTCACCAGAAATACGAGAGTTATTACAAGCATATGGTGTTGAACGACATATGATGGCATATTTCAACCGGAAAGAACCTAGCAAGTATGAAATATCATAAATCGTTGTACATCCATCTCAGAGTAAAACTAATCTTATTTATCTTCTTAAGATTCTGACAGTAACACAAAAAATTTGATGTCACTAATGCTTAACTTCAAGTTTTCGAATTAGACAGTCGTTGAGCGCATTATTTGTAGTAAATTTATAATTTAAATTCAACAATAAAACTGAAATTTTAAAAACAGCAAAAAATATAGAGTATAATACTGAAGTGCTGCAGTTGTAGAATTTATTATTTAATTTATATACTTAGCGAATGACAAATACGTTTCAGAATATATGTGAACGCTTATGGACAATTGCACTTCATTGATTTATCAATGGTTAATGGAATGAATGGTACTGTTGTACAGGTTGATTTTAGTTTAGTTCACTTTCATCATTTAGTTAGTAATAGATATTTTTGTTTTGTTTCTTCAAATTTAAGTATATTATATTTGTGAAATATTGACATGAATAATGCTTAGGTTTAGTGTGGAGTTGAAATGTTACCAGTTGTTGAAATAGAAGATAATACAGGAAATAGTGTACAGGTTGTTGTTTAATATTTAAATCATTTTGAAAATTATTTTAGATTCGTATTTTATTTTCAATTTTATTTTTCATAAGCTACCGTTGCTATTTTATTTTGTTTTAGATTGAGTGTAAAAATAAATGAAAAAGAAATATTTGTAAAATAAACGATTTATGTTGCAATAATTTTTGATAGATAAATTTAAATAGTGAAATGGAAGAAGATTATTTCTATTGAATAATTGTGTAATAGAAAGAAAAAAATATGTTTTTTCTTTTGTTTTAGAATTTAGCTCTAAAAGCTTGTGAATTAGTTCAAAATGATCCAATTGTTCGGAATGATTTGGAAAATGAATTGAATAAAGTGATTCAACGAGTTTTATCAAAACTTGCGGAGGTAAAAATAAAATTAATTGCTTTTGAGTTTCATTTATATGAACTATTATTACTTTTAGCACTGACCCAATTGTTTGAAATGGCTTACAAAAACACTTCCGGCAACTATTTTTTAAATTCTTGTCTTCTAAATGCTAAATTTTTATCAATGTTTACCAACTATTTGGCTTACAAAAAATTAGCTATGGAATTCTAATAGAATATCAAATTAGAAAGCACAATTCAACAGGCTATGTTAATCGATTAAAAATTTTTGATTTTTTAGAAACGTGGTAAAAATGATGTTGCCATAGTGAACGAATCACCAAAGTCTACAAGCGCTTCTACGTGGCAAATTTTAACTGATTCTGAACGTGAAGCATTACAGAGAGGTTTGTCTAATTCCGGTAGATCTGCGATATATTCACTAAGGGAATATAGCACAATGAATTTATTAAACATATTGATTCCGTAAATTAGTAGATAAAAAAATTAGAAAGATTCATTCTGTCTAATTGTTCATCTCAAATTTATTATATCTTTCTGACTATTTCATGACGTAATCAGCCGATATTTACTATCCCAATTAACGACTTACCAATAAATGTTAAGTACTTCACCTATAATTTTCTTAAATTTTGGAACTTTTTCAGAGCGGCGTAAAAAGAACGCATATAAAACATCACTCTGTAGATCATTTCGAGAAAATAACACTTGTCCTTATGGTGAAGAATGTGTCTTTGCTCATGGTGAAAAAGAGCTTCGTCTTCCACCTCAGGTAATGATGCTATTTTTACCTTTTTGAGTAGCGTTGATAAGGCCTGATCAGGCCATATCAGTAAAGATACTGGAATAGAAGTAGGCTAAAATTTCTCAATCTAATAACTATAGTATATATATAGTCATTTCAATAGATCAAATATATTTTACTGGTTAGCAAACGTTTTTTTATGTTTCAAATTTTTAATTTCCAAATTTTTTCAAGTATTTACGGCAAGATATTTTACTTATTTTACTTTAAGGCTCATCCAAAATACAAAACTCAATTATGTAATAAGTTCTCAGTGTGGAATTATTGTCCATATGGTGCCCGCTGTCAATATATACATCAACGTGTGAATGAAATGTCAAAAGTGGATGCAAATGTATTAATTAATTTGTTCTTATTGTTTTAATTATTTTTGCATTTCCACCAAATAAATAGGTTAATTTAGATTCTCGATCGATTGACAATTTCTAAGTGATTCGACTAATCAAGTGATTAATTAAATTTCTAAAAACTTTAACATTTTCATTTTCAGTTAAAGATTAAAACAAAATTGGATGAAGACATTGATAAGAATTTTTCATCCTTGACTTTCCAACATCCTTCTAGGAATCTCATCCTAAGACGAACGAATAAACGGCTAGTTTTTCTAATTTATTTTAATGATTTTCTTCAATTTCAGCCAAGTTTTTCAAGAGTTCAACTTATGAAAAGTAATGTTATTAAGTAAGATTTGTTTGATATTCACTTTCCACTATATCTTTTTTTCAGTATTGAATGCAGCAATTCACCGATTGCTCTTGGAAATCATTCATCGTTTGGTGAACATGGCGGATTTTCTTCCTCTCTAGCAAGCACCGATTTTAATTATGATGAAAAGCGAAAACAATCTCTGGAGGTATTTTAAAGTGATATTATGTACCAAGCTTGGGTCATATTAGGTCAACAGTTAACTTAATCATCAGGTATCTTTTGTAAACTAACGATTATATATCATTTATTAATATTGAACGTGTTGCAATCAAGCAAACTTTGACATAAGAATTTTACAGTCATCCGGTTTATTTGGTCCGGATTGTCCTAGCTACAACAATAGCGAATTTCATCTTAGTACGGAAGCAGCTACAAATAATATTCTAAATCAACTTCATGAACAATTTAATAATATGTTAGTTCTTCCAGCTTTGATAAAAAAATATAGCTCATTTCATTCTCCTAAACAAACACCTGAAGAGTTTTATCAACTGAGTTTAAAATATGAAAATTGCAGGAAGAGTGAGGATAACAACAATATATTTTCACGATCTTGTTTTTCCCGAATTGGATTAGATGAAGTTGAATGATTTGATCGATTATAACAAATCATTAAATCAGAAAATAATAAATTTACAATTTTTTGAATTTTAAGAGTATGCAAAGGTTCTATTTATTATGCTTTTTTTACTTCATATCTTGAATCATAGATCACGAATAGTTCTCTTTAAGCATATTATTTGATTTTTTGAAATTCATATTGTTATTTGAGATGTTGAAATTAAATTGAATGTTATTGTAGAATATAGTGGTAATTTTTTATTACTCGAAGTCTTCTTTTCTAATTCATAAAATCTCCAAATTCTTACAAATATATTACATATAAATTGCAGAATATTTGAAAATACATCAATAAGATACATTGTTAATTTGAAAAAATTATTATCAAATAAATTAGGACGACTAGAAGTTATATTAATTTTTAGCGTTGTATGAGAAAGGATATTTAATACTATCTTATATTCATTCATATTTACATCTTGTTCTAGCAATACATATAAAGAAACGTTTTCATAAAGGTAAGATGCGTTTTTATTACCTTATTATCTTAGCAAAATTTATAATATTATTGTATTACCATTTCTCGAAAAATTATTATATGTTACAGGCATATATAATTGATATAGTAAAATTTCATTTGTACCATAGCCCAAGTATCCTTATTTTATTAATTACTTCTCATATTTTCAATTCTTAATAAAATTATGCTATTGATTTTCTCAGAATCTAAATCAATTTGCTTTCTCTTCTCTTTCTTTTAATAAAATGATCTTCAATTTGTTTTCGACAAAAATATTGCAATTTTAATTTTTGAAGAAACTATTGTTTTACAGTAGTAGCTAATTAAGCTGCAGCATCTTACTTACTACTTTTTACTCAAAATTGAAGGATGATGACTCAATTAAATTTACTTATTATTATATTAGTAATAATTTTTTATCATTGTGATATGTTATGATTATGAATTGATAATATTGTTATTCATTCCATATGTTTTCTTCACGTTTCTTTCACGCATTCAGCACTTTTTATTGATTGCTGAATGAAATTTTACGATTAACTTCACTATGACATCTTCTTATTGTATAAAATAAAAATATTGTTTTCCGCATTTCATTCATCTAATGTGCTCAGAGAATTATATAGCAAGATTATAAGAGAGTTTTTCCGGATACAGTAGATCACGTATTTTGATTGAAGATAAAAACAGGTTGTTATAGTACTACCTCTAATAGTTTAAAGTACCTCATAAGTTTTTTTTTCCTGTGATCCTGATGATATACCACATAGATTTTCCGGATACAGCAGATAACGTATTTTGACTGAAGATCAGAAAGTACTGACGGTAATAGTTTTAAATACCTCATGGATTTTTTTCCGTGATCATGGTGATACAAATTAAAATCGATAATCTCTTAATAGGATCTTCTCACGTTGCTGCTTATATCAGAATGAATTGTCTTATACATATCAAAAGTCAACATAACTCGTATGATAAACTGTTGACCAGGAGCGAAAAATCAATGAATGGTGTTACCCAAACTGATTTCTTTATTTGATAAAATAATAAATTGTCAACCTTCGAGTTATACTAAGTTCATAACCTTTAACTTCCCATACATATTATGTAGTTTAAAATATGCCAACAAAATTCCACATATACAAGAGGTACCATCAAGAAGAAAGGACTGAATAAATACTTGTCTTTGAGTGAGCAGCAATGAGGAAGTAAACATTTAGTGAGGAATGCTTTGATGAGAATAAAAAGTAAAAAGTTACAAGCGTACTAGAAATTACTAGAAGCCTCTTTTTCATCTAATAAATAGAAAATATTAGGAAGAAGATAAATTCGACAAAATGAGGAAATAGTTCAGAAGCCATTCTTCTTCTTTTATTTATAATATGTTTATATAAAACATATATCATATTTATTTATAAAATATATATGATTTATTGAAATGGAATAAAATAATTTGAATAAATCACAATTTATTGTTAACTGAAATCAACAAATTCCTAAAATTTCGCAACACTTATATATCAATGAGCTTATTGATATTGTTAAAGAAATGTTTCACATATTTGATTATTTTGATAAATGAAAATAGCAGAAATATTCGGATGCATTTATTGCTTAAAAGTTGTGTTAACGATTTTTTTAGTCTATTAAAAATTTCTTATTAACCATATTTTAAATACCCGTCACTGATAATACTTCTATCTCTAACAGTTTCGTTACCGTATGATAGTGTTGAAGTTTTATCACTGAAATCTTCCTGTATATCTATTGAAAGAACATTATCAAGTATATCATTCGTCTTTATCTTTTCGACTTCAGGCATCTCAACTGCTAAATTATTTTCCATCGCTTCTTTAGTGTCTTTCTGCAAATGTACAATAATAATTGATTAGATTAAAGAAAAGAAATTCTTAATTTTAGGAGGTCATCTGTATGATGTTTAGGAGGTCATTTGTATGATGAAAACAGTAAGTATTGTACGGATAAGATCTAATTAGAAGAAAAAAAGCTTAATAGATGTGATCAGAAGAGTATGTTAATGAAACAAGAACACGACAAACATGAATGATAAGATAATGAAATGGTTACTTAAAGAATATTCTTAGGAACTTGCTATCATGAAGGTAACCTATACCTCTGAGTATAAACTTTTAAAATCTGGCCCATTACTAGCAAATAATTTTTATGAGCTTTTAATTTAATCACAAAGTTACATTTAGAAGATTCATTTAACAACAAAGAATTGAAAGCTGAATGAATGACGAATCATACCAAAACATCTGTATCATATATCACATTATAATAGTCCCGTTGATTGTCAAGCTTTAGATATGAATATTGGTCTGTAATATCTTCCAGTTGACCGGCCAATTTTTGTCGAATAGTTCCAAAATCAGGTCTCGACGAGGGTTCCTGTGCCCAACAACTACGCATTACTTCATAGCTGTAAACATCACATTTTATTTTTCATCTAATATGAAATCGACGATTTGTCAATGTTACACTTCCTTCTTCTTTCTTACGAAAATAAAAAGACATATTCCTATCTTGTAGAGTTCGCAATCTTTCTTTAATAAAATTAAATTTACTATTCATTGGGACAGTTATCCGGTTGCTCCATTCGTCCACCAGCATCCAAATGTTCTAACATATCATTGGGTTGTATACCTGGATATGGTGAACCACCAAGTGTAACAATTTCAAACATTAATATACCAAATGACCAACTGAAATTTATATCATATTTATTCGAATTTTAAATTTTGAAATATTTCAGTTGACTAAATAGAATAAGTGGAAGAGAAGAAAAATAGAATTTTTGCCGAAAAATAATCCCATAGATTCTGTGGTACATAAAACATCTATGTCCCACAGATTCTGTGATATCCATGTTTATGATAACACTCTTCCACGTTTTAACAATTACAATAATCATATTATATATTTTATTCTTTTCAAATTATTAGGAAGAATTTAATACTAACACATCTGATTGCATAGTGAATTCATAATGTTTAATAGCTTCTGGACTCATCCATTTCACTGGCAATCGTCCACCCTTACTTTTGTAGTGGGCAGAATCACGATGAATATATCGACATAAGCCAAAATCACCAATTTTTGCATTCGTCTTATCATGGACCAATATATTACGTGCCGCTACATCTCGATGTACAAAACCTTTCTGACTAAGATATTCCTTAAAAAAATAATTCTTTTTTACTACTCATTATTATACATGTTTAAATTAAAATCAGTATCAGCACTTTATAAATTGAATTGGAAATTGAAGTTTGATTTAGAATGGTTAAAAGTTCAAACTTTGATAATTATATTGATAATGATATGTTATCAATGAAATGCTAAATGACGGTGATTTTTTTTTGTGTGAAAAATATACATAATAACGAATGAAACAAATGAAATCCTATGATAGATATAGCACTTACCAAGCCATAACTAATTTGCACAGCAAACATCAATAACTGCTTTAATGTTATCACCAAATCCATATTTATCTTTTCATCCGAATTGAGCCCATCATAATCGATACCCATTTCAGTAAGCTAAAAAAAAGCAATCATATTATTCGCTATCGCTGATACATTTATAAAAAACGAATTTCACTGAAGATCGATCGATGATCCATATGGAATGCTTGTCTTTCATATTTTTCCATTATATCTCAAATGATCCCTTCTGATTCCATTTCTTCTTTCTCTTTCCTTCTCTTTCCGTATTTCAAATTAAGTTAATCTTTTCTTTCCGTATTTTAAATTAAGTTGATAATTTTAAAGTAAAATTTTATATCATTTCTGAATTAATTCTAAAACTTAAAAGAGAATCTTTTGTAGAGATTATAAGATTTTACTTTAAAATCTATCAATAAGAAAATATATTTTTATTTGAGTTCATCATAACCTTCATCATATAAGCACATCGTTTCTTTAAGAAATGCAATAGATCGCCATCCGAGCAATATTCAACAATCAAGCAATAAGGTTCTGTTTCTGTGATACATGCCAACATATTGACCAGTCGTTCGTGATAACCCAATGTTTTCATTAATGAAATTTCATTGAGAAATTCACTTTTCGATACCTGATCAGCATATTCTATAATAATTTTACACAATTACTGTAAAATTTTTCAAATATACTATCAACGGTGTAATTATCAATGGATCAAAAATGATATAGATTTTAAAATTTAGATTGAGATTTATTTTACATTTCAATAATAAGTTATGATAAAGATTTTTACGTGAAGATTTTTTTGTATTTATGTTAATGACAGCGGCACTGAGTGATAAATTTTATCAGAGTAAGTTAATTTATGTATATGGATATGGCTGTTTGATAAGTCCAAAAAGAAGGAGTATTATATAATTTGAAATTATAATAATATCAGAAATATTTTATAACAAACTTTCAGATGAGAAGAAGTTAAGAGAAAACAGTAATAATAACATAGCGATTTACATAATACTAATAAATATGAGAATGCTCTTTTCCTTACCGAACAACTTTTTTACAGCAACATCGCAATTTTCAGCTCTCATCAGATTGATACCCAAAGTAGATTGAGCATTCTTGTTACCTTTTGCAATACCAATCAATCGACCTTTATAGACCGATCCAAATGCACCCGAACCAAGCTTCTGATCATCATAAATGATAAGATTTCGCCGCTCCAATTCCCATATATCATGTCTGCATATCACATCTTTATTTACACCTGTTATCAGTTTATCAATTATTTCTCGCAATTGCTTCTTTTTTGCAACTTTTTTTCCCAAATCATCACGTAAGAATAATTACTAGATTTACATAGACTGATAAAATCAATCTGATAAAATCATAGATAATATAGCTAGCTATGTTTAATACATAACTACAGCTCATTAGTGCCAACAAAAATAGAAATACTTATTACATACTGAAAATCTCATTAAGAACATGAATTTCGATAATACTAATCAATGACTAAAACTCTAACCATCTACTGAGAAATAAAAGCCAAATGAGAAAAGAAACAACGAATCTACGCTTGAAAAACTTGTTTGAAATATCGAATCAGATTATTTCAATTCTGCTACTCGAATTGACCCCTTTATCTGAACAATTTTAATTCCTCAGTTATATACGAAATGCTACCTTTATGATAGTAATTTCTAGAGAAATTTGAATTTCAGGAATTGAAATGATTGTAGTAACTCATTCCAAAAATTTAATTGTACTAACTTTTTCGGCAAATTAGTATATCTTAAATCGTTGTTGTATTTCATTTGTTCAAGTTTTAGCTGATGCATTTTAATTTTGGCATTTTGTTTTCGTTGAATCCAAATAAATGTACCAACAAGAAGTAACACAAGAGTTGCTGTACTGCTAGCAATAATTCCTGGTAACAAACCTGGACGATGTTTCTTAAATGCTGAAAATACTACTTTGAGAGTAAAGTGATTTTAAGAAAGAAAATTTAGTTATGAAAGCAGAAAAAATCCATTCTATTTAGAAAAAATCCATTCTATTCAGAAAAAATCCATTCTAATAATTAAGAAAATCAATTATGAGAATAAATGAATAACAAACAGGTAGACAGGTGAACAGCAAAAGATAAATGATAAAATGTTCACACTTTCAGATAGATTACAGATATTGGTGATAACATCTATTGTTATCACCATATCTATTGTTAGCTTAAAATACTCACATCGCACTTTATTTTTCTAAATAAATAAACAATAGGATAAAATATAAACCTGAAGAATCAATGAATATTTTATTAGCCTTTGATTTCATTCCCAATGCAACACCATTTATTTCGGGATATGTCAAATTATGCGGATCAATAACGGCGCATATTGTCACACCATAAAGCTTGTTCATTCGTAAATTTGTTATTATTATTGATGCATTTATAAGGTTCAATTTTACCTGATATAATATAAGATTATAAATATAAAATATAATCAAAGTAGGAAAGTGAACGAGATCAATCAATTTAATCGATCAATTAATCAGCATGAATAAAAGTGTAGGCATGAATTTTTCCAAACTAAAAACTTTTTATACTCAATTAAATTATAATTAAGAAATCAAATTTAAAGTTTACCGCACATGTTCCAACACTACTGAGTTTCGGACAATTTGTCGCATTACCCAAAATCTGTCGCATATGAACACCAAGCAATTCCACCTGTAATTTATATTTATTCATTTACTTTAGAAACATAAAACTAACAAAGGATAGTCCAAAGAAATAAAACGTAATATTATAACTGTCTTTATTTTTATTTATAAAAAGATAGAAGGAATAAAATGATTCTGAAAATGACACTAATTTTTATGATATTTCCTTATAACTTTGTCTGATACACAATCGTAATGTAAAATTGATACATAGTGCGATCATATATAAGTAAGAGTATCAAAATAGATGCAGAAAAAGCGATAAGATGATCAGATTAATGATATTGAACATATTTAACGCTTACACATCTAATCGTATTGCTTTTTTAAATTGTCTACGAAATTAATGAAAGAAAAGAATAATGTTCAAATATTAAATTCAATTAAAAACATTAATTAATTAATTAGAAACAATTAAACTAACATCAATTTCTCGATCAAATGGTTCAGCATCACCATAAAAAGCCACAAAATAGAGTGGTTTTTTATTCATTAATGTAGAACGGAATGTTACATTAACAGTTATATTGCTATTTATATCATCTGGATTGATATGATCATTAAGGATTTGATAATTGAATCCTTCCACCTGACCACACATTGGTGGATGATGTATTAATGGATTATCATTACATGGACTATTTTGTACTGTAGCACAATCTAAAATAGACATATATTGCAAATTTCATCAAGTATTTTGATACAGAAAATATGTAACAAATTAATTATGAGTGATAAGTTGTGCTTCAATTGATAAACTTGCATGATTAGAATGTATAAAATAGCATATGAAAGAGTTCAAGCAGTAAATAGTTAAAAAATTTTTTCCAATTTTAAAACATACAAAATAATTTTTAAATCATTGATCATTTTTTCATGTGTTTTCTGATCATGATAATATAATTTCAATAATAATATTTCTGATCATAATAATATAATATAAAATCATGATAATCAATGATAATCATGACAGAAATTTTTTCATATACTACTTACTTACTGCACTAAAATAATATGTATATATATATATATATTTGATTTTCTAATTTAAATTAAATTTCAAATTAAATTACTAAACTTTATTCCTTTATAGCTTATTGTGTTTGATCAATTGTTACAAATAAAATATCATAATATTATTGCAGATAAAATATCATATAAAATACAATGACTAACTTATTTTTAATGGTTTCATCGAGTTTTGATTGAAATCATTGTTCGTTTTCGTCGTACCACAACGATAACTATGAACTGCACTAACATAATATAAGAATTGACATTTACGATACATCAAATCTGCGCCAAATTCACCAATCAAAGTTCGCGGTTCCTCATTTGTCTCCTAAAAACAAAATTTCATATTTTGAATAACTTTATAGACATCTTATTTTCAATTATAGTATTTAGTAATATTAGGATTTATAATAATAATATATCATTTCATTAAAAATAAACATATTCCTAATTTTTGTTAAAGTTAGAAAGAAACTTTTCTGAAGTTATAGTTGTTTAAAATTAGTCCAATAAGAAGATTTAAAAAGAAATAAAAGAAATCAGCATGAAGAATAAAACTAACAAACTCCAGCGCTGGTACTGCTTTCGACAAATCGGGAATATTACAGCTTACCATATGAAAGAGTAAATCTACCTTTATGTCCTTTTCACCTAATGGCCAATCTGAAATTCGGAAAATTCTTAGAATTATTATTAGTGCCATCAAAAATTTAAACTCTAACTGATAAATGACGATCCTTTTATTTGAGCAATTCCCAAAATTTAAGATCTGTTAGTTAGATAAAAAATCGGAATAATTAAATTATCTTTTATTTATTAATTTATATTGCATTAATTAGCCCTGATGTATAGTAAAGTATAAATGGCTAATGGCTACTTTTTAAAATAAAAAGTACCATATTTTGGAGCTGCATATTGTAGAATTAATTTGATTGTTCCATTAGAATAGTAACCATTTTTGCTGAATGATTGATTCTGCAAAAAATTAATTTTCATTGATTATAATGATATGATCAGTGATAACCTAATGAAAGCTTAAGAGAACATTTCGAGATAAGGCTTCTTTTAGGAATCCTTTTATAGTTTATTCCTAATTTATAGTTACTAGACTATCTAAATAAACTAATTGATTCTGCAAAAATTAATTTCCATTGATTATGATAATATGATCAGTGATAACCTAATGAAAGCTTAAGAGAAGACTTCGAGATAATTTTGAGATAAGATCTACTCGTTTGACGATTTATTTAGTTGATCTGCCATTTAGAAAATGCTAATTAGAAAATTTCACTCACGACGTATTCCATAGATTGGACAGTTACATTTTCTACAATTTCGGGTAATGTCGGAGGAATTTCTTGGATGCTACTGAAATTGCTTACTCCTCCACTTGTCACCGATGCAAGTCGGAATAGTAGTGGATTGCAAAAGTCTGTTTCCGATTTCGTATAATTTAATAGTGATGTTGTGGTTATAAGCTGAAAATAAAATGTGATAAATCATATTTCAACCGTAGAAAACAAAAATCATTCCTTTCCATTTCAATTCTGCAACATTTTTCAAAAGCTGATCTATTCGTTTGATGATTTATTTAGTTGATCTGCCATTTTGAAGTTTCGTTTTAAGAGCACTAATTTTTCGCTCTAAAAATTCAGAAAATTTTGAATGTATGAAAAAACTGACATAAAAGAGAACATTGTAACGTATCATTAAATTAGAAATTAAAAGATTAAAATAACAAATTTATATGAAAATATCTAAATTAACGAGATCGAATTTTACTCTCTCCCAAAATGAATCAATAAAGAATAATAAATGAAATCTCTTAACAGTTAAGCCTTTAAGTAAGCCTATATTTTACTCTATCATATATTATCAGACTGCCATTAACGATATCTTAAGGTTCGTGATTTCTAAATAACATCCCGATAATTTAACGTATCAGAATGGATGATTATCAGGAAAAAGAAGAAATGTACTACCAATAAAATTATTTGCAAAGAAAAATAAAAATGTAAACTTACAAAATCATGGCCATACTCATTCTCGTCAGATTTTTCTACCATTTCCAACAAATACAATATTCCATCACCATTCCATGTAATATTAATGGAATAGGATGGTGTGTAGGCCCATTTAATATCCTTAGGTATTTCCGGTTTTGGTCCTTCATTTAAGTTACCACCACATGTCTTCCAGCAAAAATCTTTATCTCGAGTTTTATTACTCTGTAAAAATTTAACATATCATAAAAATATTCAATAAATTTGAGGGAAATTTTGATGAAGCTTTCCTTCATTCTCTATTGAAATTTTGAAATATTATCATCTTGCGATGTTTTATTGCAATTATTTAAAAAGTAACTATAAATTTACTATGCGCAAATTGATGATAAGCTTACTATGCACAAATTGATGATAAGCTTATTATGCGCAAATTGATAATAAGCTCATGTGTTTAGCATTATTGCTATCTTTTACCTTTTCCGCTAAAGGATAATTTTTTAAATCGTTTACTGAAATGAAATTATGACTTTAATTATCCCTCTCAATTTTTCATCCTATCAGCGATAAAAGCATGAAATCGAATTTTCCATCCTGTCAGCGATAATAGGCATCTCAATAACGGTAAAGAAAAAAGGAAAAAAACTAAAACCAAAATGGAAAATAAATTATCCAATCAAATATGAGGGATCGATACGAAGATATAAATTTCTGCATTCCTCGGATATTTATTTGTCCTCTCAAAAGATAAAAGAAAAATGACTTGTCAATATTACTTAATTTTTAAAAATAAACTTACACAAAGGTCATTTGCCATACTTTTCTTGCATTGCTCTTCACAATAGTTGGAAGATTGCTGAAAATTTATTGCAATAATTACGTCACTTCCTTCAGCAAATTATTTTAATCTTTTAACTTTTCCTTTACAAATAGAAAAGTTTATAATTTTTGTAAAATTATTTTCTATTTGTTTTACTGGAAGATTGTAAATTAAGAATTTAAATTATTATTCGTTAAAAAAATGATTGGATTAGCAAAATTGCCCACAACAAAAATATCGTCGGAAATAAAAATTCTTTATGAAATCGGGTTATCACTATATAAAATCACCAGTGATAAACTTATAAAAACAACACTGATAAAATTAAAAATTTTTTCATCGAAATTGAATCTTTTAATGATTTAGTAATTATGCTAAATTGAGAGTGGCATCAATGATAAAATAATTTAAGCTGCTACAACTAAGCCTTATTTTACATTTAGGATTTTTATATATATCTCAAAATAATAGAAATAATAAAACCTATGCTAGGCTAGGTAATGCATTAGAAACAATTAGTTCGAATTAAATTATCATTATAAATTAACGAATAATAGTGTAATTATCATAATATGATACCTTATCATCGATGATACATTTGGCGATACATCTTAGTTGACAAATGCGCACTAGTGACAAATCCGAATTGATAGTATTTCCGACATTTATTTGTAGAGTGATAAATAACAACAATATCCATAGCTGATACATTAGTAGCAGTAGTTAGAATTATAGAAACGCTCCATTCGCTATTGATAAAATTGGCATTTCTTCATTTAAAATATTTATTACATCAATGATATATACGTAAAGATAAACAGAAATGAGATACGTCGCAATAATCATAGATCGATTAGCCGTGATGCATTTTCATTTAAAGACTCATTTCATATTTCAGTGTGTAAAAGGTATATGTGAAATAAAATTTAGCACTTTATGTTAAACTATTAAGCAGTGTATCTTATCAATCTTATCACTATGCAAAATCTATTACCGAAATCTCTTCGTGTGAAATTAATATCATCCCTTGAAGATGACCTCAATTGTAGGAAAATTCCTTTAGGAACATTGAAAATTGAATTTTACTCTAACAATAGATGTTTGATTAGTTAGATTGTAAAATTCCTTAATGAAAATTATCTATTCTAAGGGAGGATTGAGCCAAAATGATAATCTAACATTATCAATGATGCAATATTTGAAAAGAACAAGCTAATTTATGTTTCAAAAGGAAATTTCCCGAGGAATCGCATAAAATAGGAATAACGGTCCGATTAGATAGAAAGAGGAAAATTTTAAAAAAATAATATTTGAGAGTTTTTTCTGATCAATTTTAATTAATTCCATAGTGTATGATCAATTAGCACAGCTCTCAGTATATCCGATATTGATAATTTCTGCGTAATTTAAGGCATGTATATATTGATAAGGAATGACTTTCTCTTGTCTTAAATAGCATTCAAAAGTATAATACATCCAATTTTATCTACGATATTTGCAAATCCCTTAAATTATTATCACTTAATAAACTTTCCAATTAAATTTAATTCATACAAAAATTTTTCACATATCATAAACTAATATTGATAATAGAGAAAGTAATGAAATGAATGGGAATAAATTAAATGATAAAAATATATCTTTCAATTTTAAAATGAAAAGTTTTTCTTACACAGAAAGGTTAGAAGTTCACTCATATATATCAATCAAATTAAGTGATAAAAATACATTATGTTACATAGAAAGGTTAGAAGTTCACTAATATAGATCAATCAAATTAAGTGATAAAAATATATGTTTCGTGTAATTGATGCTATATATCACCAATTGCGTAAAAACATAATATATTTTTGAAAATGTAGGAGAAGAAAGATAGTAATCAGAGTTATCACCACATCTTTGCAACGATATCTGCATCATTCAAGACAATCATCTATTGCCGTAACAATTTCACGACAGTTGACGATAACAGTAATGATGAACGCAATGCCCTCTCATGTATACTTTTACCCGATACCACCATACCCGATACATTCCACAGCATCACAACAAGTTCCATTCCAAACACTTTCATTACAAATTAAAAGATTTCATCGTGCAAGAAATCATTTAACAATTCTCACTATTTCAAGGCAAGACGATAAATTCGGAACCGGTTACCGGATATAATTTAAGTACATACAAAGACAGACACATAAACAGACATATCAACAGATAGATAGATACAGATACACATACACATACATACACACATACATATATATACAATGTATGATGTACCCATACCCTGTAGAAGAATATATACCGACAATTCATCATAGAATTGGCACAATATATAGTTCAAATCGATTTATATTGGCATTATAGATGGTATGCCAAAAACTGGCTAAGATATTCGTTTAGCATTTTGAATTGTGAATTTAAGAAATTTCAGATTTGAGAAGATAGGCTTGCTTAGTAAAGTGACCACTTAATTGACCAAAGTGACCTTAGTAAACTTGTTCATTGATGTATCAAAATTATGATTGTGATGAATGATTTGATAATAACTATTTAAATTATTTTTTTTAACAATTATAAATTATTTTCATCAAAAGAATGAAAGAGTAAAATTTGTTGATCGATTAGCTATTTTAGCTTATCTTATCAAATTAAAATGACAGATTAATTTTAATGAAAAAAATTAAGAATGAATTAGCAATTATTATTGCATTAAATGATTAAATTAATTGAATCATAAATAAATATTAGATCAAAAAAAATTTTTAATTAATATTAATTTGAAATAAAAAGATTACATAGAAATCAGAACGAAATGGATATATCCTATAAAATAATATATTTATTTATGAAAATCAGTTGAATTATTCAAATTATTTCTTTTTCATTTTAAAATAAAATTCATTTTTCATAAACTTCTCAAAAGCGAAAGCAATTTGTAAACAAACATTAAAAATTAGTACATTTCATTTTTCGATAGCAAAATATGTTCGTTATTATTATTATCGAAGTTCCGCTTTTAAAGAATAATAAAATTTTTTCCAATTTTAATTTATTATTTTGTAGACTATAGCTTCTCAATAGTGAAGACAATTTGTAAGCAATCATTAAAAATTGATTAGTATATTTCATCTTTCGATAGCAAAATTATTCTTTATTAATATCAAAGTTTTCCGATTTTCAAGAGTAGAAAATTTTTTTTTGAATTTAATTTAGATCATATTTTAGTCTAATTCATGGAAAAGATTGATGAAAATATATTGAGATTATTATTTCTTATTCTATACTAAATTAGCTTTCAAAATATTCTAAAATTTAAAATTGCTTACAAAAAGATCAGAAGACAGAAGACAGAATGGAAGATTCTGTTGGAGATCAGAAAACGTAATGGAAGATTTTGTCTACATGGAATGGAAGACTCTGTCTACACAGAATGAAAGATTCTGTCTACACGGAATGGAAGATTCTGTCTACACAGAATGGAAGATTCTGTGCGACGGAATGAAAGATTCTGTTAGAGAAAAAATAATTAAGAAGAATGTATGAAAAAAAAGAAAGTGTAATTTCATTTTTTCATAAAGGAACATCAAATATTTCATTTAAATATTTCCCGATCTACAAAAATAGTTCATTCTAACATTCCGGCATTTGGTGAACGGTATATGTCCCATTTATTCCGCTCTTAATTTGCTAATTCTTGAGGCTATTTTAACTATTTCCTTATTGTAATTTGAGGCCATTTATTTTTTTCAAAGTAGAATTATTCAGGCCTATCAATATTTAAACTTTTAATTCTACAATCAGCAACAATTCAATCCCATAGCATTTGTTCAATTGAAAGATTGCGTTAAAAGAATTTAATTTCTAAGTTTCAGCAATTTGCTAACACTTGTAAATGTTTATCAGAGTTGTCACTATATTATTCTTTGTTCTTAATTTTTAAATTAAATTTCAAAACTATTTTTCGATGGATTCTTAAAACGTTGAAACTTTTAAATTTCAGCAACTAAATTGATTTCTAAAACAATAATACTTATCATATTGCAACAGTTTACCGATAACATCGGTAGGTAGGAAAGAGGAAGAGATGAATGATATCAAACGAATAAGAGCTAATATTGCTGTCAATAGAAATTATCAAAAATTAAAAAATAATCGAAAACGCAAACAGCATAATAATAATAATAATAATAATAATAAAACAAAGGTTAGAGGGTTGAAATAATAAATTGAAATAGAAGTCAGTTGTTTATATAAGATTTATCCGTGCAGAAAATCCTTTAATACCATAAAATTTTAATAAAAAGTTTTAAAATTTAATCTTTAACAAGTTTTTGAAAAAAAATCAAACTCAAAACTCTTTTCAATTTTATTTTTTAAACTTCAGAAATGATTAATTAATAAAAATTTTAATTACTAATTTCTTTTAATTCAAATTCTTAAAAGAATAATTGGAAATGATTTTAAAATTTAGAAAAATTAATTTTTATTTGAGAAACGTGATCGAAATTCGAAAATTCATCCATTCTCGGGTGATGCAAGAGGAGTGATTAAAATAAGATATGATACAATATCACCATCAATTTTACAACAACTACCGATGATGATATTATCACAAATTGTATCTAATTTAAATATCATTGATCAGAAACATTTCTCTGATACATGCAGAGCTGCTAGAACGGTAATGGATCAATCTGATTGGATAATTTTGTTAAAATGCCATTTACAGATATTAATGCACTTTTTTAATTAATACACTTTTTTGAATGGACAGTTGATATAATATGGTAACGTTTACTTGTCTATAAGACTCATATTGCATTTATTTATTTATTTATTCATTATTATTATTATTATTATTATTATTTTTATTATTATTTTTATTATTATTGTTATTATTACAGGCTATGAAAGTATACTGGGATACATATAACGATCTTCACATTGATACTTTAATGGAAAAAACTTTTTCATTTGTCGCTGAGAAGAATCGATGTTCACTGCATGCAATACGTCGAGAAATTACACTAACATTATGTCTAATACCTAATTTTACATTACGCAAACTTTATTTTCAACCTGTTTATTCACTACACTTACAGGATTTACGAGATATTGAAATTCGAGCAAAAAAGCTTGTTTTTTTTTTCCAAATTTTATCATTATATATTTTAGGATAAAATTTTGAAATTTTATAAAAACAATAAAGCAAAAAGAAAACTTAAAAAAGTCAAAGTTCATCCAAAATTAGAGCATAACCTAAAATTAAAATAAACTGAATTAAAATTAAATTTACTATTTAAAATGTAACATTATCATTTAATTTTGGAATGAAAATATGAAGCGAAAAAATATCAAATCATTAAATCATTTCTGTTTAGTTTATTATTTAGTAATTAAACGATAATTACAACATCGTTGTATTTTTTTTCCTCATCAGTATAAAATTTTCAAAAAATGGATTGTTATATTTCCTTTTACTATTAATTAATTCTTTTTAATTTTAATCAAAATTTTTTATTGTCTTTATAAATCAATTATATCTTAATATTAGGCTAATGATAAAAATTATTTGAGAACATCAAAGGAAATTTTTGGTTCATTAAAACATTTGGATTTACGCGGTTGTGTAGTGGAATATGGTGAATTGAAATATTTCTCGAATGCATGCGCTAAACTTACATCAATTGCTATAACGCATGCTGCTGTATTCCTACCAAATGAAATGTTTATAAACGATGATCATATGAAGTAATGAAATTGTGATGAAAGCTTTTCATTATTTGGAATATAAATGATACATTTAACTTTCTTCTACTTTTTTTTTTTTATTAATTAATTTCCTTTAAATTAGATGGTTTAATTTTAGACAACATAAATTGAAAGATCCGTTTGAAACAATTCGTAATTTCTTCGGCGTATCACTTCCGAATTTTACGGAAATGGAAAAACGAGGAACGATACCGGCGGAACATACTGAATTACTCTTAAAATTATTCATATTATTTCCATATATTGAAACTTTCCATATCGATTAGAAGGGAGAAAAATTGTAAGTGATAAATAGAGAGATAATGTCAATATTTATCAGTGGTTTTTTTAATTAATAAAATATTAATTTGTAATTAATAAAACTTTAACATTGCACTACAGTGAAACATCTATGATAATCAAATCGAACTTAAGTGTTATCATATATTTATCAATTTATAAGTAATTTTACAGTAAAATTGGTATAATACTTAAAAATTAATAAAGTAGCATCTATATGTTAAAAATGATATTTATCATTTTAAATTCAATACTGCAAATTATATGACAAACCATTCATTCGTAATAGCTGACACCAGTGAAAGGTCATCATAGTCATCATACTGCTAGGTCATCAGTATCAATCATTGACTACTATGCTATTTATGTTTTAACTTGCAAATATACGATCACACTGTTGAAAAACATATATCATACATTGACTACTATGCTATTTATATTTTAACTAGCAAATATTCGATCATACACTGTTGAAAAATATATTGTTGAAAATCATATTGTTGAAAAAACGTTGAAAAACATTGACAAGTAATTAAAAGCATTATATGTTTTACTTTAAAATAAATTTTCACTCGTTTATTTTTAACTAATTCAAGATTTCAATATGCAACAGACAAATGCGCTACGCGCTAAATGCTTTAAACAAAATTGATAGTCAAAATTGATTACTCATAAATTTAATGTTTTATTTGATTTATCAAAACTCTTCTAATACACATAATTCATCTACATGAATCATTAAGAGTTAAGAATTAAATGAATGAAATTTTTAATTATCATTTTGCAAAAATATGAAATATTTGCAAAAATCATTTTTACATTTATTTATTTATGTTAAAAATGAAGATACGGTAAATACTTTTATTATTATTGATTGGATAAAAGTAAAACTAAAAAAAACAACAAAATCAACAAATTTTACTTTTAAATTTTTACTGAAATTTAATTTAGAAACTTAAGAAATGCCGAGAAAGTTTTTTAAATAATGTAAATTTTCTAAAAATTTCCCGAATTAAAAAATATGAAATGATTTTGCGTTTTATTATTATTATTGACCTAATGGCGATCGGTAACTTTTAATGCAATATTTTATAAGAAGGAAAGAAAGAAAAGGATTTCTGATGAATTCCTCCTATTTTCTTCTTTCAATAAAGAGTTGTAATAGAAACCATTCACTAAATAAGTCGCTATTATTTCCTTTTTACGACTTGATAGTCGCTACCATTTCCTTCTTACGACTAAACAAGTCGCTATTATTTCCTTCTTACGACTTGATAGTCGCTACCATTCCTTCTTACGACTAAATAAGTCGCTATCATTTCCTATTTACGACTAAATAGTCGCTATCATTTCCTTCTTACGACTAAATAAATACCGCTACTATTTCCTTTTTACAACATTTTCAAAGGAAATTCATTTATTGCTCGAAATGATTAATATATAATAACAAATTTCAGCAATTACTAATTTCAAATCACTGATTATTATCATCATTTCATTATTGTTACTATTTACAATAACACTATCATTTGCTAATAGTACAGCAATTGATGTGAGTAGTAAGAATGTATTGTGTAATGAAATTCAACTATATCTATCCTATATCTTCATCTTACCTGAAAGAAAATATAATCATAATAAAGTTTAAATTTTCATTATCGCTAATTATTGATATTAGAGATTTTTCAACATTTGTTTCATTACAATGAAGTCAAAATTCCATTTTATATAGCAACGGCAATCATAATCGTATTTGCTAAATTTCAGTTTTTTAGTAGTGTGATAAAGTAAATGCATAGAGTTAAATGATTATTTCATCATTAATCAAATCACTGATTATTATCATTATTTCATTATTATTACTATTTGCAATAGCAATTATCAGTTGCTGATAATATATCATTGACAAATCAGATAAGGGATGAAGATGTTACAACGATGAAAGGAAAAGGAAATGCATCTGATTATCATAATTATTTCTATAAGGCTATAAAAGATTATTTCTTGCAATTGAAACGAACAATTTATGTGAAGTTGAAAAATGCTCAACCTGATACAATCGATGAAGCTATTGAATTTCAATCTTGGACTTTGTAAGTTCATATATACACGATCGGATCAAATTTTATTAACTTATCATTGCTTTTAAACCGGCAATTAACCCCTACAAGTGCAATAAAATACTTAATTTCCTTCTGCTTTTTTTTAAAATACTTTTTCTAAATATTTAAAAAAATAGATTTCTTTTTAAAAATATTAAAATACTATTTTCAGGTCAGTAATAGCTATAACTATAATTTCATCCGTTTTTGTCTGCTGCTTTATACCACTCCTCTTCTGTTTAGCATGCAAATTATTTGGATGTTGTGCATGCACTGGATGCAGAGCATGTTTTCAAACAAGCTAGCAATTTATTGTAACGAAAAACTTTCATATTGCATGCTAAATAATTATTATGATAATTATACTAGTGTTCAGGTGGAGAGCGGTAATTTGAGATGAATGATAAATGTTAGAGATATCGGATAAAACTATATGATGTAGATGTAAAGTGAAATCTCCTAGATTTTTGATTATATATTATCTCTTGGCGCGTTGATTTGTGGTACATTTATCTATTTGATGGATCTCTACTCTGCAACACACTTGACGAATAAACAAGAAAGATGGAAATAGCCGAAAGAATATTTTCAATTGTTGACCTTTATAAGCCATGCCAGAAATTAGCTGCTATTATTTATGGTGTGTGGTATGTGTAAAAGATCGTCGGAAAAATCCATGTAATAAATTTCTATCTATAAATTTAACCCGGAGTATGCTTTATCAAACAAGGGAAAAAAGATAATAAAGAATGAGTGGGTAAACAGACAATCAATTATAGATCATAACAGCAGCTCATAAACTCACCAACAAATAGTGAAGAAAGCGGGATTGTGTAGCACCGCAATATATTTTACTTTCATGTCTCTGAAGAAAATCGATTGTTACCATCTTTTCTTCGAGCCTGAGCCAATGGCTAATACCTGAGCCAGTGGCGCATACGCAAACATCACATATCATTGATAAAACTAACGAAGAAATCTTTATTAGAAATCTTTATTTACCAATAAAAATTTCAGTGCATATAAATAAAAACAGCGTCTAGAAAAAACTATGCAATCAGGAAAGGGTTAGAATATATGAACATAAGTTAGCAATTTCAAATATTTAAAATTCAAGAAAGCGGTAGTACACAAAACTGTACACATCCATAGATGCCTAAAATGAAAGCTGTTTTCGCTTCTTCAAGAGAAATTTACAAAATAGAAGTCCCGCTTAATAATATCGCAGTAATGACAGCAAACAAAAGTTTAAAGTAACATTGAAAATTTTTCAAATGATCTTCGTAAATTTTTTTTAGCATAAATACCCTTTTACTCTTTTTTCTCTGCCATGTATTGCTTTATCAAAGCATCTACTTTTGTTATCGCTGGATCCAGAAATCGATCATACACAACTAACGCACCATAGGTCTGTGGTAGATACAGGTAGAGCATGAATAATGCCTAAAAAAAGCCCGATTTATTTTATGCACCGCTAATCCCTACGCATAATCATATTACACTAATAAAAATTGAAATAGTATGTTAAGCAACTGATTTCTCGATCTTGTAAAATAATGTGATCGAGTGACGCTCATAACTTTTCCAGTTAGCTAAAATAAATCCACTTGAATTATTGTCAATTCTAAAATGTGGAGCATTAAGATGCATTGAATGTTTTTATGACACTTCAAATATTCAGTCTCTCTTAATTAATGTAGCAGAAAATGACTAATATCTTTAGGATGAACATAACACGACCTTGAGGATCCAATAAACAGGAAAATAGTACAATATTAATTCGGCAAAGAAATCAATCAATGAAAAAGCTGCGAATACTGTCCAATAAATAAGCCAGTGAGTATCATCATCTTTTTGAGAAGTTCGAATGGCCTAGAAAATGATCCCTTCATACATGATTCCTTATATTTTACTTTAATTTCCATTCCAAGATTTCATCTATCTTTTTAGTGAAATCTAACACAACTCAAAATTGTTTGCTACATGAAAAATCTACTATTCAATCATTAAGTTGACTAAATCTCTATTTTCTCTCCGAAACAGTCTGAATTCTGATGACAGCGTTTCTCGAAGAAAAAAATCCGGGAAAGAAAACATCGAAATATTGAAAGTGAAGTGGCGTAACTTAAGAAGTTTTGATGTCAGCAGTTACCTTGACAGAAGTATATGCCGGATATGCGAAACCGATAAGATTACACATCAATCTAGCGAATGCTCCAAACACCATGTACAATCCAACAAGGCCAATAACAGCATAGGCTATCTAAAATCTTCAGAAATATTGAGTAGTGATATGTTATGTATACTAATACAAATTGTTATGGGGTACAAATTCATGCCTATAAGACTGCAACATAAGCTTATTTTCGCTAGAAGCATGAAATATCTATTCATAAAAAAGCATTACATTAGTTAATCAAATTCTTAACATGTAATGCTGACAATAATATTTAAGTGTTAACAAAATTTTTAATCTGTCATGTTTCCAACATAACAAGGATTCATAGCGTAAAGATTTCATCCAATGATGACAACGTGATATATCGCGTAAAAAATGTCAACGCAACACAAATACAAAAAAGGCGCTAGGATATGAAGAAACTTCCAAAACAGAAATTTTCAATCGGCATTCTGAAAGAGAGATTTTACAGACCTTGGTTCTAGTGTCTGCTACTGTTAAATTAACCTAATTAACCTAAAGTTCTGTTACTGTTAAATTAACCTATTGGGTGATGGAAACTGACAAAAGCGTACAGTCACGTTTGGGGAAACATCATAAAGACAAGACTTTTCTGTTTACAAACTTCAATTAAGGATTACTAAACTTTGAACGCGATGATCACGAAATGTTGCGATATCAATGCGTGTCCAGCAGCGGTACACTATTCGACTACTTTGCAGACAGATGAATAGTGTGAATTTGTAATTTATGGAAATATAGATGGACAAAAGCGGATAAATTTATGTAATATTGTACAAAAACTAAACATACTTATAATAACAATATAGTTGTTCAAAGGATTGTCAGTTCGAACATTTGTGGCGGACAATTGTTGACTAGTCCCCAATCTTTGAGATTTTGAAGTTACTGACTTTGCCTGCGACTTTTAAAATTTCTACGGAACCCATCCTCATATTGCTTTATTACTTCAAAAAGAAATAGACGATATCACAGCAAGTAGGTATGTGATGAATATGTTTCCCAGTGATTTTTTATGATGCTAGAAATCTAACTATTACTCACTATTTACAAGTATTTTCGTTGAGAAAAGACTAGAACAAGTTAACCATGAGAGAAGCTCGAGATACAGCCAGGTCACGTCTGTTCGTTTTAGTCATAAATCGTATTTGAAAACATTTATCAAAATTACCTTTTCTCGATTTAAATGTGTCTTTTGCTCTAATTTTTGGAATGCCTGGTCAACTGCTTTATTGTCTTTCTGATACAGCAAATTGTGGAAAACCATTTTTAAATCATTCAGCGAGCTGATTACTACTCCTTTATTCTTAGTGTTACGTTTCTGTTGTGGCCACTGATCACCGCCCGCTACTTCCAATATTTTTGTACCTTCCAGTTGCTTATCCATGGCTGTAACAAAAGTTTACGAAAGATGCATGATTTTAAATCGTTCAAAAGAACAAAAAACAATATTTCGGACATTTCCTGTTGCACTTATATACATATATATATAAGGAAAATTCCTTACAATATACAAGTGCAATATTAGCGTAAATTTCTTTAATTAAAATGATAGATTGAAACTGATAATAGAAAAGAATAAAAGCCGATCACGGAATAAATTTGAAAAAGCAAGTAGGCAAACCACTTCTGAAATAACAGTCTCACATACTGCTGGAAAACCGAAGAAAACCATAATATGTTAAAGCAATAAAAACATTTTTTGCATAAAGCATTTCCTAGAACCATCACATTAACAAAAATTAATTACAATGTTTTTCCATACCCAGTGATAAATCCGTTATCTAACGTGAATCGTGAAACATATAAGATATTATGCGCATCTGATAAGCTAAGTTCCAAAAGAAGACCTTATATGCAATCTTATACATTGCCTAAGAAAGCTACATATAAATCCCGATCTTGTATTTTATTGTAATCCAAACCCTTTCGCTCATCTACAATATACAATCCGGTGCTATTAAAAATTTCTGATTCTGATATTAGATCTGCACTACCTTCATCACCCTATTATTATACTTCAATTTTCTTTGTATCTAGATGTTACTATTCTATATTTCGTCATCTACAATGTTAACAATAAACTAACAATTTTTCACTATATTTAACTTATTCACTAATTTAATCCCAATCTTTCATGACACATATATCCTACATAACACATAAAAATAATAAGTAGTAAATAAACAATGCCTGGAATTATTTTTACAATTGACAAATAATGTCAGTTCTAAAGATAAATTTTACAACATTCTAATAGATAACGCTATGATTACTGTTTACATCTATGGCTTATATCTCTTATTAATACAACTTCCTACGGTAAGTAAATTTTAAACTATATTTCTGAAACATTAAATAATTTGAGAATGCAAACAACTTATCTGATATCTCTCACTTCTTGTCAATCAATTATTTTGGAAAAATTTGTCAATCAATTATTTCTAATTTAAATTTACATAGAAGATAGAACAAAATTACGCTTTATCCTAACTGATAGATATTATCAATCTTATCAACAATTATCATTGGTAATATCTTCATCGTACTTACATGATGGATTAACAAAAAAGTACTCTTCTAGGAACTACAAATTTCTTCATCAAACATGCTTCTCCTAAATTAAAAATATGATGAATTGTTGTGGTGCAGCCAATTCCCAAATAAGCAAATTATTCTCATCGCAGACTTACAAGTGTTTACATTAAATATATGCATAGATGAGAGAGGAAACTATGGGATTTGAAAAGTACTTTCAAATTTATCAGTAAAGTTAAAAAGGGAAACAATCTCAGAAGTCATTTTCACATGTTTCAATCCCACTAAACACTGCTTGCTACTTTTTCATTCCTTCATATAACCATTATAAGGCTTCTTGCAACCCATATAACCATTATAAGGCTTCTTCAATTCGCAATCCACAATCCTTCACATTATTGACCATGAAATTCTTACCAACTTCCTACTACTTAGTGTCGAATATAGTTTGGCCGAGAAATTGTCATAGGCGGAGAGTATCATTATAGTCAAGGAAATACAGCACAGACCAGCGTCTTGTTTTTGATAAATGAACGGTATGAAAAAGCAGCTGAGTGCAACGACTCAATACTTATGTATCACTTAGGCTTACAAAGCAGTCTGGGGGATGAAAAGACGAGCAATTGGATGGAACAACAATCGATGACAACGACAACCACCGTACGACAAGGCTGGATAAAGTGAAAGAAAGCACTTTTATAATTTGTACGCATACACAAACACACATACGCACATAGACACATACATAAACACAAATAAACACACGTACACAACATACATGTATATATGCATGCACACATATAGAGTAAGTCAGATAACACCGACAATGAAAGACAATTTTCCTACCCCACGCAGAATTATTTTTCTGCAAACAAATTCAGATAATATGTATATATCTGATGGCGTTTAAACATCCTTACCTTTACCGAACTGACATGTCCATAAGTAGTAGGTGAATTTAGACAGGTTACCTTCCAATAATTTTAATAGGAACCCGACAATAAGCGAGAGGGAAGACTTAAAGGTATTCCTTTTCATAAAAGTATTTGTAGAAGTTTATATTCTAAATACCTTCGTCTAAGAGATTGTCAATTAAAAGATTTTCTGTCATTTTCATTTAAAATCTTACTTGTTTATTTAAGATTGTAACTTTTATAATTAATTAAATTTTTGCTATTTTTATTCTCTTTAATTTTTGATGCATAGTCGGCTATAAAAGGCAATTTCCTATCACAAAAATTTAATCCTCAAAAATATCTATAAATAATCGACTCAATAAATGATGTTTTATGATAATTATGTTATAACATCAAGAAGAATTAGAACTCTCAGCCACATAAAATATTCCTTCCGCTATTTCAAATAGACGTATTCCTGCGAATGAAAATGCCAACGCAACAAATATCACCAAAAATCGAAGTTATCGGAAAATTTTGCTAAATATAGCTTCCTATAATTCATTACAAAACATGAGCTGGTTCCTTTTCTCTTCTTAAAAAAACGAACTCAAATGGAAAGACTTGATCTATTTCTTTCAAAACAGAATTCGGAACACGGAAAATAGATCTCAGGTTTTAATTTTTGCGGAATATACATATATATATATATATATATATATATATGTATGGAAAAAAAGAATTAACTTTTGCATCGAGCAAGTATGTACATAACAATGGAAACATGAATGAACATGTATTCACACACATATTAAGCACTATCAAATAAAAAATTCATTTTATACTACATGATCCAACAGAACGTTTAGCTTGCATTGAATCCGGTCAAAGAGATCCTAATAAGCTGTGTACCATATAAAGCATTTTAGTAAAATCATGAACATTACATACTATGAAATAAAGATCAGATGATCTTAGATTGCTCGAACTCTATCGAATCTATCAGTGTCCAAACTACTTGCAAATATTGCAATTTTGTCAAGGTCCAAGGTTAAATTTCATTTTGAGCTAAATAAATATGAAAATATGATGTGATTTTACGATTTAAGATCACTGAATACATTTGTATGAGAAAACTGGGCATATTAAAGTCAAAGAAAGAAGAAAAATAGTGAACATGCTAGTTAGAAGAAGCTATTGATCGGTTATGACAGCAACGCTGACCTAAAATAATATAATGCAGGAAGAAAGATTTAAATTTTGAGACTGTTAGTTCAGCCAACAAAGGCCAAGCTGCTTGCATAAGCACGATCTATACTTAATAGAGACATGGAAGCAAAACTATTCATAAAAAACTGAAGAGAAAAAATGAGAAATACAATAGAGACAAGAAATTTAATTTAGAATATTGCTGCATAATATTATGTGTTGGTTAGTGGCTACTAACTGAAAGTCCGACTTTCATTCAACTCGCTTTGTTATCTAATAGCAACCTCTATGAAAAGTGATAATATAATATGATAGCTAAATTTCTGAAACTACTTGAAAAAGGAATAAAAACATAATGAGAAACTAGAAAATATTTTGGAATTCGTTTCTAGCGGCATTCATTTGAATTAATTATGTCTATAAGATCCTTTACATTTGGAGATTCAAAAGTTCTAATTCGATCATTTCTTCGAGGTCTGCTTCCATCAACAACAACGGTATCGTTACCGGCACCTGCGCGTTGTTGTTGAATTCGTTGAGCACGGACAGCGCGTGCTTCTGCTTTCTGAAATTCTGACACATAATAAAATAACCGACATATGACACATTCTCATAGCGAGAGGTGGATAATTGAAATATCGAATAACTGGAACTATGGCACCCGTGGATATCGCTGTATTTGATTACAGCACTGCAATTCTTACTACGGAGAAACAGTATACAAACCAGTGAATAAATATTGACAGCATACGACATAAACATAAAGCAAAATGAAAGTTTAGAATAATAAAGTTTAAACTAACAACAAGCGAGTCGTGGAAAAGTCGGATAGCCTGCGTCAGAATTTCAAGAATATTTTCCAAACTCAATTGCGAAGCACAGTAATATTCTTTTAAGCAATTCTCATTATGGCGTACTTTTTTGATAGATCGTGATAATTGTCCACATTTTGCTGTCGAGTCCTAAAAAAAGAGATGATCTCAAAGAATTGCAGTCAATTTTTCCTGATCTCCTCTGGAATCTCCTTAATAATGCTGAAGGATGCTTGGCAGAAGGAGGGAGAGGTTGCACTCTACAGCTAAAATGAAATTTTTATATGAAATTTACACACCATAATTACGGGGGAATAATACGCATAAAGTTCATCATCGCCACATTCTTGCAAGCTTTTTAATGACATTTCCAAAGAACGACGAATTGATGTTTCTGATTTTTCCAAATCGTCAATCGAGTATTTCCTAAAACCTTGTATTCCATTTCTACAGTTGGAAGATACTAAGAACTTAAACAATGAAAGATGGAAGACAGTACTGTTTCAAACAGTGCTAAACATGTTACGCCGAAAAGCATTAGTCCTAAATATTTAATGTTGTCTATGTCTTTAGCGTAGGTAGAGTTATCTTTTGATTTATTAAGAAAATCAATTCCAATTTTTGCGCACCTTCATTAGTCTATTTTTGCACGATTTTTCATGCACAGTACATTATAACTTGCTTTCGAGGAACATTCTACATGTGCTCAAGTAGTAATTAAAAAGCACTGACTTTGCCGGTTCCAAAAAATCTAAGACTTTCACAACAGCTCGCAAATTTTCATCAGCATATTCCGCTAAAACATCAACAAGACGTATGTTAGCTGCTGCGCCATTTCCTTTTGTGTTCAGAGCAGCCAAAAATGATGACAGTGAAAATCCAGAGGCACCGGCAGCGAAAGTTGACTAAAGTATTACACTTTTTCGGCAAAACAGATTTAAACAAATTTACTGGAAACTATTCATTATTACCTTTGTTCAGCTTTAAACTAGCTAACATTACACTTTATTGTATTGACAAAGGACTGGTTAAAGATATACACGGTCTGCTTGGTCGTTATATCAAAAGGGGCATTTTGATATCCAAGGTTGTGAGGATGCCTAAGGATACAGATATTATAATTTAAATTAATTAACTAATTAGGAATTTAGAGCTATTAGCCAGAAAATGAAGTGATTCAAGTATAACTTAATTTTATGTAACGAGCGAAACGAATACAAAATACAGCAAGGAAGGGGTTTAAAGCATAAATAACATTGGGACAAATACAGATGCTTCAATAAAACATATATGTAATGAAATAGCGAAATATACCGTTCTCAAGAAAACAATCTATGAGTGCAGAATAGAAATACCATTTATTATCCATTCACTTTTCTTCTTTCCTTGAATTGCAACTTAATTATAAAGAAGTAAAACAAACTTGATTTAGGAAATTCCCATACTGCAAGCAACGATGAAAAAAGATGTTGATGGACGCAGAGTTGTAAAGTTCATTGGTTGCGGTCAGAAGCAGGCGGGTACAATCAAGTTGTCGTGCAAGCTATAAATCACGAGAGCTTTTTCAAAAAAAGACTGTTAAGTTTTTAATTAGACATCAATGAAAATGCATTTTCTCAATTACTAATTCGCTACGTGATATTACTTATCGTATAGCAAAACTAATATCAAGTATCACAAAAATAAACTTACATCGCTCACAATATTGTCAGCAAGAACTTTCAATTCGATACGCAACTTCAATAATCGTTTTCGAGAAATTAAGAAGCAAAATAATTCGGCATCTTTTAGATCATCAGCAGTCTTCATTTTCGCAAAATATGCGAGCTGCAAAGCATTTAGTCCAACGACTTTTACCAATTAATGCAGATATAAAAGAAAGCATGTACCATAACGCAGTGAAATGGAATATGAAATCTTATGCGCTCTATTATTCAACGTTAAACTGTGATTGAAGCACCCAGTGATACTCCAGCATGGCTTTGTAGACGACAAATTTCTATGCAGTATACAACAGTCAATGTCAGCAGGTTCCTTTTAAGTACTTTTTTACTTGTTTTCTTTCAGCAGCGTTAGCTTTCGCAAGTAGCTTGACTTTCTGGCGCGGGCTTATCATCTTAATTCATGTAACGGATAGCTAATGAATCTCCCAATCTTCCCAAGAAAAAAGAATTGGAATATAATTGAAACATCACAATTAGAGCGTGTGTTCTGTTAAAAGAAATTCAAATTCATGAGAAAGAGGTAACCTAGTAACCTCATCGGGTGATGGGAAGTGTTTCAGAAGAGAAGCTAAATAGTCGAGAGGAAGATCACTAATTTCAAGCGATTCCATTTTCTGTACTAATTGTTCCAATGTAAGTGGACGGAATCTGAAAGTCAAACATGAGAAGATTCAAATGAAAATGAAATAACTATAGAAAAATGAGATGCTCCTATTCTGCATGGTATTTCAAATTCTGCATGGCATCGTATTTTTTTCTTATTTCCCAAACTTCAGGATTATATTATTCTTGCTATAAAAACATCACCGTAGATGCATGATATATTCTAAAATGCATTTCAATGTGATATATGGGTGACATGGTATTTTGGAATGCTTTTACCTGCAACTTCAGAACATTGAGCACAATAACCATATCAAAAATTGGAACAAGAAATCATCCAAAAAACTGTAGCAACAGCTACGTGTTTGAAAACAGCTACGGTTGAGAATGACAAGATAATTTTTGAATACTGCCCACCTCAACCGTAAATCTTTCTCGAATGGTTGCACCAAAAGCTAAGCTAAAGTTCGGTGACAGCTTATTCAAGAAAAAGAGTTCTCCATGCACAAAAATTTTGTTGATACTTACATACATTAATAAAGAACAGATTTTTACGGTCGAACAGGTTGCGTCACAAAACAAAGCAGGCCTTTTAGAATTTTTTAATAACAATCACCTTGCAAGGACGATACCCAAATTGAGTGCTCGCTTTTCCGTAAGAACACCAAATGCTGCAGGTCGCTTTTTATGACCAGCACTAGTGCTTTGTGCTTGTTCCTGAGTAGCAGCAGTACGAGAGTTGCATGCATGTGTTCGTTCGAAAACCTTTTCCAGCTGCAAATTCAAATCAGCTATCACTAAGTTTACCTGATAAACAGTGATGCAAATAATATAGTTTTTCTTATTCTCATATTTCTCACTCTCCTCTCCGCCGCTCAAAAGCAACCCTGCTAAAGTGAATCTTTTAATCAAGTCTACCCCCATTTGTTTTGTTTTTGTATTTGAGGAATGTAATTATTGTTTCCCACAGGCATTGAAGTCAATCTCACAATACCATTCTCGAAGTTCTTCAACGATTGCGGTAAGAAGTCGGGAGGTTCTGAGAGGGTAGGTCTTGCTCATGGCAGAATGTTTGAATTTTACTGAATATTGTCAGCTCTACCGACCCGTTCACGTTCTCGCTGATTAAACTCAGCATAAATGCCACTTTGGTCACTCCAGATAGTCGACCGTGTCACTATCATTTCTGGCTTCACCGTCTCCCATGCAACTGTATTGGTTGCACATTGCTTCCTTGAAAATATAAAAAATTTACGGCTGGAATTACGATATTCCAAAAACTCCAAATATTATCAAGATATGCTGTGAGTACTTTTATTTTTTATCGATTAGTTAACTTCTGCCTCCGTCTCTATCCCAATTCCAGTTATTAAATTCTGCTACAGTTTTGATTTACTCATTAGGTATTTTATATGCCTAAAAAGTAGCGATCGAATTACCCAAATGCGATTTTAACTCTCATAATCTGTAAATTGTAAAATTTGTTCCAAAATACAATACAATAGGACTAAAGAAAGGAAGGACAAAATAATATTCATATTAAGATCATTCCAAGGAGAAGAAGTATCATAAGTGCTAATACTTATTAGCAATAAAACAAACAAGAAAATATTACTTGTATACAGAAACCGATTTGACGACAACTGGCGATTCAGTACCTGGTATTTTTCTTAAGAGTGAAGTGTTCAGAAACTCGGGAGGAGGTGGAGGCAAAAGAGGTGGAGGAGGAATAGAATTAATCGGTGGTTTCGCTGTACTGAAATGCATAATCAATTAATATTCAGAAAAAAGAATCCTTTCTTAAAGAATAACTTTATATTCCTACTGGGAAAAGCGTTAAGAAGTTCACTGCATCACGACTAAATGATGAAGAACAATACCTCGGATTTACAAGGAAAGTAACTCCTAATGAAAGTTAATAAATACTAATAACCATTCTGCCAAATGCTTTCTTACTATTAAGTGAAACAAAATTAAAATGAGGCCTAGTATCCTGAAGACAGTGATAAATTTATTAAAATATTTGCATAAAATATTTGATGCACTATGCTTAATGATGCTGAAGTGACAAGCCATTAGAAGTTAAATTTAAATGAAATATGCCAATTTTCATTTCGAGTTTTTTAAAAAACCTGAGATGTCTCTCTCTATATGGTATTTGCTTCAATTAACTTTCTCACCTACCTTTGTTTTTCAATAGGTGTTAGACACTGCAGCGATTTTGGTGACCTTTTCAAACTGCAATTTTTCTCCTCATTTCTTTCATCAGATTTGATGCTAGAAGGAGTTTCATCATCTATGAATGGAATATTTGCTATTTCGATCTTCCGACTTCCACTGCAGCGTTTCATTCGAGAAGTTGATCGAGGTCGTCTTATTATCTTGAAAACAGCTCACAGATAATTAGTCAGAAACATCGCAATGACAGCACGAATGTTGCTTGAAAAAGTCTACGGAATTTTCAGTACTGTCTAAATGTCTGACCTGTTTCATTCATAGATAACACTTCTTATTTCAAGTTCTAGAACTGACCCTTGAAATGATTAAAGACATCAACCTACATTAAAACCTAGCAATAAATTGGGCAACAGTTTGAGAAAAAATTTGGAAATAAAACAGGGTGTATACAGAAACCTGTAGTATCGGCGAAGATTCATTAAGCATCATGTGGTTTTGAATGTTAGTGCATCTGGTAACATCTTCAGAAGGTACGATATCACATAAATCGTCTTTTGCTACTGAAATCTTGTCAATTTAGTTCTTTGAAATGTTACATTCCTCTTAACAAAGAACTAAGTGAAGTTACCCTCTTCAGTTTGCGCTTCTTCGCTTTGTAAGTGATTTCTTTGAAGATAATGGAGTACATCGCGCAGTCTTTTATCATTTGGCTGAATTCTTGCAATAAGCTCTAGTATGTCCAGCTAAATAAAGATACTACGAAAATGTTTGCCATTAAAAACCACTCCTTTAACGTCACATTAAAGAATCAAATTCTCAGATCGCAATAAGTTTCCATTTACACATAAATGATCAAGAAAAAAGAATAAAAAATCTGATTAAAATGATCTAAAATAATTCCAAAATTAATAGACTTCTAACCTATGTAAGATAAATTATCCCGCCTATTACCATTCCCGTTCTCCTGGAGCAAGAAAAAAAACTTTCTAATGCTAATAAGTGTTTTCGGAATGTTGTAAGCAAAGTTTTGCAGTGCTGAAGGCATAAATTTCAAGTGATTAATTTCTTAATGTAAATTAAAATCTTTGATGTATCATAGGACAATTTTCAAACTATGCAGATTAAAGCAGCATAATTAATATACTTCTCATACTAAAGTTTAATTAAGAAAAAATTTGTAAAAAAAGATGTACCAAAATCTCAGCTGACGTTGAGTGCTTTAGTTTCACATATGCCGTTTGGAATATGTCGATTGGATGACGAGTACCATTACCTACCAGATTATCGTTGGATTCACTAGCGAAAAATATTTCTAACTGTGATTCCACTGACTGATTTCGCAACTCAATCAACTTGGGTAACGCATTAAATAGACCCAATGCTAAAAATGGATTTCCATCGAAATCGTTCAAAAAGCAGAGAGAAATTAAAATAAAATTTGAATGATCGAAAATGAATCGAGAATAATCAGAAGGATAAATCCCTTCGAATATTCCGAGATCAAATTTTTTCCGTAAATAATCGGTTTTAAAATTTCATAGCTTGCTTACACATCAAGTCTTGCCGTACTGAACAGCGCTGCATGTAGTCTTTACACTGAAGTATGATCCTATTCAGAGCAGCCAAATTTTTCGCCTTCACGTCCGCATTGACTGCATCCGATTGAAGTTCATCTAAAATGATGCGCACACTTCGGGTTTCCTGGAAGAATAAACCGAGTTCATTTATTCTTCTTGCGATTAGTGCGAGCGAAATGATTCCAGACAACATTCTTGAAAAATTCAGCAGAAATAGAAAATAAAAATATAAAACATGTTTCCAATACTTCTTCCAGGCTTTTAAGGAATAGATAATATCAGAAATAATGAACTTTATTCAACAACTCGAGCGAGTCCTTCCGTGACACTTGAGAGTGCAATACTGAAGCTACCGTTTCTGAAAATTCATATCTGTTTAATTTTACTTGTTCTGCAATTGTAAAAGCCAAGTCACAGCGCCTCTCAAAGACTGTCATAACAGATTAAAAAAGCTTTTTAAAACATTTTATATGCTTTTTGAAAATTCCAAAAAAAGCAAAAATTAGCACAGAATAACAAAAAATTCAAATAAGCAAAAATAACCATCATGCACTTCCAAATCCGGAATATCAATAACATGTTGCGGCGGAGGGGGAGAACCACCCTTTCCAGAGTCGGCGTCAAAGCTTCCTTGTCTCCTGGACTTTTTTTCCACATCTTTAGAAGCGGATGCAGCTGGAGTCATAATCTTGATCATATCATTGGAACTACCACTTTCACAAAAAGCTGTTACATAACTATCGGAAGAATTACTTTGAAGTGAGACATTTACACTATTCAATGACATTGCAAATGAATCCTCTTCATTTCTCTGATGGCATTCATTTATATCCTGGAAATTAAAACAACTTCATTGTCAAGACTTCATTAATGGATTCTGAATCAGTTTAACTTGATTTCTTCACATTCTGCTGCATCCTTTACTGTATAAAGGTGTTATAGTTTCGTAAAAGATGTCCTAAACTCTGAAAGCAAAAATGATTGTATAGATCAGTCACAAATTTCAATTAGCCTTAAGAATCAATAACAAAAATGGTATATTTGGTGCAAGCGATATATCACTCAGAATAACACTGAACCAAAAAAAGCATAGGAATGTCGGAAAACAAATGAAATAACGCGTCACAATAATTTCACTATTTTTCCCCTTTCATCTGTTTCTTTTTACCTATCCTTCCTCAATGGTTGCCAGAATCTCACCGAAAAAATTTTAAATTACAATCTGCCGCCTTTTTTTTGTTGTTGTCCACTTATGAGAGCGCGAAATGCACTTCTTTTGGAACGAAACATTTAACTAAGCTACCTCTAGATGTACAAATATTCGTGCAAAGCCAAAACATGAATGAAATAACCGCATAACACATCTGTCTTGTCTTCCTTTAATAAGCAAGCAATGTAGTCAGGCTTTTCAATTTGAATAATAATAAGACTTCCTACGATCAACTTCCTTATCTATCATCCTTACATAATTAAATTTCAAATAATATGCACGTTGTTGCTGATTCCGTATTATTGTCCTGCATTTTAATCAGTTGTATAATTACCATAGACGTCGGAATTGTTCATAAATCAGTTACAGTTACAGGCATTGCGACCTTGTTTTGAATCCATATCACAAACGAAGCATGTTTTTATTCATTAAGAGAAAATAGCATTTATTACCTTGGAAGGGTTTGATGAGCTTCTTTCTTCAGTCTTTGTTTCTAATGCTTGCCAAAAAGATGACCGTACTTTCCTGACTGTCTTACTACCCAAAGTAGCAACTAATCCTTTTTTCTTTCTACTTCTGAAAAAACAAGGCAACAAAATCAGGAAAATCCATAATTGCTTTTCAATATAAAAATTTGTAATTTTTGAAATATATATGCAAATGAATTAAACTCAGGAGAACGTACGCTACCTTTACATGAATCGAGATGTATTGAAACCTGAAGTGATAACGTGATACCATTTACTGAATTTTTGTCATTAAGTAATGATTAATACTGATGGAACTTATTCGATATAGCAATTAATATACCATTGTTACTATTCAGGCAAAATAGTGCTATTAAGAAATAAAACATCGGTAAGTAATATCAGTAGGCATAATATAGCAGTAAAAAAGCTTGCTTTCTGCTCAGTGTCATCACAATCGCAACAGCACAAGATTCTAAATCCGCAAATCCAAACTCCGAAATGACAAAACCAACCAGACCACCAATAACCAAAACACCCAAAAGTTTTCGAAAATTTGAACAAACCGACCGCCGTGAATTGAAACACTGTAAATGAATGACGGATTAAAATAAATGCTCAATTTAAGTAAAACAGATAATAACTCAATATTTTCACAGCAATATCATCAAATAGGTGCCAGAGCAGATGTAGAAATTTTAAAGCAATGCTTTTTTTTTACGAGAATTCGAACTCCAAATAAAATTTGTCGATTGGTAACAGAAGCGACCTCCTAATTTTAAGAGTAGGAAATTTCTGAAAGTAAAATTAATGAGATGAAGGAAAAAAGTAGTGGCTAAAAAGACGGTAAGATAGAGATTCATTCAGTGTAAGGTTTACAATAATGTATTCAGATCAGATTTTCGCAGAGAGATTACTGTAATGCGATTAGCGATCATTATAACCTCATAATGGGTCAGATAAAGTTGGAATAATAATATGCAGCTATAGCACAGATTTGTTTTTTATATCATGAATAAAACTTGCATTTATCATATAGAAAAACTGATGCAATGACGGGGGATTAAAATGATTGTATCCTTGATAGTAAGCTTTAGGTCTAAAGATCTTTCAAAAAGATTTTACAATATCAAGTAACGAAAAAATACAACTTGAAACAAAGATCGAAAATGAATTAAGTGTAAATTTGTCCCATTTGAGACATTCTGACATAGATTAAAATGATTGACACTTCAAATCATTCCAATTACTTGGTATTTGTAAAGTAAGGGTAAAAAGCTTTTTTCATTACAATTCGATGACAGGTCAAATGTCTGAGTAAATATAAAAACATGTAACAGAACAAATCTGATCTTTATGCAAATTACTCAGTTCTTAATCATCAAGTGCTAATAATAGTTCCTTCTTATTTTTACTAGAACTGTTTTAGTTCAAAGTATCAACTACCATGATATTCTGAACCAAATATATGATTAGAATGTGAAGTGATAATAATCAGTTCAATCCAAACATGAGGAACTCAGAAATGTCATCACGTCTTTCTAACTTACTTCTAAACTTGAGACTTCTTCTATCGTCATCCTTGCACGTGAGAAAATAGTTTGATAGTCAATAAAAGTTAATCTAACAGTTCACGAAGTAGTTGCTGACTGATTATCTCCAAAAATCCAGCTTATCTGAGACGAATAGATGTGAATGCCACTAAAATAATACAATATGACAAATTAGACATGAAATCTGACTATTGCTTCAAAAATTTCATTATAAAACAGTATATTTCCCGAAATATTATATTTATCTGCTGTAAAAATAATGGTATCACAAATTCTCACAAACTTTCCCTTCTTCTACCTTTTCTTTTTGTATCTCTCAATTACTTTAAACGTTTCTCTAATTTGTTTCAAAATTTCAACACTAGTACCTGTGTAAGTTACGTACGACAACATAATATAGCATGAGCAACGTAATGCATATATCAGCAGAATGACGTAACCTACACATAAAGTGAAATTTTTAAAATGCGAGATCTTAATTAAGATATCATATTTTCATTATAACAGCGACGAATAGGCTTCAATTCCATTATTAACCAATGAATCTTCTCGTTCACTTCCAGGATATTTCAAGGCCTCCCAGTAACGGATAGTTTTATTTATGCAGTGGATGATTGAAAGGTTTAATTTGAAAATAATTGATGTAGTGGAAACTTCCAAATAACTAAATTCCACAGGATTTAACATTTCTATATCATAAAATGATCATCGAAAGCGAAGATTATTTCTGTTTTTTAAATTCTCCTTCGAGTCATAGCTTTTCTTTAAATTTTGAGAAGGAAATTAACTGCAATGTGTTTTGCAAAGTGAAACAACATGAAATATCTGTTTAGACCAAAATGTGAATTCCACTTAAGGAATTCCATAGGTGAAGTAAATTTTAAATGCCAGTCGATTATTTTTGCAAGCGAAAACGTATCAATCACGTTCTGCGCATTTCATTTTCAATTGTTAAGTTACGCAAGCAAGTGCAGAAAAGAGACCAAAAAACACTGCTCATAAGCATATAAAATTCATTAGCTAAATAAGATAAAAGATGTTACGTCAGCCGACTTAACTAAACTAATCTACGGCATTCAAATTTTAAATAATCGTAACCCTAACCATCCCTAACGTATTCAACTATAACAGCCTGAAATGCTCCAATCCATTCATCCAACGTAATCTAAGTCATATCAATCCACTTAACCCAACGTGATCTATGCTAAATTGATCATTTATGGTTAGTTTGACAAATCCTAATGCAGCAGTTTTTTAGGAATGAGAAGAGCGAAGTGTAGCTGTGATGTGCAAACAATATACCGCTAAAACCAACCATCTCTGCACAATAGGAAGTGAGAGCGTGAATCGGTTGAAGATATATCTTAAGACAGGATTTTCTCTTCATGTTCCTCTTCCCATCATCTTCATATCTGTCCAAATGTTTATCTTTATAACAGCCATGCATATATTTATTTCAAAAGGAATTCGGGAGATATTCTTTTATGCTTTCGGATAAATGAATTGATACCATCGCCGATACCATTCATCACACGATATTGGAAGAAGGAATATTTGGAAGGAAGGAAATGGTTTAATGTGTCCGAAGAGAAGGAAGAAAAAATCTTGTTAATGCCATCTGCTAGAAATAAAGCATTCCGTTTCGTGAAACTTCGAATGAGCGGCAAAAAATAAAGTAAGTTGGTTTAGAATGCTGAAAAGTAAAGCATATTTTTTAAAGGCTTTGAAACAGTACGTTATCACTACGATTCGACAAAAAACAAAAATAGATTTAGATGTGACGTAGTAATATTTTCGTATGAAATAAAAACTTTGTCTCGCAATTTGCTGCTTGACATGAAAGAAAATTATTTGACTTTTGAGTTCGGAATCTCCACTTTAACTACTTCACTGCAGATTTCCTTTCCATGATACTCCTGTTGAATTATTTATTGCCTCAATGCAAAAACTATCATTTATATTGTAACGCAGTTATTGTGGATTATTTAAAGAAGAATTCTCGATGAATGCTCTTTCAAGATTCATCATCAAACATGTCTTTCTGAGGTACACTTTCACTTATTTGAAAAGCAAATATTCATCTAAATAACTGATAACGTTTTAATCAATACTACTAGCATGTAATGAATTAAATTTCAAAAACTGGTAAATATTTATGATAGAGTACATTTGAAATGATATTTGAAATTTGTGCTTGGAATGAAGAATTGAAATTGGACTTGCTAGAGAAACGTAGTTGACAGTACTTCAGTTGAAAAAATAGAAATGTATGGCGACGTAGCGAAATAAATGATTACTGATATTGCGATAGAAAAATGAAGAAAAAAGAATAGCTATGAGAAAGGATTTATGAAGGATTACGCAGTTAGAACAAGGCCTTACTTCGTTTAAAACCGGATGACATGGACTAGATTAATGGACCATCTGATAATGTTGACTTCGATGAAACTCATTTATTGAGCACTAACATAGGTACTATGTCGTTATGATTGAATGACAAGTATATACAATGAAACGTTTCATTAAACTCGTTAAATTGCATGATGTTGACAACCATCTTTGCCCATTTATTGCCGCCGGTTTAAAAAAAAGTCATATTGTACAGGGAAATGACAATAATGATGGGCTCATCATAAAGCATTATTTACTATGCCGTTAAAAATGCAATAATATTCTCCTCGAGATACGATTGCAAGGAAATTTGGAATCTCACATACAAAGATCAGAATGCAAAATTCGCATGACACATTGTCAGGAATGAATAACACAATTTAAATACATGAGAGAGAAAATAGGATGAGGAAGAGATAAATTCAATGATGACACCATTTTAAACTACCCCAAAATAGTTTGCTGAGATTAATTGTTCGCTTTGTTAGGCCAGAAATTCTAAAGAAAAATGCGAAAAAGTAGTCTTCTGAAAAATGAAACCCAAGAGATAACGTTTTCTAGTTTTCCCTTTCACCATTACCTGTCCTGTTTGATTTATGAAATACAACTTTGTCAGTTCAGATAGATTCTGTTTCACTGAAATCCTCTTTATCTTTTTTTATTTTCTCTAATATTTTATAATATCATGTTGAGTCAATGTTACAATTGATTCTAACAATTCATTTCAATCCTACGTTTTTAAATGCGATCAGAGGTATGCTTAACTAAAATTCATTTCTTAAACTATTGCTATTTTTTTAATGTTACATACAAGTATTGATAGTTGGTTATGTAGCAAGTATCATTATAGCACAAATATATCTTTGGAAAAGTAAATTAAATCTAAAAATACTATTATATATTGAATTTATCCTGTTTAAATTGCTAAATTGAAAAAATTGAGGTGTTTAATGGAGCAAATAAAGAGATTTCTATGAAATGAAATGAATAGAAAAAAACAAAGCTCATCCTATGATTAATTTTAAAATAAGATTTTGATATATTTCAAGTGGATATGACAATTTTCATCAGAACTTGTTTGATGGACTATCACGGAGACATATATTTCAGCTAATTACTCATCGAAAGTATCATTTATTTTTTATCTTTTGGATAATATAAGAATTTCAAAACAAAATTTCAGCACTAATTACAAATGCAGCACAAAAATAGGAAGATATTATTAGGGTGATCATTTTGCTTCCTGAATCACTTATCAAACGGTTGTTTTCTAATTTCAGACAATGTTAAGTTCAGCTTCAAGCGCATTCAACAAATTGGACGCAGACAATAATTACATGGAGCTTTATTTGAATAATAGCAAAAGATTGATGGTATGAATTCATTTATTTCAGTCATATGATTCAACCAAAAATTACATTATGGATCACAACTAAAAGTTTTAGGGCAGCAAAGAAAGTAATAGTAGTGCATCACCTCCAAGCTACGCTGTATTCGAAGATGAACATGGTAATCTGGTCAATCGAGTCCACAATGTAAGTTTCGGGAGGTGAATAATTCCTTATAATTATAGCTGTTTGATTTTAGGAAAAGTTTTAAATTGATTCCATATTCTTTCAACAAAATCCTTTCTGGACACCTAGTCAGCATGAGGATATCAAGAATTAGGTAATTTTCGCAGTATTGTAATAAATTTCTAAAAGAAAACTAGGATATTTATCAGTTTTAAGCCAATAAAGATTAGTGATGTAAATCATGGATGAGTAGATTAGGTAAACTAAAAACAATGATTTGATAGATTGATAACTTATTTCAAATGGCCCATTTGCTTCTAATATGTATTTGTTAGGCGCTGTATTCAAATGGTTGAACAATATTTCTTGAAGGAAAGCGAATTTTTTTCAGGTGATTTGGCCAGCACGTCCGCATAGGGGACGCTATTCACTTAAGGAATATAATGAGCAAAAACAGCGTCTGAGAAAGCATGTCGAGCAACGGCAACTAAATAAGAAGTACAACCTCAACTTTGCTCTTTGTAATGCTTTTTGTAGTATCTGAGATGAAACATACTTTAATGGTAGGTAATATGATTACATCGAAAGATGCTTATCTCGAAACAAAACGAGATGTTTTTTATCGTTGCCGGGTGATTGTCATAGATTTGAAAGTACCAAATTGATCACTTCGATCCGTATCATTGTTTTAGATGTAAGAAACGCGCCAAACAATCAGAAAGACAGCCTGATGTGTCATATGCCCATGCGTCAGAGCAAACAAACGACAGCAACAATATTTATATCGGTGTTCAATCGGCAACCAGCTTGCGCTCCATCTTGCAGCCAACAGAATTTCGACTCTTTTATATTCGGCCGGAATCAATGAATACATTCGATCAGGTAAATGATAGCAGATAGCTTTCACTATTCTGTTTAAAAATGAAACATTTATTGTTCTCAAAGATGGTAGAAAAAATTACCCTTCAAAAAAAATTAAGTGAAATATGAACATACTTTTAAAGATTTAAATTAAATTTACGGGTTATATCAGTCGTGTATAAAATTTGTAATTAAATGACAAAACCTACCATTCGTTCTCAATAACCGAATTAAAATTCATTCTTTTAGATGCCAGTCAAAATGCCATTGATGTTAGCGTATATGAGTTCATCTGGAAAAATGTACCATTTCAGTTTTAAAAGACATGAGTACACTTCTGGGATATTTTGGCAATTGGATTTGAGTGGTATTCAGGGTCCTAAGCAACCAATGTATCTTTTTTTTCTTCGATCTCAATGTTTAACTTCTTAATTTTATTTTATCTGCTTAATGCTCAGTGAGATTTTCATTTTTACTGTTCTAAGGTAAAATTTTCCGCTATCTTGCTGCAGTGGAAGTCGCGGCTTATTGATGCTTTCTCATATGCTTCAAAGCAGAAATTGTTGAATTGCAGGTTTCGTTCGATTTCAGCACTGATACAACATTATAAATCGTTTATTATTGACCGTGGCGATGGCAAATCGGAAATATTTCCAGTGGATTAATAATAATGGTTTTTAAAAAACCATTTTTTATCTATGCTTCTAATACATGCATGTTATTTAGATTCTTAAAATACATTCAACATTTATCAATATTAGATTCTTAAAATACATTCATTTCTGAACATTAAATAGCTGAAAAGAATATTCTGATTGCGAACAATGCAAAAATATTCCTTTTAGGAAAAATTCTGGACTCTTCTATTGTGTTAAATATGTTTGAGATAAGATATGCAACAATAAGGAGATAAGAGAACAATTAATACATTATAAAGTTGTAATAAGCTGTATGTAAATAATTTTGTCGTAAAAATTATTACAACTTCCATGTCGTACTCTTTTTAATGATTCCAATGCCGTATGCATCCCTTGATTAGTAAAGCTAACGAAATTTTCACTGTAATTATCATGAATTTCATCTGGAATGCTTTGTGTTATTTGGGAGTTCACCGGCCAATGTGTCAAGTTTAATTGAACAGATGAAATTTTTCTGCTGCTTCGCTATGTTAAAATTTACAATGAAATGAGAAATTTATGTGAATTCGCGACGAAATATATTGAAAAAATATAAATTTTGTTGAGTGAAAATATTTTTTTAGGAAAAAAATTTTCAAAAATTAAAATTCCGGAATTATCCAATATACGCCTCGGAATAAGAAGTGATTAATATAATTAATGTATTAATTCATAGTATGTCTATTTCAATCATATCATTACACTTCAAAGTTTTCACCATTTCTTAATATGTATCATTATGTTCGAGATCGAGTAGTTGATGAATCACCCAATGCAACGGTTTCTGTGATAGGTTTTGGATCAACCGGATGAATTGGCTGTCCATTAGCATCCTTGAATTGACACAGAATACGCTTCACACCATCGGGCTTATACATTTCCAATATTTCCCGCGGTTGCATATTGCAAACTTCCTACAAATTAGAGAATAAATTCAATAATGACTATGAAAACGATCTCTTAAAAGCCATTGAAATGATACCTGGGATAAAAATATCAGCTAAGCGTGAATTATAGCGGAAGTGCGTGAAATGCAGATTGATGCGTAAGGTCACGTTTGTATTGTTTTCGAATTTTTTTTTAAATTTGATATAATTATTTAATAAATAGATAAACTACAAATAGGAAAGAAAGTGTTACTTCATTCACTCGAATATGATAGAATGAAATGAAATGTAAATCGTCTTTTGGCACATTTTTCCATTTGAATGTTATTTTAATACTCTGAAATTATCGTAAGTTAATTTGAAAAATTATAAAGCAGCGGAAATTTTCATATAAAGTTATTCCTTTATAAAATATTATATATGAATATAAGTTTGCAATCAGTGATAGCTTAATATCACATTCCTCTCAAACAAACCTTTTTCTCGTTTGGAGTAATAATTCCATGAGCTGGCCTGATAGTAAACATTTTGTTTGCCGTACATTTTACCTGTGTTTAATTCAAATTTTCACTAAACAATAATAAAGCTCTTCCCTCTTCCTTATTTCTTTCTTAATATTCAATGCAAAATTAGTTTCTAATCCATTACCATCACAATTTAACAGTAAATTAAATCGATTGTAAACTATACGTATATCATACGGTGTAATATAATCAATTTCGGTATTTTCATATTTTTACATATATAATATAAAATAATATAAAGATTTAAACATGTATAATATTTAAAAATATAAAGGTATAAATATATATAATATGAAGGTTTAAATATATATATATATATATACTACCAAGTTTCAACAAAAATTCATTTAATTTAATTAGGTAAAAAGAAGTGCTAGATAGATAATGTATGAATAGTTTAGAAAATAAAATAAGCACTGAAAAAATAAATATTTGATAAAAATAAATTTATTAGAAAATAATTTAGGCTTGATTATATCTCCAGATGGGTACAAGCAAAATCTACGGAAAGAAAGACCTTAAATGCTTGCATTAGTGGTGTGTCATTTTGAAGTATGACATTTACCGTTATTGGTTTAACACCAATATCTTCACCCCTGCAATTTCTTCCATTTTTCTCCATTTATTTATTTGATTAAGGAAATTCAACTGTCACTAAAGAAATTATTCATTAAGGAATTCAATTTCTGATTCTATTATACTATTATACGCTTAATTCTTTATATTATGTTTAATTCTATTATACGTTTAATAATTCTGTTCATAGAAGTAAATTATGATACTTTTTGATATCAATTTGCACCAAAAATTTACGGAAACAAAATTTCATATATATTTCTGGTTGATTCTAACGATTACGGTACTTTTCAAGAGAGGTTTTTTTTGCATCTGTTATAATTATTGCTAATTTATCGTTTCAAAAACTATTCAGAAAAGCTATCGAAGAATATTTGAAAATTCGATCATCTCTGAATAATTTCATTTAACCATCTTTTATATACTATATAATAAAATAAAAATATTCTTATCATTTATAATTGTTGGTTAAACTTCGCGCACATAAAAATAATTCTTGTTGCGGGGATTATAGTCATTTTGAATTCATTTTCATCTGGTGTATGATCGATCGCTCTGACAGTACCACTTTGCAACATTGATGATGTAGCCGAAACTGTACTTGTTTCCATTTTTTTGATCTGACAAAAAATTTTTCTTCATAAGCGATTTTCAAAACTTCTGCGATAAAAAAGTTGCATTTCTTGACATCTAGATGATAAATCCTAGAGGGAAATAGTGTAATTAATTATCTTTTTGTTGAAAAAATTAATTAACGATTTAACTGATAATTTCAGAGAATGAAATTAAAGTAAAAAAAAAATGTGAAAATTTTGAAACTATTCAAAAATTTAATTGAGAATTTTTATTAATAATTTTGATTTGTTTGTTTATCGGATCTTTTAAGCTTATTTAGTTCATTTTTGATAGAATTAAAATTTAATTGCGGTTTTCTATTAAAATGCAAAAGTTTAAATGTTACTTTCCAATCTACTCAGAATGTCAAGATTATTAAATAAAAATCCTCAATTAAATTTTAGTTTATCAAAATTAGTTTAAATTAATCTATCAAAAATTCACGACCTGTTTTATCTCGCATTTCTTATTTGTTTCTCACAATGCTTACTTCTGTTTTTTTTAGCCCAATCTCAATTTTTCACACAAGCAGCCCAGTAATTAATTAAAATTAATTAACCTTAATTCTTCACTTTAAATTTCTTTCAATATAGGCTGATGAAATGAAAAACTACCACTCTATGTAAAGAAATAACTATCAAATAGCTATAAACATACATTCATTTACTTTAATAGCTAACAAAACATTTAAATGTTTGTCGATATTTTATTATAATATTGAAATAATTGTGTGATTAAAGATGTCAATCATTATCAGTACAATCACGATGTATTCTTTGCGTGAAATCTTACGTGAGATCGTTCGTTCGTGAGGTGAAAAAAGATTCCGTTTAATTAAGTGATCATTAATAAGTAATCTTTTTCAACGGAATACTGTTTTTTTTTACATCTTCCGATCAGTATTCTCATTTTTGACAATACAAGAAAGACAAGAACTAGTGATCACTAATATTCCAAAGAGTTTGAAAATGTTATATAAACAACAGGCTAACATAAATATTCATTGCTGGTCAGTCAAGTTGTTATTTAAGCTTTTGTCCATTAATTTTATATAAACTAATCCATCATTTTTATTTGACCAAAGTTTCTCGTACGATAGAATTAGGAATAAAGTCCAGTATCATAAATGAAATCAACCAATGGATATTAATAAATATATCACGGATATGATAGTCAGAATTTTTGGAGTGAATTTCCGAAAATTCACTTTTTTATAATACATAAAACATTAATGAAGAGTGGCCAGCATCTTGTCCAAGAGAAACATCAACAGAGAGTGACCAGCACCTTGTCCAGTTCCATAGAGTTAGCAAAGAAGGAATTCCATAATGCACTTACCCATTTTTCTAAAATTGTTTAATAAATTAGGAATTCCTCATATAACGATTATTAAGAATGATTATTAAATAAATCTCTTTCCTTCTTTTTTAAAATATCAAATTTTGTTATCACAAGCGATTTCAACTTTTTCGTCCCCTAAACTTCTTGGCTCTTTTTCCATTTTTCTTGCAAATATCAATTAGAAGGAATACCAATTAAATTTTTGCCCCCATTAAAATATTTTTGTCTCCTAATTTTGATACTTGAAAAACCATTTATTGCCATTCTCGGCAATTCCTAAAGTAATGAAGCATTGAGGTAAGCTAAAAAGCAAATTGAAGTTATGACTGAATTATATGAATGTCTTAAAATTATCTCTTAAGTATTGCACTGATTATCAGGAAAATTTAACTCCTTAATTTTTCATTTAGGCTGAAAAAAGGAAATGATTTTAATAATAATAGTTTCTCTCTAGCTATTTATTCCCGTCAAGATTCTTGAGCTGACTGATGCTGATTAAGTAAAAACCTCACCCATGCTCTGTAAGGAGCCACATGACATACGTGAGGCCTCCCGAAAGTTCACACTTCAATACAACCATTTCAGCCACAGAAAAATTCAAAATTCGGCAATTGCCAATACCCTATCAAATCCCGGAACTAATTGAAATTAACGAATCTTCATTTAAGTAAGTAAACGAATTCCCTCAGTGCCATCATCATGAAATCGGTTAGCAATAAAGTTCAAAAAATCCTGTTATGCAAATACAGTACTTTTATACTATGTATTCACTGCAGAATCTCTAAAACAAATAATTTACTCAAACGCTTAGTGGGAAAAAGTTTGAGTACCAATATGAAAATTTTATACATCACATGAACCATAAAAGAGATACCAGTAAACAGTAATCACAATACTATGCATTCACTGAAGGCCTCTAGAAGAAATAAATTGCTCTAAACATCTGATGGATAAAAATTTTGATTGGTTCTGTTAATGAAATTCTCAGCACTAAAATTTTCAAATATAAACGAAGCAAAAAAAGAAAGTGAAAAAGTAAAAATGTAAAATATAGAAAACCTGAACATCCTGAGATGACGTTATTGACCAATTATATTCAGTACCATTGAATTTTTTATTCCTCAAGTTGTGTGTTCTTCACAAGCAAATCACACCTTTTTTTTAAAATATTATTGCAAAACAAAATCAGCAATGAGAGGTATATGATCGGACGGAGTCGTTGAATTAGGCCACGGTCCTAAAGTTCCAGCTAACTGTTCCATACTTGGCAAACTGAGACGTCGAATCAGTCGAATTTCTTTTTCAGACACACTTATTGCTGAACCCGAATTCTGGAACAGTGATTGTTGAAAAGAACAAATTCAAGGATAACTGGCCAATCCAAACTTAAATAGCAGTTGCTATTTAAGTCTTCACCACAAAGTAGGGCCAACTAATTCCATATCCAAAAACTCAATCAAAAAGAAAAACGATTATGTTTTTGTGCATTTCGACATAATATGAATAATTGGTTGCAATGCATAAATGCAAATAAAAGTAGGGCAAGTATAAGATACCGTGCTATCTCTGTGCATGAGAAGGACATAAAAATTTTATGTTAAAATTGCAAAGAAATCTAAATAGCCCCATTTGTCTAAGAGTAAAAATTCTAATATTTCAAGTGAAAATGACCTTAATTCCTTTTGATTTGACAGAATAAAATATAAAATCTGGATTAACAGCCTCAACACTATGATATGTCGAAATCACTGGCTGAAAAAGATTTACATAACAAATTTTTACAAAATTCATTAGACTGATTTCTCAAAAACCAATATTGCAAAAGCTTAATAATTTTAGATAATTTAAGAATGTTTCTTGGTAAGTTTATGGCTAAAAAAATCATTCCGCACAGCCATATAAATACTGAATCGAAGCAGATAAAAATTATTGAAATAACAAAGCCAGTAGAAATCCAATTATAAATTCTACTTACAAAAACAACAAAATTATAAAAACTGTGCTTACTCCATTCTTAGCATTTATATGATAAACACTGTTGAAACAAAGCGGATGACTCCAACAATTTACCGAAGGTAGTAACATTGTACGATCTGAAAATGCCATTGATTGTCATATACAAAAATTTTCAAACGACAGATCCTAATTCTCCAAAGTCTTCAAAATCTCCAACAAGATCGAGTTTTTCAAGATTTTCACTAATGACAAAAAAGTGCCTCATTTGGAAAATTTTGAAATACAATATTTTATAATGATCTGATCGTACAATTTCTGTACTGAAATTACTGCTTAACAAAGAAAAGTGTCTAGATATTGCTAGTTTGCTTTGTCTGTTTACGAAGCTTCTATATCCGAGTCATGCAAACATTAATGTTTTTGGAATTTTGAAGGATATAAAAAGATCGAATCTACCATATTTCATGCTTGCACTTTTATGGCAAATTCACAATAACTTCAAGACAAAATTACATTTCATAACTTGACATTACGCACCAGTACCCAAGTATATATTACCATTCTTCCAATTAGGAACACTCTCCTAGTTTTTGAAGAATATAGACGTCAAGAAATACACATTTAGACTTACTTTTCAGATATTTGAATCGACAATTCCGACCAATCCCTATATCTTCAGGTAATAGATTAACTGAAACAAACGGTCCACCAGCATTACCTTGACCCGAAATATTACCTCGTTGAAGGTTAGTAAAACAAATCTCACCACTCATGATAAAATTATACAGTGGACTATGCGGTTGAATATTAAAATCACCGCATAGAACGTATGGACATTCTTGGCCAGATTCCGGACCACATTCCTGTAAAGATTTTCTTGACTTGAATAACTCCTGATCCAATTCTCATGACTATTAATGGCCAATATTAAAAAATGAAACTGATTTCCAATAAGGTCCTGATTATTGCCCAATATTTCTGGACACCCTCTACGAAAAATAATTCCTCAAAACTTTTATAAGTATTAAAACAATGAATTCTAACTTTTCTATCGTTAAGTAATTTAGCTAATCTAAACAAGAATTCTTTCAGTGGTAACTACCTCTTTCTGATGCGAAAACATCTAATGCTCTGCAGCATAGATCAGTCCGTTAAAATGTGAAATTAATTTACTGGCATTTTAAACAAAATTATTTTTCATGAATTCTAAGCAAATTTCTTGGATCTACTATCTTTCATACTTCACTTTCTTTCAAAAATAACAAAAACGTCGTGTTATCGGAGAGATAAAAAACCTTACCTTGTCAATGTTTGCAAGTAAAACAGCAAGTTGCGCAAGTTTGACATCACCACGTCGTTTATTAAATAATAAATGTGTATTCGCAATGCAAAATTCCCGTCCATTTCGCATATCTTTCAAACGAACCAGCTGACCTAAAATGGAAGCAAAATACAGAAGATACCTTCGACATTTCTGAGTAACTTCATGTAGCACTAATCCATCTTGACTCCAATAAAATCTGCAAAGTTCATCAAAAAATGCAAAACTCACCGACATTATCCCTGTCCAATACTGAATCATCATTCACGTAATACTCAATATATTGATAATGAAGCAGTTGAAAATGAGATTTGTAAAATATCGCACAGCCATCTATCAAGCTATGCGTTCGCTTCTTATATTTACCAAGGAAACCAGCTAAAGCAACAACATATATGAGTAATCTTGGGCTTTTATAATCCGAGAAAAAAAGCAAAAAAATATAATGATGAAGTAGCAAACGACACAAATATAAACAAAACAATTTTTTTACTGGTCAGATCAAGCTGTCTAATGCAAAGCGACTGCATACTGCTTACCTGAGATCCAAATCAATTTCCATAGGAACTTCGAAAATAACATCAGAACGATAAAAATAACCTGGGACAGTGCACAACACTAACTACATCACAAGGTAAAACTACATAAAAACAATCTAATTACCGTCAACTATTTCTGAAAACTTGTATATCAACATTAAAATGCATAAAACATAATACATTCACCTTTGACTGAATAGGCTTTACGTTCACATAAAAGGCTTACCGGCTTCGAAGTATGGTCTAAAAAAATGATCGTAATGATCGCACTGCACTTCCTGAAGACAAAAAATATCAGCGTTAATCATTGGGAATTCACTTGCCAATAACCTCCACCGGTATTCCCAAGTTAATTCGTAAGCATGTCCGGGTTTTCTAAAAAATATGTTAGTGTCATTTAATGAAAAGCGTACCGCCCCAAGCAACTGTCATTAACCTAACAGCAGCTTCGATAATATACGAAAGGAAAATATAATCTATATTTATAAAAGATGAATATGCAACAATTTTCGCTTACGTAAGATGTATGTATAGTTCAGGAGTTTTATAGGCAGTTTGTTGACAAAGAACATTGTAGCTACATATCCTTAATGGGTTCCCACTGATCAGTCCACTCTAAAATTACAAATTATAAAAAAGAAAATTGGTCAAAATTTTAAATAACATCGGGCAGTACGACTGAAATAAATGTAATATTCTTCACCAGATGGAAATATATTCTTATATACAAAAATCGATAAATTTTGATCATTATCTGGAATCAGGATTGCGCAAGCATTCAGAAAACTAACCTGTACAATATCCCATCTTCTCAACCATTTTTTACACATTAATAAAGTGCCTTGAGTTAGTAAATCCACAAATTCTGGCATACCTGTAACATAATAAAAAAGAGTATCATTTATGCACATTTTGAGGGAATTCGATTTAGATTTCTTTAAATATTAAAGAAAAAATATATGCCTTTTGAGAATATTTAGACAGACTATAATGTGTGCCATAGGTTAATCCAGAAATTTTTCCTGTTCACATAAAGATGAATAAGCATACAATAAGCATACTAAGCAAAGATATTTTTTTAGACTTCGTTTCACCCATCTCTTTGGAAGCAAAAGAACATCTCGAACAAAAGAATAACGACAAACTCCAGAAAAAAGAAAAAAGGAAACGCCGATTAACTTAAAATCTGCGGTATCAGAATTCTAACAGTGCTTTCACACCAAATAAACCCCGTATGGAACTTAAAAATTAGGGAGGAAAAATCCTGTGAGGTTTAAAGTATCCCTTCCCAGTTGCTTTGTATGAATCTCTACAAACAAACTGTGTAGTTATAGATGACAGCATTATTTTAATAGCAAGTAAACCAGCCCACACACCCAAGATCAAAGATTATTAATTAATGATCATCTAATTACTTCAAACAACAAAAAGTGCAACCAATTAAGATTCCTGTGAGACAGTTGAAAATGTGCAGTGAAAAAAGTAGAAAAATAATACAACCGGCAAACATCAGAAAATAAAAATATACGTGTTAAAGAGCAAATTTTATTTTAAAAAACCTACAGAGGAAAGATCTCAAAAGCAAAAGATAAGCTTTTTCCATAAAACTCTCCTAAAGAACGACTGATCAGTATGATGGTTCCATAAAACTCTCCTATAGAACGACTGATCAATGATGAAAAAAGAAAATCAGATAATGATAGGAGAATCCAATGTCCAAAATTATCGAAAATTCAAGCAGTTCGAAACTTCTCACTAACTAAAACAAAGCCCTAGCATCAAGATAGCAGAATTACGGATATGGAGGAGTAGGTATTTGTGTCAAAAATTTATGCATGTTAGAAAGATATCACTGCATGTTGATGGGGAAAAACTTAGCTAATGTTAACCTAATTAGTGCAAAATGTTTAAGCGCGGTAAACGGCAATCGTAACGCGCGGTAATCGTAACGGTCCGCATCATCAAGCGTTAAGTAATCAAAAATAGACATGGCTTTTCTGTCATGATCTAATTATAAAAAGGCTATCTAGCAATTGCGGCGCATAGTTAAGATTCAAGTGAAAAAACGGACAACATTTTCGTTTGAATTTCATACAGAATGAATGATCAGTACGATGAAAAGAAAACCAGATAATAATAGGAGAATTCACTGCCCCAAGTGAACACAACTCAAGCAGTTCAAAACTTCTCACTAACAAAAACAAACCAGTTGAAGAATAGTGAAAGCTAGTTTTTCACAGATTTTTTGGCACTTTCATTCTTTCAATTCCATTTTAAATTTTCGTTTGAACTTCATACAGATAGAGTAATCAGTATGATGGGAAAAAAAAACCAGATAATAATAGAAGAATCCAGTGTCCAGAATCTAGAGAATCCAGTTGAAGATCGAAAATTCAAACGGTTCGAAACTTCTCACTAACAAAAACAAACCTCTAGCATCTAAGGATGAAACTGAAGACAGCGGATTGTGCACCGAAGAGAAATTTCGGAGATCTGTGGAATGAAAAGGGGACTGTTTAGTCCGGTGAATACCGCAAATCGCAGAAATCCTTCTCTAAAATAGAATTAAACAACAGTATAAAAGTAAAATTTCTGAAATGAAAATTGAAGCTAGTCATGTTAAGAATTGATCAACAGATTTGAGTGACAAAACCTCATCGTTTGAGGTACCGCCATTCATGCCGATATAGTGCAAATTTCAAGGCTTTTTCGTAAAAGAAGTAATCACTTTAGAAGTAAGAATTTAAAAATTTGTAACACATAAAGTATGCAAAACTAAGATTTTACAGTAAATTTACAGTAAACACTTTACAGTAATTACAGTAAATTGGAAATTATATAATAGTAAATTGGGAATTATATCAGAAACTATTAGTTATATCAAAACAAACAAAATTCAAAAGCATTAAACAGAATCTTGAAGATATTTATTGCCTTTGAAATACTTGAAGAAACAATGATAATTCACATGTTTTATTTAAAAAAAAAACACAATTGTTGTGCCAGAGTTATATGTTAAAAAGAAATTTAATTACTTCACTCTGCACTTCCTTCATTGCCTTCTGTAGCGGCCTAGTGGAAGAAGGCCCTGCTTCACCGACTATTTCCAAATCCTGCAAAAAGCATACTGACCAGATTGAATGATGGAAGTCTTTTGCTAGTGATTTACAAACTCGGATATCTTATCATTAACACTTCTTAAACATTCCGGTGTATGTTTCATAAATAGAATTGTGCATTCTCTTTTCAACTTTTTTTACTCTAAATAAAGATTTGTCTTTTCCTTTTCAGATCAAGAATACGAACTAATTCAAGGCTCCTCCAAAATTATTTGCAAAAAGATATATGAATGCTACCTGTCCTGTGGTCTTTATAAACTAATTACAGGAATAAGGATCACATTATAATATCTCCAACAAAATCCTTCCTTAGATGTCAACATTTATTTTCAAAAGATAACAAGGTCTATCAATGGAACTTAGCATTTATCAAGTGTCAATGAACAAAAATTGACATCAAAATTTACTTGCAGACAGATGACTTCGTCCGAATTATTTAATTCACTTGGCGGGCTCTCATCAAGTAACATCATCTGTAAAAAGAACAAAAATATTTCTATATTTCTATATAACAATAAGAAAACTTCGAACATTCTTGTCGAATAATGATTGTAATAGTTTTAACATTGGTCTACTGACAAAGAAGTGGTAATTTTTCGCAAGTTCTAGAAAATAAACTTGAAGTATTAAAAATAAACCACGGGTTCATTTTTGCTTGAATTCTCTTGTCTGCTAGGCGAAATTTCTTCATCTGTTAATAAAATAACATCTAAACCTGTAGTGTCTCTGAAAAGTAATGCAATCCTTATTTTGCTGATTTTCTACTCAACAATAAGACGAATAAACAAAGAAGGAAAAACAAAGTTTAAATTCTATTGAGCTTAGAGACATTAGATGAATGAAAGAAACGAACCTCTCTTTGTCTCTTTTATTTCCATCATTTAATTTTTGAACATCTAACAATTGCTGGTTTGCTCCACTGTTCATCTGAAATTATTGTGGCATAAATTATTTCGCCTCTACTATTCGATATTAATAATTTAATGTTTTAGAAATGGAAATGACCAGACAATGTTAAACGAGCCTGAGACGCTGCACAGCACTGGCTAAGAATCCAGCGAAATGATGCATCTAGAATAGAACTAAAATCACAAAAATGTGGAGATAATTCAAAGCACAACCATATCAATTAATCAACAGTGTGAAGATGGGATGTTCACTGGGTGCTAATGGAATGTCGAACATTTTTTGTATAAAAATTTTGAAATATAACAGTAATTAACAACATATATCATTCCTATGTTTGCTAGGCAAACATAAATTAAACAACTCAAAAAAAGTAACAATGCCTCACTTCTATTGATGTATCATCCACTACAATTTCTATCTTCTCCTTCGGCACTGAAAAATATTGATTAACTCCTTCATAAATCTTTAATCGATTATCAAGAATTAAATACATCATACAGATTATAAGTGCATATCTTTCAAGGATTATTACGCATAGTAGAACCAGTTAGTTCATTTTGTAACATACCCAGCAATTGAAAGACATTGAAAGAAGTAGGTTTCTGATTTTGAAATGGTCGAATTGCAGATTTTCGTGATCTGATAATACTGAAATATCTTTCAAGGATTAAGCTTTTTAATTGTGTTTCAGGACTCTATATTAAATTTTTTATCAATAAAAACTCTCTTGAAATGGTTCACGACTAGCTTACATTTCCCATAAAAATGATAGAAAATGAATTTAGTAATTGTGGTAAGATCAGAACACAAAATCATTGACTGCGTTCATAAGAATATACTGGAAAATGATATTATATGTTATCTGAAATACTCTCGTATGCCCTAATATTAATCTCTAGAGCATTATAGTCAAAAGTTATGCAAATTTATAGAAAAGCTCACACTCTAGATGTTTTACAACTATAATTAAAAAATATTTAATAAAGAAAAAAGACGAACAGAGCTTTTGTGCAATTCAAAAAAAGAAGGATTTCATCATTTTATCTCTTTCTCTCTCTACGAATAAGTTAATCAAAGAAACGGATTTGTAAGAGAAAGAATTAACTGTTAACAGCAATTCAATATAATATCTATTTAATTACCTCCACCTTTTGTTGATTCTTCCAGATGATATTTTCAACTTTTTAAAATGGTTCATCTTTTCCTTTCTTAAACATTCGACTGGTCTGAAACTTGTTTTAAATAATATGAATTGAATGAAAATCAAAGAAAGTTAACAAATGGAATGAAAACGAATTGATATTCAAAACATTTGCATAATTTACTACTCAGTTATAATATCAAAGAGATTGATTAATCTTGTAGATTAGTGCATTTTATATGTAATTAAAGTACATATTAGTGGAAATATGCAAAGTGTAGAGAATTTTCAATAATTTGTGATCTTTTTTCTAAGCAGTATTTTGTAAATGTGCAAATTTAATTTGTATTTGTTGGTTTTCTTTTTGGATAGTTTAGACATATCAAATTTAGGCATATAAGACATATAAGCCACCTTAAACAACACTTCAAGACAATTAAGAGTACCTGAATAAGAATTCTTTGAAGAGTCATAAAGGGGATAATCAGCACTCACTAAATCGATTCATATGACATACCCATCGCATACCCATCTACAGCTATTAATCAATAAACACTTACAATATTCGATATAGGCAATTCACTTCTCTTCTCCTTCCTCAACAACAATTAAAAATTAATCAGAATAAAAGTCATCAACAACCGACTAAAGTTTTGAGACCACATTTTTTAAATTGTAGCACTGATGGATTGAAATGAAATATTTTATGAGATTGGATTCTTGATGATAAATAATTACTACGGGTCTATCCTATAATCTCATTCCCGTGTATGACATAGTCTAATCCTATCAGTTCATTCCTGTGACCAAACGATATGAAACAAAGAGATAAGATAAGAGAGGACTGAATTCTCCTCTGTTGCGAAATGCACTTACGTACTGCATGCAAGCTAGTTAACACGCTATACATATATACGATACATGACTGTTTTCCTCTTTTTCCACTTATCTCCTTCACCACTAAATGTTTGATAATATTCCGAATTTTTTACACGCGGATCTTATGTGCACTAAATACTTAAAGGTGCTTTTGCACCGTAATTGGAATTTATTAAACTAATTGGACTTCTTTATTACTTAGTTAATGATATGGTTGAAATTAATGATATACTCCTTTTTTTGCTAGAAACTACAGGGTATTTCTCAAATTCTCTTTAATTCATCAAATTGTACCAAACTACAGGTATTTCTCAATTTCTCTTTTATTCATAAAGTAATTATACTGATATTCGGCATTCGACATATAACTGTTATAATAATGAGGCTCATAATCAGGTGTAATAAAATCAGGCGTAATCATAATCAGGTGCGGCAAACAATGCCGCCATTCTTTACCTGATATTTTGTTTTTTTACGTTAAATGCTTATTCCATCATATTACATTCGTTATTCGAATAAATTAATTATTGCAAAGAGTAATGTGTAATTGCTCTGAGATATGAGTTTAGAATGTGAGATGCAAAAAGAAAAAACTTTTTTTTCAATATTACTTCACAGATATTAGAAATCTTATCATTTATCATTTTATCACTCTATCATTTATCGTTGTTTTCTAATCCTTTCCGAATTTATTTATTCTATTACATATCTCAACCTGTAATGAATATTTTCTTAGATTGATTTTTCAATCTTCTGCTAAAAATCTTATTTATTTGTTGTGCAATTAAGTTTTAACATCTAATTAATATTTAATTACAAAAAACTTTGCAGAAGACGATGACTGTTTTTTGCATTCACCTTATGATATATTAACTAAATAAATTAGCTTCTTGACAAACTTTCTTATTGTCAAGATGACCTTTATCTTTGTATAATAATTTGTAAATGTGTTTAATAAGGTAAGCTAGTAGCCAAGAATAGTATCGTTGATAAGATTATTGAATTCCACATTTAAAATTGCCTAAATCAATTAGCTAAATGGACTGAACTGGAATCAGAATTGGATATTTCATAACATTAATAATCAACAAACAGCACTTCTTCAATTCCTTTTTTTTAGTTTGAATTGTTTGTGAGAATTGAAATCAAATTTAAAAGATTAAAAAAATTAATATGAAATGGAAATTTTGAAAAATTAATGATTGAAAGAAATCCATCGTTAACTATATTGTGTACTGAGAAATTTATCAGTGTCAAATTGGAAATTTATCACTATCAGAAATTTATCAGTATCAAATTGGAAATTTATCAGAGATTTATCAGTATCAATGTGGAAGTATCAAAATTTTAAAATAAAGCAAATAAAAAAAATATACCTAAATTGGTAAACAAGATGAATTAGTGGGCTAGGATGAACATTTGCGCAGAAATGTTTTGTTAGCAATATTTGATGATCAAAAATACCACAGTTAGGATGTTATCATTCATTTGTGTGTCATTTGCGCAGATCAAACAAAAAATTTGCTAATCGTTGAAATTTCTTTTTCTAGGATAAATTCAAATTGATTTTACTCAAACTTACCTTTTCAAAATTTTCGTACCAATTTTTCATTTCACTCATAAACAAACAACAATCAGTTTAAATTCGTCCCAATGTTATTTATTCTTTTCATGCCTATTAATATTTTTCCAATACAAATAAATCGAATAGCAAGAAGAAGCAAATTTCAAATTTATATTTAAATCAATATGAAAAACATGAAATGAAATAGAAAAGTTTTACATCTAACACAATGAATTTCTATTTCGAAATTCATTACAATTTTTTGTCCTAATTATTTGTCCTATTCAAAGTTAATTTTAATTTTAATGTCATATCGAAGAATGGTTTGTTAGATAGGAAGAAAGAGAATTTAAGCAGATAAAAAACAAAGGATGAAATTTTCATGAGAAGTTAAAAAAGAAGAGTGAAATTTTCATCAGAAAATAAGTACTAGAGAAGTAAAGTTATTTATAAGACTTCCATAGGTTATTTATAAAGTTATTTATAAATCTCCCATAGGTTATTTATAAGACTTTCATAGATTATTTGCAAAGTTATTTATAAGACTTTCATAGATTATTTATAAAGCTATTTATAAGACTTCCATAGGTTATTTATAAAGTTATTTATAAGTCTTTCTTCCATATGTTATTTATAAGACTTCCATAGGTTATTTATAAAGTTATTTATAAGCCTTCCATAGGTTATTTATAAGATTTTCATAGGTTATTTATAAAGTTATTTATAATACTAAAGTTATTTATAATACTTTCACTATTTATAAAATTATTATTAAAACTTCCATTGGTTATTTATAAAGTTATTTATAAGACTTTCATAAGTTACTTATAAAGTTATTTATAAGACTTCCATAGGTACAGCTTCTTTTTATCCATTCTGAAAGCTCAAAAATTTAATAAAAATTTTATTGGCAAATTAAATTTTTACAAAATAAAAAGGTTAATGAGAAGCAGGTAAAAAAATGATTAAGATTTGTAAGCAAAGCAAATAATATTGTCTTTTTTATGTTGACAAAAATTTTCTGCATATGCCAAATGTGTTATTAAATCATTCGTCGCACAGAATACGTTAAATTCCGCTCCCAATTTAGAATCTGCTGCATTCTTGATAGCAAACGTCGATTCTATCGCATTCATTCTTATATTCTACAGAATTAAAATTAATAAAATCTATTAATAGAGTTTGCATTAAATAAAAACTAGTGAAGATGATGTAATAAATTTATAAATTTTCATATGCATATTTTACAACAGGTAATAATCGATTTCTGAAATTTGAATTTGTGCATACTTTTAAATGAAGCAAAATTGTTAATTAATTTCGCATACGTAAATAATAGAATTTATATTTCAAAGATGAAGAAATAGCGCATAAATTTTAAAGTATTGAAGGTAAAAGAAAACAAATGAAATATACACCTGTTTCATAATTATCATTAATTGATGATTGTTGCAGAGAGAATTCATTTTATGAATTTCAGTATTATTACTGCTTGAGGAATCTCGTTTACGCCGCTTAGAGCATATGCATGTTTTACAACAGCTAATAATCGGTCTCTGAAATTTGAATAGCATGAGAAATTAGAGACAGTTTTCCGAAAATATAACTTCAATTTCTTCATTGTTATTGAACCTTTTAAAAAATGAAATTGTAGAATATTCGCGATTACGAATTTCGCGATCGCAATTAGATCTTTTTATTCTTAGTATTAAGCCTTTTGGAAAATAGTGAAAGCTAAAATGTTTCTTGCGTTTGAATGGCAGTTAAATCAATTCACGATTAAAATAGCAAATTCTGTAAACAATCGTAAGCTATTTCTGGAAAAGGTATTTCAGTAATATCTGAACAATCTACCAGCTGTGGGAAATAGATTTGTTTCATTGAAATTTTCGAATAAGAAATTTTTTAGTATTGTATGAATGATATTATTGTGACTATAATTTTGCTTATTTAATAGTTTCTAACTTAGGCGCACCTTATCGCCACTTTTAATTAAAAATCTAATTAAATAAAAGTATTACTGTAAGATTTTGATAAAATATTTTGATATTAATTGCTTAGTGATGAAACATCAATAATTATAGAATTTCTCAAAATTTAAATAATTAATTTGTATGGAAAGAAAGCAAACAGTCTAATCAAAAAACTTTGAAAATTTCATAAAAGAATTAATTGCATACAGCTGCAATAGGTGGTAGACATGGTGGACAAATTCGAGGTGGACATATAACTGGCGGAGGACATATGACTGGCAGAGGATATACTGTTGGTGAACTGCAAGAACATCCGGAAAGCATTCCATGAGTTGTTGTTTGCTTGATCAAAACCAGGATTATTGTATAAAATGCAAATGGTACCATATTGCTATGAAATCTATAATTAAAATTTCATATTTATGATTAATGAAATTTTTGATCATAACATTCTGTTTACTTCAATTTTTATTTACTAACACTTTAAATTGAAAATCTTAAATTATTTTAACTATTCAAATCATTTCAAATTTTTGTAATATTAATATCATCTAATACCGCCGGAACAATCTTTCCCGAAAACATAATGCTTAATGTTAATGTCTAGCTATTACTTTCAATTCATCTACTCTTTAAATTATCAATAGTGACCCAGAATTAACTACAGTAAGCAAAGGTCAATGAATAATATATTTCTTTCTTAAGTTAATCAATGAATTATCAATAATATCAATGAGAATCAAAAAGTTATCAATGAATTATCAATAATATTGGTGAGAATCAAAAACTTATCAATGAATTATCAATAATATTGGTGAGAATCAAAAACTTATCAATGAATTATCAATAATATTGGTGAGAATCAAAAACTTATCAATGAATTATCAATAATATCAATGAGAACCAAAATTTCAAAACGTTAACACAATTTTACTGTATGCAATATTTATTTAACTAACAAATTTATTTTATTTTAACCAATTTTATTTCTTATAAAAATTTTCAACCAAAAAGAAATTTAATAATTATAAATAGAAAAAGTAATAAATTAAGAGATATGAAAATTTTAGCACATTCAATTATTTCCTAAAATTTGCATTGAATTGTTGGAAAAACGAAATCATTTCATATTCGTTAAATTCTACCTGTAAAAAGAAACTACCTGAGTTGCTTTCTTCAGTTAATGACAGCATGTCTCAAATGATTCAATTAAAGTATTCATTAAAAAAGAATGAATGATTCAGTTTCATATTTTAAGAATATCTCAATTAAAGTTATTTATTATAAAAAAAATGAATGATTCATCAGTTTTAATAATATTATAATTAGTATCAATAGGAATGCATGATTCTATTTATGAAATATATACCGGAATGTTTAAGAAAAATATTTCCAGTTTTAAATGTTAGTTTCTCAGTATTACCAATTTTAAATTTTAGTATGCAAAAATGAAAGTAATAAAATGTAATGAATAAAAATTTCATTAATCATATTGTAATAATATTATAATTAGTATTAAAGGAAATGCATAATTTGTTTATGAAAAATACACCGGAATGTTTAAGAAGTGTTAATGATAAGATATCCGAGTTATACGTTGTAAATCATTAGCAAAAGATTTCCATCATTTAATTGCACAGTATACTAATTTGCAGGATTTGGAAATAATCGGTGAAGCAGGGTCTTCTTCCATTAGGCCGCAACAGAAGACAATGAAGGAGGTGCAGAGTGAAGTAATTAATTTTTAACAATTTTTTTAACGTTGTTACTTTACAGTAATCCTACAGTTATCATTTTTACCTTGATTACTAAAAAATATATTTACGTGTATTAATTTGCTTAATTAGTAGCCTAATTTTTGAATGTACGTGTTACTGCATAAAAATATATGAAATAATAAAACTGGAATAATTAAATATTTTTTTTAAGTTAATCACTCGATAATTATTCTATAAATAATTGCTTCCTTAATTTTTAGTTAATATACGATAAAATCAACCATTTTAACTAAATCAAAAAACAAATTACACAAGATGAAAATGCTGGAAATATAAATAAAAATCAGAAATATTTTAATACATATTATTTTTCCCTGTTTTTTAATGATTATACTTAAATTCAATTACTGAATTATAGGTTCTATCGTAAGTATTTATTATCTGTCCATTATTTTGCATATGAAATATCACCAAAATATCTTCTCACATTCAAATTAATTTTCACTGAGTAGTTTCATTGTTTATTTCCATTGATGGATAGATCTAAATTATGATGTTCAAGAGAAGAATTGAGCAGAAGAAAGCAAAAATTAGCATATTGAAAGTTAAAATGAGGTGATTAAATAAATCGTTATCATTATAAGATACTCATTTTATCATGAATTACAACCATGAAGTTATTTGCCTTCTTTTACTTCTAGTTGTAATCATGTATTCCTAGTTGTAATCATCATATCATATATTGTTTTCCATTTTGTTGTTGATAATTGAGAAGATCAGTGTGATACTACTTATCATATAGTAATATGAAATAATGCTTTGGTAGTGTTAAATAATGTGCAATGAAAGAAATGTTTAAATTTTAACAATTATGCTGATAACTGATAATTTGCTGATTTTAAATCAAAAATTCTACATGTTATTGAAATGGAAATCAATTGTTTTATTGGTTACTTTAAGTAAAATTTAGACTTGCAATATTATTTTAAATTAAGCTCAAATTAAATTTCTATTAGAGATTTTTTTAAGATTAAAATAGCAAAAATAATTCTATTGGCCTTTTACGTTTATTTGTACGTGAATTACGTGGAAGGACGTTAAAAATTACAAAGAGTGTTAAAAGTAATTTAACACTTTAAACAATGAAATTGTATGTCATGACGTTTTTCAAGTTCAACCAAGTTATCTATCTGTAGCTCAAAATTTCAATTTTAATTTTCAAAAATTTTCATTTGATATGAATTGAAAAGTAGACTGTCATCATTTAAAATTTTTAACACCTCTTGAAATTAGCTATCCCAATGTTAAATACAAACAGGTTTTAATTTCTGTGCCATCGATTCAAAATTTCTTTTAAAGTGTTCTGCTTTAATAAAAGCGAAATTGATCTGTTAGATCATTTGACTTGCATTTACCTGATGATAACATGTACTCGTGCATATGTCAAATTATTTGTTCATTAATTGCAAGTGAAACTTAAGTATACGTTGCAGAAGTATTCATAATATAAGTGTACGGTAGTTTCGAAATTATCAAAATTACATGAAAAAGATTTCACACTAAGCTTGTGAAGTTTTAAGCATTTGAACAAGAGAGAAAATAGGCTGAAACATAGGAATATATCATTCCGCACAGGTAATTCCCATTATATGGGAAACCAATGCAGAACTGAAATTAGGTCCATGCTCGGAAAAACGGATACTATTGCTTCCAGCAGATGTCAGATGTCAGATTATGCACTTCTTATGTATGCAAATGCATCTCTCACGTTGATGTAACTTCAGTAAGTTTAACATTAAATATCTCAAAGATAAAAATTAAATTTACTAATGATCGAAATCTTTGTCGCTTTGCTTATTAGCCGACATTTTTTGCTATGCCTTAAGATCCCCAGTAAATTTTACTTTCCCCTTTTCTAGGATATATATTTTTCTTATAAATTATTTTTTTTACAAACTTTCTTTTTGTTTTGTAAATGCTAAAATATTTTATATAATAATAATATGGCATATAAGAAGGAATTATACATATTTGTCTTCATCAAATAGTAGAAATTTCAGCATTTACTGATAAAGAAGAATTGGTAGCAATGATAGATATATTCATTCGACAAAAAATTGCCTCTGATTATTTTGATAATGATCTACGACATTTGGGAGAAACAATCACGATTTCCCTACTTAGTGCATTTGACAAACATTGTGTTTGGAATCTTCAGAGGGGTCTCGATGAAATATTCAAAATTTCTATGATACACGTATATATTGTATTTATGCACGTATATGAAAAATAAGATTTCCATTTTTATTTCTGATACATATTTAAGTTAAATGAGTTTCTTCTAATTATTAACAATTCATATTTTCAAATTAATTTACCGTTTTGAAATTTTCTCAAAAATTATTCGCTTCCAGCGAATCATTACACTATCCCACCATTCTACTCATCCATAATCAGTTAACATTTTTTAAGATTCAATAATTTCATGTAATTAAATTAATTACGGTAAATTAATTTAAATTTTTAACATCAAAAAAATGCTACCATTAAGCATTATAATTTTGCTAAATGAACTAAAAATTAATATTATGAAAAAATATTTAAATAAAATTACATGACAAAATTTAAGCGATAAAAAAAGATAATTAAAATTTTGATTAAATTATTAAAAGTATAAACAAAAAAAAATTAAAGTTGAATGAATAATTTTATAGCAGTGATAAAAGATAAGCTGATAAAATAGATGATATATTAATTCTTTCAAATACAAACCAATATTTCATCCTTTTGCAATGCTTGATAATCCATTTTTGTATACTGTTTCCGGTTTATCGAATAATATTCGATCAATAATCTCTTTACCTTGCATAAAACAATGATCCTGATTTGCTACTTCATATTTCCAACCACCAAATCGTCCTCTCGAATATATTTCATGTTTTTCGAGAATTTGATGTGCACGTGTTAATTCTTTATCACGCTGAATTATTTCAAATTTTCTTAATATAAATTTTTAATAAATATTCAACGCAAAAAAAAAACAGTTGTTACACGTACGTCACATAAAAGTATTTTGGTAACAATGAAAAAAGGCATAAAAATAATTAGTTGTAACACGTACGTGTGCCATAAACGTATGTATTTACTGGTATCATAAAAATAAATAAGTATACATTACATTGATATCAAACATATGTAAAGTAATTATATGAATAATTAAATTAAAAATAGTAAATGATGAATTAACTAACATTAACAGTTGGTATTGGATAACCATATGATAATAATATTGAAAATACACTAACAATTTGTTCACGTAAAATAATTGTTTTTCGTATCAAACATTCAATTGTTTTTTCTTTTATTTCTTCCATAGTAATCTATAAAAATTTTCACTTATAATTAACATATTTTTTAAAACAATTACTTTAATATATACTTTAAAGAAATTAATTTAATTTTAAAGTATTAATTTTCAAAAAAAAAAAAATTCTAACAATACAAGTAATCAGTTGAGTAATGAAATTTAAATCATTTCAAATAAATATTCTAATCACTATATCTTATCATAATTTATTAGCATATTTATCACAATTAAAATAACTCTTATCATAGCTCATTAGCATATTTATCATAACTAAAACAGCTCTTATCATAATTCATTAGCATATTTATTGCAACTAAAACAACTCTTATCATACATAATTCATTAGCATATTTATTGCAACTAAAACAACTCTTATCATAATTCATTAGCATATTTATCACAACTAAAACAACTCTTATCATAATTCATTAGCATATTTATCACAACCTTACTTTTGGTTTCAAAAATTTTTCTACATTTTATAAATAAATGAAGAAAAAAATAGAATATGAAATTACTAACATTATTATCATTAATGGTATAAGCTGATTCACATAGTACTGACCAATATTTATCATTATCAGGGGTCATTTCACCATAACGTGATAAAAATGTAACACGATAAAATGGTACAGTATTTTCCGGGAAATAAAGCCAAGTGAATTGCTCTGCGATACGATTTACTGGCTTTTTTAAACCAATACCTATTACAAATACCTGGAAAAAAAGATACTGTAACACAATGATATTCTTTCAAATATACTTATGAAGATTTATTTAATCTCTTTACCTTATTGTATTTTAAATCAAGTTCTTGACATAATTTAGTACATTTGATTAGTTGATCAATAGGTCCTGTATTAATAAGTATGTCGTAATTAAGTTTCACCTTTCCATACCGTTCATCTTCATATGTAATCAATTTACCTTTTGCATCAATGTCAATTACCTGAAACAAAAGGAAAAAAAACATTCCCAATATAGTTAAAATTTTTCCGAAAGTTATCTAAGCTTAGGCCTAGTTTTATATGTTTAATAATCTTATCCGGGTCAAAGGTTAGGTATTGCTTTTTTTGTATCAGAATGAGCAATTTTTATAATGCTGAACAAATTCTATTGCACTATATTTCTAATTCAAACTGAAGGATATCAATTAAATTTTCCTAATCGATAGTTGAATCAAAAAAATTTTAGAAACTTAACTCGCATCCAAAATGAAACCATTCAGATGGTAATTTATTAGTCATTGATTTCCATATTATTCCGGTTCCATAACGTTTCGGAAACATAAATCTAGCATTTGGACCCCAACCAAGGTCAACTTCCGGAAATTTACTTTCCAATACGATGATAAATGATATTTGTTGGTTGAATAAAATTATTGCAAAAAAAAATTATCTTATTGAAATGATTTCGGAAAACGAACATATTGAGTATTTGCTAAAGTTAAAGAAATGATTTATTACTTTAATTTGGCTCGATATAACTTTATAAGGTCAAATAAATTATTTTAATTTATTTGACCTTCAAAATTTCTCTCATACAAATAATTTTAATATTAAAAAAATTCTACTCTATTTAAATTCTAAGACATAACTGTTAAATATACCATATTTTGATGAGACTTTTTTCCTACTAAAAAAGAAGAACTAATTGATGATACTTGCAAATGTTTTTCATTCATAGCACAAAGTTTCTCCAATTTTTCATAAGGCATTTTTGCAACTCGTGTTCCTACCCATATCGAATTCATTTGATCTGGTTTCACAGTCCAAACCTTTAATATTTATTTATACAATTTTAAATTCAATCAGTTTAACGAGTTTGAATCTAATTGAATTTTCCATCTATCACAATCAATTAGCTCATTTAAACAGAATCAATCTCTCTAATCATTAGATAATATTGATGAGTACGATGATAACACACATATTTCAAAATATATCCACTAACTATCGAAATCGATTAACTTAAAAGTTATTTATGAAGAAACCTTTTGAGTATACTGCTTGAAGAAATAATTTCTCAACGTTGGACCAAAATTTTCGTTAATCCATTCATCAAAATTTTTTGGCTGATTTGTATCCTAAGAAAATAATATATATATATTCATCAAATTAATACAATTGTAATAATTGGCAGAGCACGTATGAGAAGTGCGAAGATGGCAGCAATATTACTTTCAATGATTTCATTCTGTTTGAATTGGATTCAGAATCTCTCAGATGTAGATATATGCAAGTAATGATGAGTTAGTTTAGCATCTAAATGATGGGTTAGCTAGCTTCTTTAGAAAACCATTATTTATCTGTCAATAGAAGAACGCATTTTACTGAATGAAATATTATCAAATAATATCCGAAGATTAAAAATTAAAATTCATGAATGAAATAATTAAGCAACAGGTAAGCATCATATCAAATTGGTACAAATTGGTTACCTTTGGTTTTTTACATCTCTCTCGTAGATCTCCCAAGCACTTTTTTTTAATATTTGCTGGAAACATCGGTATTGCATATTGTACTGGATATGGTACAAGATGTAAACCTTTCTCGTTGAACATATAACTGATATCAACCTACATTTTATCATATCACTGTGGTGCTTAATTCAGACTTGATTTATATTGCCGAATGTCGTATATGTCATTTTTGTCCTCATTTATTTTCTGGACAAATCCGATACTTTGAGTTATTGAAATTAAATTATTAATAATGAAAGGAAATTTTTTTGATAAATAAAAACCTGGCAATTTCTCGTCAAAATATTCCATTCACTGATCGCCCAACATATTGCCTCTTTATAATATGGAAAATTATGATCAAAAGTAACATGCCCACCCATATCCCAAAAAAATCCATTTTCATCCATAATTGTACGACTCAATCCACCAGGTGATAACTCCTGATAACACCAGGTGATAACTCCATTAAATGATAAAATTAATTGCAAAACTATTTGCATTAATTTTGGCAATTCATTTTAGCAAATTAAAATTTTAAAAAATAAATTTATTATTCAAACTAACGAATAATTAGACAGCTCTTTAGTATCATTCTTTCTTTTTGTAAACTTTTTGTAAACCAAAATTTCTTGTCTTCTTATGATTTTATTAAAAACATTTTTAATTGCTCGTCTTACATTTTTGATACCCTACGATCTTTTATATCATTAAAATTGACTACAGTGTTGTCATTATCATTATCATTATCATTTTGTGCTGCATGGATTGCTTCAATGTAGGAGGAAGCTGTTCCAATATCTCATATCGCGAGAAAAACAAATAGATCGGATTTCTTCAGTATAGGAGGAAGCCGTTCCAATATCTCATATCACAACAATGAGAGAAACAAATAGATCAAAAAAGAAATATCAATTATAGTTTTCTTTTTGGAAGTTATAAACAGATAATTTTTCTAGAGCTGGAAACTGATAACAATGATATAATTTTGTCTAAGAAACCTTAGATAGCTTAATTTTAGTTAATTTAAATTAAAAATTAGATTCGGATAAGTTAAAAAAACATTTAGCTTAATTAAAACTAATTGTCACATAATCGGAAAGTTATATCCGGTTTTTTTTCGATTCCTGCCTTTCATCATCATACATACTCTTATGCCTACATAACATTTATACTTCAAATACATTTTCTACAATTGCCTTTTATCATCGTACATTTTTTATAATATAATTTTGTTTTCGAAAATGGCATTTTACAATGAACGTCCAGTAAGGCAATATTTAGGCATTTTACAATGAAAGTCCAGTTAGACAATAGGTTCAAATTTGTTGTCGAACATAATTTGAAAAGAAAAATTATGAAATTCTATACAATGATATGCATTTAAAAAGCCTTAGATACCTGACAAAAATATTTCCGTCATATTACTAACCTTTTCCAAAACAATTAATTCAACATTTCTAGCAACATCGATGTTATTATTTTGCAACTGATGAAGACGATAGGCTACACCAAGGCCTGTCGGTGCTGCACCAATAACCACAATTCTCATCGAGCAATTTTCAAATATTTTATATAGTAATACAACCTTATAAACCTAAAAAGAATGTAGCAGTAGTCAAATAGCATAAAAGATATGACTCGTTGAAAGATTATTAAAACTTTTCAGCCTATTGTAACTTAAAATTTAGAAATAGATATAGGAATAGTTAAAAGTTAGCAAATAAATAATAAGCTATCAGCATGAAAGATAAATTAGTCTTTTAGTGAAAGGAAATTGAAAGAATGAAATTGTGATATGATGATATGAACTGTATTGACCCAAATTTGCATGATATGTATTGAAAAAGGAAAATGGCACCTATCTTCCCGCAATTGAATAATTTTATCCCTTCTGTATTAATTCATGATCTGAATTATACCTATTCATTGTACTTTTTCTCTTTCTCTTTCTCTCTCCCATTAACTATGCAAAACATTATATTTAATTTAACCTTAGGAAAGCACATTTTATTAATTTTCAACATGAAGTAATTTTTACGCTTCCTTAGAAGTCAAACTTATGCAACAATTGCAATTTGAGCGTAGTGATAATTTCTACTATATTCAATTTATATTTCAAATGAAAATTATGCATAATTTCTATGAAAGAATTCAAAGATTCTAATTTAATTTGGCATAAATTCACATTAAGTTTAATTTTGCCAATTAAAATTATTTTTGTAATTTTTTTAATTTTCTCTAATTACTGTATTATATTATAGCCATCGATTTGTGTAATAAATGCGAAAGGTGTGGAAAATTTTAAGAGCGATTAAAAATAGAGATCAAAAATTTCAAGAAAAATTACAATTTTTATTTAAATTCTGCAATTACATTAAACAGTTCCGACATCTTTGCACTGCTGAATTTTCTGCATTTAAATTCCATAAAACACGGCAGTTTACAGCAAGATGAGCATGTTAGTTTGGCAGCTGCTTATAATCTAACTCGTATTATCAGCCGGATACGGCATAACATCTGCCTTTAAAATATCTATTTTTGTTTACGTACCTTTGAACACATAATAAAAAAGATATAAACTTTTATAGCTTGGGTGTAGAAATTGTGTGTTCCGTTAAATAATCTCTTAAAATCGTGAAGAGGCATTGTTAATAGCCGTACTATTTTGAATGAGTGAGTAGTAGGTATGTTTACACAACTGCCATCAATGAGCTAAATTTTTAAAATGCATTACGATGCCTAATTAATTTTCAGGCTATCAAATATTGTTGTCCTTTTAGAGATAAACAGTATATACAAATTGTTAAACAATTTGCTCAGAAATTTTTGTAGTCTTTTAAATATGTGCAAACTCGAATTAGTCCAATGAGATGAAAAGAATCATTTGCAGAAGGAATCTGAAACTTTCATTTAACACTTAAAAATTTGTTTGGAAATTTAATTATTCAAAATTTTAAAAACTCTCAATAAATAAGAAAAAGAAACAAAGATAAGTTTCTTTCTTCTCTATATTCAATTCCGAATATTTTCAGGAATTCTAAAATTATAAACAATAGAGGAACCTATATTGGAGAATGGAATAATGCAATATTATAATTTAAAATTCTCAGGCAAAATTTAAACTATACGTGAAATTCAGAAATATAATTGAAAATCTATTTTTGCTAATTAATATAGCAATTTTCGTTTGTTGCAATGTTTCAGTAATCGAGAAATTGTCAAGTTAAAAAAGCGCTTATGCTACGATGATATTAAATAATTTATTACATAATTCAAGTTATGCTACAATCAATGAAATATAATATTTTAGCAGATATCAAATTATTTTGCAAGAATTATGAAAATGAAAATTATGCGACAGTTATGAAATTATTTTAATATTGCCTAAATTTTTTTTTAAAACCCAATAAAGTTATTTTTCAAGTTAGAACTCTCTCTCTCTCTCTTCTTTTCCCTTTTTAATATTTTATGCTCCAGAAATTAAATTTCGAATTCGTGCAAAATAAAATTCAATTAAGTGATGTTCATTAAAGTAAACTGCCTTATTTACTCTTTTAACAATGTGAAGCAGCGATTATAACAGAGTGGTTCGGAAAACTCTGGATATGATGCAAAAATTTTAAGTCTAAAATTAAGTTCTTTCCATTCATCGATAATTAAAATTTAAAATTGTATTCTTTACATCGATCGATAATTAAAATTTAATTGTACCCCATAAATCAGCAAATTGGACCTATGTAGCTAACAACTGTTTTGCTTTACAAGCTTTCTCGTCCACTATTGGCTATTTCGCTTATTCATATATACGAAATCTTTGGAATGAACCAAATTGCCTTCAGTAATACATTTGTGTTATTAGCAGCATAGGCTCTTAACGATCTCATTTAAGCCGCAGCACTAATTTATGAGATTTTCAAAATTCCTGAGATACAAATACTTCCGAAAATCAACCTAATATCTTTAGCTTCATTATTTAATTATCTACATCCAACAAAGTTATTATTTTTCAAATTAGAACTCTCTCTCTCTTCTTTTCCCTCTTTATTTCATCTACAGGTCTTGCACCTGTTAAATTATCCGGAATTTTCCAAAGAACATAAATATTTTTATCCTACTTCCCGCTTTACAGAAAGAGCACGAAGAATTCTTCCTGTAAAGCGGGAAACAGGTTGAGAGATTCTGAATCCCATATTCGCCAATTATTATTTGATTACTTATTTATTGTTTGCTGTCAATATTGCGAACATATTTGTTTCAATTTGTGGCAGTTTAATTTTGCATAATTTTTGTTTTAAAATTATTGTCTTATCAAAGTTTCTCAAAGTTCCTCTAATTTTATTTTGCATTTACAAAAATTTCAATCCATCATTAATTAGACATTGTAATTTTAATGCATTGCTCGTTTATTTTAATTTAATTCTAAATTGTATAATTTCGCCCACGCGTAAATGCAGCAATCATTTGCTTTTTTGTTTCTATTATATTTGAAAGTTGTAATTAATAGGCGTAATTTATTTTAATCATTAAATTTTCGTTCCGATTTAATTGACAGCCTAATATTATTTCAGAAATTTTAAATTATATTAATTTTAAATTTTGTAAATGTATCATTTAGTTTTAATTATTTCAGAGAATCACAGGTTCGATTTCTACTGTTTAATCACATGTTTGTCTGGCTTGTTTTAAACAAGTATTATTCATTATTGTTCTTCAATTTGAAAATTTGGTACACTAATATTTTATGGACATCAAAAATTAACTGAACATATTAATTCAAGTCTACTCACAACAGCATCATTGATTGGATTGATTAACTACTACATATGGAAGTAGACATTTCATATCAAATTAGTTGATTGAATAGAAAAATAGATTTCAACCTAATAACCTTTTTGTTTTTATATATGCTAATACAAACATGAAATTCAATCCCAAAATCTGAAATTCAATTTTTTTTCAAATTTATAAATTTCATAAGATGATAATTTTTAGTGAAAAGAAATTTCACAATAGTATCAAAGCGGCCAATTTTACGTGGAATTCGAACACAACGACACAAAAATTTGAAAAATGAAATTCCAAATATGTCATCGGTGATGGAAATGAATGAAAGTAAGGTTGGTTGGTTAAATATTTGTTCATTTCACAGGTGGTTAGATAGTTGACATTCATAAATTCCTGGCTAACATCCTAATATTACTTAATTGTTTGCAATTGGTTAATTTCAAAATATAGCTGTGTTAAATCTTTTTCTATCATGTTCATGAATTCATGAATTAGTTCTATCATGTTCATGAATTAAACATTTAAATGTGTGGTTGCTAATCAGTCAACAAAGTGTAAATTAGAGGTGGAATGTGTAATTAAGAAATATTTATTAAGAATAGTTGGGTGTAGAATGGAATGGAAAATGTTAACATTTAAATATGTGAAATTTGCGAAAAACATTGAATGATCAATGAAAATTGAAAAAGCCTTTAATATGAAATGGACTAATCAAACTTAATGAACTTAAAGATCATAAGACTTAAAAAATAAGAATATGTCTTTGAACTTAAAAGTCATAAGACTTAAAAGATAACAATATGACTTTGAACTTAAAGATCATAAGACTTAAAAAATAAGAATATGTCTTTGAACTTAAAAGTCATAAGACTTAAAAGATAACAATATGACTTTGAGCTTAAAGATCATAAGACTTAAAAAATAAGAATATGTCTTTGAACTTAAAAGTCATAAGACTTAAAAGATAACAATATGACTTTGAACTTAAAGATCATAAGACTTAAAAAATATGAATACGATTTAATTTTTATTGAAATTCTTTAAAGCACATTGAAGATGTTTATTTAGTTCATTGGAATTGAGAAAGAATCTTTAATTAAAAGAATTGATAATGATAATACAGTAAAATACATTTATGCTTGACTTTAAACTTTTCTAAAAAGAATTAAATAATTCTTTTTCCGCAACTATCACATTCTAAAAGATATCAATTCTCATTTCCAATATGAATTAAATTCAAACATTCTATATTTGCGAGTAGAACATTCAATTTCTTTTGACGAAATGTAAACGCTCTTCCATTTTTGTCCATTTATACTACTACAATCGTCACTACTTCTATTGCTACTACCATCACTACTATTAATACTATTATTACTACCAATACAACTATTCTATTATCACTACTACTACTACTACTACTACTACTACTACTACTACTACTACTACTACTACTACTACTGATAATAATAATACTAATATACTTGATTTTCACATTACTCTCTTATTGATCTTGTATGATTGGTTATTTTTTAAATTATCACTTCGGTGCCTTATCATTTGCGAATTGTATCAATTTTTCATGAAAATTATGCTTTTTAATTAAAATTAAAATTTTAATTAAAAAATTTTTATTTGTACAAAAAGAAAAAAAATCATTGTTAACATTGTAATGATAGATGGTAAAAGAAAAGAACAACTATTTTCCAATAACAATAACAATAATACGCTCAATTATCTCTTTTTAATTAGTACTAATTATTA